CTGTCGCGAAAGAAACAGCGGGAAGCACCAGAGTCAAGTGTAAAGGTGTGCAAAGCCTGTGCAGGCGCAGTACCAAGGGGAGCAGACTCACAAGCACCTAGTGCTGCAGGGGCTATACCAGGGGTTATACCAGGATCCGGCGGCACACACAAGTAGCAGTCACCCTCAGCACTAACAGACAAGGCATACATAGCAGTGAGAATAGCAGCATAGTCAAGAGCATATATATCTACCCTCTGCCCAAGCAGCTCCACCCAGTCGGGGAGCTCAGCCTCGTCGCCAAACTCGGTACGCCAGGCGTCACTCAGACGGGCGAAGCAGCGGGACTGGGTGTGACTAAGCGTCCCACAAGTCTGACCCGTCCGATCTCCTGTGCGAATGACGTACGGGCAGCGAACAGTACTCAAAGACCCTCTACTCTGAGCGTACCACTCGTGAAGCTGCTGGGACGTAAGTGTCTTGCGTGGACGCGGCTGCAGCTGCAGCCGGCCACCGCCAGACGTTCCCAACTGACCAGCTCTAGGGCGACAGCTACGACAACTACCGCCACAACCCCAACTAGCGTACCACTCACGAAGCTGCTGGGGCGTGAGAGACTCGCGCGGACGTCGCTGGAGCTGCATCTGGCCACCGCCAGTACCAGTAGCAGTAGCCTAGCAGAGCAGGCGCGGCAGGCAGACAGGCAGGCAGGCAGGTAGGTAGGCAGACAGGTAGACAGGCAGGCAGGCAGGCAGGCAGGCAGGCTGGCAGGCAGGAAGGCAGACAGGCAGACAGGCAGGCAGGCAGGCAGGCTGGCAGGCTGGCAGGCAGGCAGGCAGGCAGATGGCGCGGCAGCGCGCTAACAAGGCAGGTGCTTACCAGTGTCGGGTAGAGCAGGCGCTTGCCGGGCGAGCAGGGCCGGCGCTCGGTGGGCGGCTGCACGGGGTCCAGGGGCGGCGTCGCGGGTCCAGGGGCGGCGTCGCGGGATCCAGGGGCGGCTGCACCAGGGGCGGCTGCGCTGGGTCCAGGGGCGGCTGCACCAGGGGCGGCTGCTTCAGGGGCCAGGGGCGGCTGCTCTGGGTCCAGGGGCGGCTGCTCGAGGGTCCAGGGGCGGCTGCACCAGGGGCGGCTGCTTGTGGGGCCAGGGGCGGCTGCTCGAGGTCCAGGGGCGGCTGCTGCAGGGGCCAGGGGCGGCTGCTCTGGGTCCAGGGGCGGCTGCTCCAGGGGCGGCTGCTGCAGGGGCCAGGGGCGGCTGCTCTGGGTCCAGGGGCGGCTGCTCGAGGGTCCAGGGGCGGCTGCTCGAGGGGCGGCTGCTGCAGGGGCCAGGGGCGGCTGCTGCAGGGGCCAGGGGCGGCTGCTCTGGGTCCAGGGGCGGCTGCTCGAGGGTCCAGGGGCGGCTGCTCGAGGGGCGGCTGCTGCAGGGGCCAGGGGCGGCTGCTCTGGGTCCAGGGGCGGCTGCTCCAGGGGCGGCTGCTGCAGGGGCCAGGGGCGGCTGCTCTAGGGGCCAGGGGCGGCTGCTGCAGGGGCCAGGGGCGGCTGCTGCAGGGGCGGCTGCAGCAAGTAGCAGCAGCGGCAGCAAGTAGAAGCAGCAACACAGGCGCAGTGCAGCGTGTAGGCCTGGCGTGGGCTGTACTGGCCGCGTGCGGGCCTGACGTGGCCTGTACGGGCTGCGCGAATGCCTAGCGCGGACTGTACGGGCCGCTCTCGGGCCTGACTCGGCCTGTACGGGCTGCGCTAACGCCTAGCGCTGACTGTACGGGCCGCGCGCGGGCCTAACGTAGGCTATACGGGCCGCGCGCGGGCTGTACGGGCGGCGCGAAGGCCAGACGGGGGCTGTACGGGCTGCTCGCTGGCTACGCGCGACAGGACAGGGCAGGGCCGCGGGGCAGCGAAAATCGATGCACCTAAGGGCGCATTTCGGGCAGAAAAAAGCAGAGAACGAGATTCGGGCAGGAACACGGAAGGTTTAACGGTGGGCCCTAAAAAAAATTCGTCCTAGGCTAGGAACGTCCTAGCTCTTAATACCATGTTAGAATCTTACGGGAAAGTTGTGTGTGGATTATCGAAAGGGAAAGATACAACGGAGAAACCTAAGGGGTTGTACCCCACAGTGAGTACCCCACTAAGCCTAACCAAACTATAACAAATATACACATATGTTTGACAATGACATGCATTCAAGTGACACAAACCAGAGAGTCGTTTCCATGGCTGCCAAGTCAACCACTCACATCCAAGCAACCAAGCAGCTGGAAGACATGCCGCCTAAGCAAGCAGTCACGCAGGGACAGTGCCAAAAGGATTTTGAAAATCACTGCATTCACTGAGACAGACAGCAATCACGATCAGAAATCATGAGCAGCAATCACATCGCGTGGCGGGAGCGGCGGCGGCGGCGACGGCGGATGGCGCATGGCGCTTCTCGGGGGGGGGGGGGGGGGCGGATGGCGCGTCTTGCGGGCCGACTGCGCGTCGCACGGGCGGACTGCGCGTCGCACGGGCGGACAGAGCCTGTCACGGGTGGATGGCGCGGTGTCACGGGCGGATGGAGCGTCTACCGAGGCGCTTGGCGGCGCTTCTCTCAGCCGTGCTCATTTGTTTCTCGTTTTTTCTTCATTTGTTTCGTATTTTTCTCGCATTTCCGCTCTCTGGTTTTGTTCTTCTCTTTCCGTGGTGCCTTGATGTGTGGGATCGCAATGTGTGAGCAGCTTCCAGTCTTGCGGGCGGACTGCGCGTCGCACGGGAGGACAGAGCCTGTCACGGGCGGATGGAGCGTCTACCGAGGCGCTTGGCAGCGCTTCTCTCAGCCCTGGTCGTTTGTTTCTCGTTTTTCCTTCGTTTGTTTCGTTTTTTTCTCGCATTTCTGCTCTCTGGTTTTGTTCTTCTCTTTCCGTGGTAGCTTGATGTGTGGGATCGCAATGTGTGGGCAGATTCCAGTCAAGGACACGGGAGCCTGCAGGGTTGTGCGAGCGGGGTTGGGTCAGGGGCGCGGCGGAGAGGGAGGGTAGCCCCGGCCCGACTTCTCCGCCCCCCCTCCCGCTCCACTGCCCCTTCCGGCACTGCACCGACTTACGGCACTGCACGGCACGGCACGGCAGGAGCGGCGGGAGAGGCGGCGGCGGCGGCGGCGGTGGTCAACGGTGCTGCTGCTGGCGGCCACTGCGGTCAACGGTGCTGCTGCTGGCGGCCACTGCGGTCAACGGTGCTGCTGCTGGCGGCCACTGCGGTCAACGGTGCTGCTGCTGGCGGCCACTGCGGTCAACGGTGCTGCTGCTGGCGGGGACGGCGGTATACGGCGCTTGACTTCCCCTCCTTCCCTCTTCTCCCCATCCCCCTCCCCATTTGCAGATTTGGCGGGAGGAATCTGCCTTCCCTGCACAGAACTGTGAGAGGGTTTGGGTGGTATGGGTGTGTCAGTTAGACCGCGGCCGCGGGGGGGTGGGGTCAGGGATGTCGGTCCGGGTGGGTTCATGTATGTTCTTTGCGCCTCCCGTGCTTCACATCTGGACAACCTGGCAACCTGACAACCTGACAACCTGACAACCTGACAACCTGGGAACCTGACAACCTGGCAACCTGACAATCGAGGAGCTGAACTGAGGTGTTTCCCGCCCAGTAATAATTTTAACCTTCCCATCCTTTCCTGAAATTTTCAACCGTCCCTCCCCTCTCCCAAACAGGCCCCGCACGAATGACCTCCACCTCAACGCGGTGTGCGGGTGTAACGCTAGAGGCATTTGCCTCTAGCGGCCAAGAGGGGTCAAGAAGAAACCAAGATTAAGAATCAAGATCAAGGAAGAATCAAGATCAAGGAAGAATCAAGATCAAGGAAGAAACCAAGATCAAGGAAGAACCAAGATCCAGCAGCTGTGGATGGCGTGAATGGAGCTGGTTAGTCATAGAAACTTCTGCATGCTTATACGTAGCAAAACTATTGTGTGTATTTATATATATTTCGAACGTCTAGTAGTTTAGTTCAGGCACTGTACATACATGGAATGGTGATTGAGCCTACAAGGTCCTTACAGGGCATAGACATTGTTAGTGGAACTTTCTGAATTCGAACATCAAGTAAGCAGACTACCTGCAATTCCGTGCAACAAAGCGCATGCTGATTGCAGTGATCTGAACATTTGCAGCTGCCAGTCGCACAGTCATGTGTTGTAGACCCTGGAATGAAAGGAAACACAACATGGGTAGATGTAATTAATTGACCAGGCTATGGCGACCTTTTGCATAACGACGATGGCATAGTGAGGGAAACGCAAGCCTTTTCTATAAGCATGGATTAGGAGGGGGTACCTTGGGATAGGCTGATATGGTGCCCTTCACTTGGATCCATTTGCTGTGTGGTGGGTTCATTTTTCCAGAGTCCCTGGTACAGCAAAGAACGAAGGGGACAAGGGCAATGGAGGATCAAAGACAAGAGGATGGCTATGCAGAAGAAAGGATGTCAGACGGGATTCGTACGGCTCATGGAAGGCCAGAGGGACAGTCACATGGGAACTCATGAGGCGTGAACCCATGTGAAGCAAGAGGAACCATCACATGGGAACTCATGACATGTCAGATGGGAATCGTACGGCTCATGGTCATGGAAGGTCAGGGGGACCGCTGCATTGGAACACATGAGATGTGAACACATGTGAACCATCACTTGAGACTTGATGTGAAGCTAGAGGGGCCATTACCTGGGAACGCATGAGATGTGAACAGATGTATGCGAACCATCACATGAAACTAGAAGTGAAGCTAGAGGGGCCATCACATGGGAACTCATGACACGTGAACAGATGTGAACCATCACATGAAAGTTTATGTGAAGCTAGAGGGGCCATTACCTGGGAACGCATGAGAACTAAAGTGATGCATGGATGGAGGCTGCTCGGGGGGGAAGAGGAAAGGGGGTTGACTTGAAAGGGTGGAGAGAGTGGGCTAGAGCAGGGGAGGAGGGAGGTGGATGAGTGAGAGTAAGAAACCTTACCAGACGGAGAGAACTTGCTTGGAAGCATCCTTGAGCACTAACTGAATTCTGAACTGGCTGCGGCTGCTGTTTTTCTGGCTGCTATTTCTGTTTCTGGTTGCTTCTCCTCCCTCTCCATCTCCTCTTCCTGCTCCTTCTCCTTTTCCTCCTCCTCTTCCTCTTCCTCCTCTCCCTCCTCTTCCTCCTCCTCTTCCCCCTCCTCTTCCTCCTCTTCCTCCTCCTCCACTTCCTGCTCCCCCTGGTGCTGCTGTTCTTGCTGCTGATGTGTTTGCACCCACCCCTCCCGCTGCCTCTCTGTTGCCATCACCTGACTGTGTCCAACCTGAAGTGCCACCTAAATTTTCACCTGAAATGCTGCCGCCAGAACTGTTACCTGAACTGTTACATGCAATGGCACCTGTACTGTTACCAGCGGCAGGGTTCAGACCATTCACCTTACCTCCACCATCACCACGCTCTAACATCACATTGCCCCCTTTAACAGCATCCCCGTTATTACTGCTATCACCCCCTGCCACGTGTTGATTGCCCGTGGTTTCTCTCCCCTCACCTGTCTCCAGAGCAGAGCACCACGCTGAAACCTCAATCAGCGGGCAGCTATCCAAAAACGGGCAGCCGAAACTCTTCACCCCAATAGACTGCTGAAGGGTGCTGTAACTCTCGCCATAAGAACAAAGCACCATACTGCTGCCTCCCTCGCTACACTCACCCCCACCAGTCCTCAACCCCCCTCCAGGGTAACTTACCCTGTGCTTCTCCACCTCTACACCCCTCGTCCCGGGTAACCACGGCAGAGTATCCTTCTTCCCAATCACCACCTGCCGAACTAGTCTATGCGACCCCCCTCTATGGAAAACCAGGCCTCCCCCTTCCAATGCCCAATAGGACCTTGCTCCAGGCTGCTCCTCCGTCTCCCCTAACGTGAACAGCCGCTCTTTATAAATTCGACGCGTCACCTCGAAGGGCGGGTACGGGTCGTCGTCAAGCGCAGATTTGATTCGCTCCGTATCTATGTGGTCGATGCGCTCGAAGTGCGGGCAGCCGACGAGATTCGCGCCGAAGATCCGCTCGTAGAGGCCGCGCCAGCCGCCCAGAACGAGGTGCGTGTCGTCTTCTGTCAGCCCGTTGCCCTGGCAGAAAATCTGAACGCAGGGACACAAACGGAAATAGGGAAACATTATAGCGAGGCTTGAGTGTCAGTCACGACAGGCCGCGAGAGCAGCCCGAACGGGGTGCCTTCTGTCAGCCCGTTGCCCTGGCAAAACATCTGAAAGCAGGATAACAGGATGGGGGACACAATCGGAATCAGGGGAAAATCACAGCGAGGCTTGAGTGTCAGTCAGGACAATTCTATTGTCGAGGCCGCGCCAGCAGTCCAAACGGGGAGCCTAATGTCAGCCCATTGCCCTGGCAGAATAACAGGACGAGGGACATGAGTGCGACATGGTGCGACAAGTGCAATAGGTAGCAGCTAGATCGCACGCACCTGCCAGAGAAACGGGTCGCTCGCCACTCGTCGCCACTGTCGGCAGGCCAACGCGCACGACGCCGCCACGTCAGCAGGCGGAAGCTTCTGGAAGATGAGCGACAAGACGGTCTCTGGTAATCGTCGGATCGCGCTTCGAGGCGCGAAGACGCGAACGCGTTTCGGCGTCCGTCCGGAGGCGGGGGACCACGAGGGCGCGGGTCGATTCTGATCGTCGGATCGATAATCCTTACGGTCTAGATTGTTGTTAACGAACTGACCGTGCACAGACTGCATTTTGTCAATCGAGGCTTGCGAGTCCCTGTCTGCAGTAACGTCCCTGTCTGTAACGAGGATTTTTGTGGCTTGGGTGTCGGTGGAGGGGAGTGAGGCGGACGTTGGAGGAGAAAGCGTTTTGCCGACTGCGAACTCCGCCATTTCCAAATGCAGCTTTCAAATGAGGCGAACTCCGCCTCAATCGCTGCGAGCTGTCAATGTAAGCTTCCAAATGGGCTCGTATGAAACTCGCTTCGGAATGAAGCTCACTTTCTGTTGAATCTTTTGCGTGAGCGACTCTCGAAACACTCTCGGACGAGAACGAGAGTTTTGAGGCTGGTCAAGCATCTACGGCTGCCAACGAGAACGAAGCGAAGAGGAAGAGAATTGAAACGTCTTCAGAGTGGCAACGGGAGAATAGAAGCGAAGCTGCTACTGGTCGCGAGTCGCGACGGCAAGTGTGTGAAAATGATGAAACAAGAGTGGAACAGGGTTGAGCTGCGAGCTGCAGGTGTGAACCCCGTCGACGAGAGAGCTTGAAACAACCGGCGAGATCAAGGTGAGCTCCAGCGGTGAAGTGGAGAGAAGGACAGGACGAGCGCAGAGAACTGCCTAGGCAATGCAGCCTCGAAAGGTGAGAGGAAGGGCTGTCGTGCAGTTGCTACTACGGAAAGGCAATGCAGCCTTAAAGCTATGAGCATCGGCGGATTGTGGAAGAACCCGTTCGACTGGCGGGCTTTATACCAGGCTGGCGTACGGCTGAGGGGTCTAAGCTCTGGAAGGGTCTCTGTGGAAGGCAGTTTGCACGGGAAAGGGGAGCATTGCGGCGTGGCGGCATGGGGATTATCGAGTGCGCCGAGAATGAAAAATGCGAGTGCTTTATCCCATCGGCCTCGCGCCGGTGGTTGCCTGCTAGCCTCTGGCTTCTTGTGCTTTGGGTTTTCACTTGCCCCTTCTCGTCGTGACTCATCTGGTTTGGTAACCTTGATTGCTGCTCGCGCAGAGCAGAAGAGGGGAGGGGAGAGGGGAGGAGTGGAGCGGAGTGTGTCCAAGTGGGGAAGACTCAAGGGAGGAGGAGAGGAGAGGAGAGTTCTCGGGTCGCGAAATTGGCCCCATTTGGATGAGATTGTGTAAATTCAAATTCAACAATCTGGATTTCAACTTTCTGAGTTCCACCGGAAATTGAGAGCAGCCAAAAGGGTGGTGTGTGGTGGCTAGCGGTGAGAATAACAAAGTTTCAAAACGCGACAAATCGAACTCGACATTTCAAATTCCAATTTCTCCTCGTTGGGGGTAGGCTGGGTGGATGAGCAGGTGAGTTTGCCGGAGCCGCGAGTGGTTTGAATGAACAAATCGAAGCGCGTTGATCAGGGAGTGCTGGCTGGGCAAGACCCGAGATTCAAATTTGCTATTTGAATACAAGCTCGTCCCCCATATCGTAGAACCACCAAGAGATTAATTTCCAAGAATATGCAAGCGAACAATTGCACTAACCAGCACAAAATTACTACATAAATAAAATCTGCAATAAACACTCAAAATCACCAAACCAGCTGAAAGCATCTTGGCTCACTTTTAGCCACGATGTTGTCACTCCTATTACCCCAGAGGGCCCTTGTGGACACCGAGGGCACATAACTGCACTGCATCTCTTCCATCTCAATGCAATCTCAAAGCCACCCTCATCTGTTCATCCATATACTTCCTCGCTTCCGCCAATCTCTGCTTCAATTCCTCATCCCTCCGCTCCCTCCATTGCTCCGGCTGCCGAGCCATAATCAGCCGATGCAGCTCGCGCAAAGACACCATTCCACCGAAAACATCAGCCTGGCGACACACGGGGCATGTGATGTGGGGCGAGGCCATGCGAATATCTTCGAAGGCGGCGACTTTCGCCACTGACGAGGCGCACGAGCGGCAGTAGATGTGCCCGCAGGCCAGTGCAATGGGGTCGAAAAAAACGTCCTGGATGAACGCAGGTGATAAAGGGGCAAGTCAAACGGGGGATCAAGAGGCACACAAGGGGTTAGTTGATCAATATTTACAGTGCAGATGATCAGGGATAAATGCAGAGTACATAAGTACTTGTGCACCAAGACCAACAGGAGATGAAATACATTGGCGAAAGAGAGGTCACTGCAAGGGAAGCAGAGGGTGTGTCAAGGGTTTAAGGTTTATTAAGAGGATGTGGAAGGAAAGACGGCCGTAGTAGTCAGTGGGAGGAAGGATGACCCTGGGGACCTTAGATTGCAGTCGAATGGAGGACGAAAGGTAGCGCGGCGCCATCATGAACGCAAACGGATGTGGGGAGGGGGAATAGACGAGCAATGGAGGACGAGATGATTTGGACGATTGAGCTATGAATTCGAAAACATGTGAGAATGAGAGTATGGAAGCAGGGAATGGAGGCTTACAAGGCAGACAGGGCATGAGAATATCGAGGTAGGAAAAGAAAGCTTACAAGGCAGACAGGGCACTTAAACTCTACGTGGGCATGAAACTCGGGCCTCAGCTGCAGCTCCAGCACCTGCTCCAACCCCCCATGCTGCAGCTCTGATTGCTCTGCCTGCTCTGACTGCTGCTGCTGCTGCTGCTGCTCCTCCTCCCCCTCCTGCTGCTGCTCCTGCCCTGGCAAACGCTCTGGAGTCCCATCTGAGGTGACAGCCATTGGGTTCTCACTCCCAACACTCTGACCCCCTAGCAGACTCTCATTGCTGCTGAAACAGCTCCACATGGTATCAGCAGCAGCAGCACCATCACCATCGCCACCACCACCACCCTCACCATCGCTGCACCCATTTACCAAGCCCCGCTCGCCCAGACCCACTCGCGCGCTCAGCGCCCCTTCCGAGCTGCTTTGACCTTGACTGCCACTGCCGATGCTGTTTCCGCTTCCAAATACCCCCATTCCACCGCTGCCGCCCCCATCACCAGCAACAGCACCACTGCCACCGCTTTCAGCCATAAGCTGTGGTTCAGTCACTTGGTCTCTTGCCAATGAACCAGCAGAACCCTCGAAAAGGTCCAAGCTACACCCACATTCCGTTAGATGCACTACCTCCACCTCCTCCTCGTCACCATCCTCGTCATCGCTCCACACACGCTCCTCCACCTCCCTCGCCGCAACAGGACTCCCCCCGCCTCCTGAATCCCCAGAGCGACCGACAGCAGCACCCCTCTGCCCCGGCCCTCGCCCCTCCTCACCCGCCCCCTTCGCCGGGCTCCACGACAGCCTACCTGAAAAAACACCTGAGGCGCCGCTGCCCCCGCCCGTCCAGGTGCTCTGCATGGGCGCGAGAATGTGCAGCCATCGCAGGTGTTGGTAGCGCCACTTGCGGTCGCAGTGTTCCTTGCTGCGCTGGGGATCGAACCCGGGGCAGCGGGGATCGTGGCAGTGGCGGTGCAGATGGCGGTGGGAGCAGCCAAACAGCTGCTGCCGCTGCTGCTGCTCGCGCCTCTCCCCCCTGGTGAGCGGTGCTGGCGAGCAGCCGGAACCTGCTTCGCCATGACCGCAGCCCTGATGCCGCTGCTGTTGCTGCTGCTGCTGTTTCAGCTGCAGCTTCAGCTGCTTTTGCTCCAGCGCGTAGCTCAGGTTCGACAGCAACGCAGTCAGCTCTAGCATAAGTGGAGACCGAAGGATGCGCTGCTGCAGCAGCCGAATGCCTTCCAGTCGCTCCGCGTTTCCGCCGTTCCTGCACAACTCCGCGTTTCCGCCGCTCCCGCCGTTTCCGCCGTAACCGCCGCTCTCAGCTACGTCCGACTCATCCCCCTTACTGAGCTCGGATTTCACAGGGGCACTGTGCACCTTGACGTACTTCTTAACGATTTTCCTTGTAGCAAGGTAGCTGAGAGCGAGGTGCTCCAGCAGGCTTGATGCTGCGCAGTACATAACCTCGGGCCTGACAGGGGGCAGCGGGGGAGTTGGAGGGGGGAAGGGGGTGGAAGGAGAGACGGAGGAGGTGGAAGGACTTTAAGTCGAGTCAACTGTTTCCTTCGCTCCAGGAGGCTTGACGCTGCGCAGTACATGACCTCAGCCCTGAAAGAACGGGGAAAGACGGGGGGGGGGGGGGGGGGAGGATGGATAGCGAGAGAAGAAGAGGGATAGAGAGGTGACTTCTGAGTCGACCAGAAAGCAGGCTCGACGCTGCACAGTACATGACCTCGGGCCTAACCTCTGGCCTGCAGCGCGGGGAATCATAATGCGATAGAAAGGAGGGGGAGGGAGGGGAAGTGAGGGGACGGGCGGGGAGGCGAAGGCGAGGGTGATAGCGAGGGTGATAGCGAGGGTGAGAGCGAGGGTGAGGGCGAGGGTGAGGGCGAGGGCCTCAAGAGTGAACTGAAGAAAGAAATTCAAACAAACAGACAGCCTGCTTACTTGCTGTAATCGGAGAAGCGCGAGAGTATCGCCGAAAGCCCATGCGCGTTATGGCAACTGATGACACGAGCCGCCTCGCGGGTGAAGCTTCGCTCGATGCTTCGCAGCTCCTCCTCCAGCAGCTTGAAAAAGTCGTCGTCGCAATGAGGACAACCGGCCGCCGGCTTGACGGCGTCAAAATTGACGGAGTTAATAACGTCGACGGGGTTGACGGAGTTGACAGCATTTTTGGAAGAGTCCTCTGGCGGACTGGGCACGCATGCTGGAATGCCGTCGCCGTGAGCTCGCGAGGAAAGGCATCGCTTTAATATCTTCTTCAAAGCTCGGTAGTCAACCTGAGCAAACCTGGACGGGATTTCTGCATTTTCGCACGGACAGAAGCGAACAAAATGGAATATTCCAAACAGTGAGAAGTTTCTTTGCAACGCGGCGGGATAAGTCGAGGTTGAGAACTCGTGAGGTTCTAGCAATCTGAGATTTCCTGTACCTGATGACTCGTGCAAACGAGTTTGGTAACTCTGGAAAGTCTTGCCGAATTTCATGCTGGCGACAGATGGCTGTTGCTTAAGCCTTTAGAAAGGAATTATGACGTCTTAAAACCACGAAGACAGCACGCTAAGTCGTGCCTCCCTTCCGCAAAGTCTGGTCTCGCAATGCTTCGTAGTAACTGTTCAGATCAATCGGAACGTCGATGATTGGTTACACACTATATCTCCACTGCTCTTCCGCTTACAGGCTGGTCATCGCCTAATGGACAACACTGGTGTAGGCAAAGGATAACAGATGTGGTGAACTGTAATCGGAACCTAGACTAACAGGAGTCTGAACTGGAAGAATAGAATGTCTAATGGGTAAGTAGAAAGTGGAAGTGGAAACAGGATATCAGAGGAAAGTGAAAGGGAAATCCGCCAACAGAGGAACCTTGAATTCTGGTCAGGAGGGAGACACCTACCTGCTTCTGCTCTTTCTGTGGCACATGAGCAGTCTGCCAAGCCCAAAAGCCAATGAACAGTCTCTTGTACCACAAACGTCTGCCCAATCACGAGCCACGTTTTCCGGTCTGGACATTTTCGTTTGGCTGGACAATTAGCTGCCGTGATTTGCGGTGTAAGGGACCAGGTTCCGACGCTTGACGTGGCTTTGGTCCTGGTTTTGCTTGGCTGGCTAGGTTCGGGGGTTTGTGGCGCCCCCGTGTGGTCTGGTTAGGGATTGTCAGGTGTGCTTCGGCTTGTTAGGCGCAATGATGATGTGACGACGTGGCGAGGAACGTGTTTCCGTTTCAAGTTGCTCTGTTGGAAAACGTGCAAGCAAAGCAAGGTTACGCTGACTCGGCTCAACAGCTTATCACTTTAGGTGCGTCGAATATTCATTCACACGGAAGAACACCTCAGCGTGTCGAATCAGCGCCACTTTTGATGATCCGGGAATGCCACGTCAACGTAGTCTGAACGAATCACAGGGTCGCTGAATATCCAGTGAATTTGGTTTGACTGCTAGTAAGTTATGGTACAGCGCTGCTCATCACTTCACCTAGCTGTTGCGTTGCGGCTGACTGCCAGAAACGCAACTGTCTGCCGTGGAAAGGTCAGCGACACGGATTCGTTGTGTGTCGCTTCAGCTACTGCTCTCCAACCGGTGCTCGCCAAGTAGCGATACCTGTCGCAAACAGCTCATTGGCTGTTATGTGTGTCACCGCGAACATGTTGACGTAAACGAAGCTTTCACGAGGGCCATGTAGCAACGGTAACCAAAGTCAACGAAAAAAACTCCAGGTTCGTGGCAGGTATTAGACTAAAAGGAGCAACAGCTTGGTGAATGCAACTTCCCATGGCTTCTTGGCCATGTTCCCCTTGTGAATTCCATAAACTCTCGCAGTTTGAGCTATTTTCAATGTCTTTCCGTCCGTTTGAATTCTCAGTAGTTCTTCGCGTGTTCTCGTTTCTGCGCCATTTGACGAACGATTTTGCGCAGTCTTCGAACCGCCGCGTGGAGGAATTCTCGCTACTGAAGCTTGAAGAGGAGCCCGTTGCCATGAAATTCGGGAAAGAATTTGCGAGCTACCAAATTCGCCTCCAGGAATCGACAGGTGCTACTGGGATTTCATTTAAGGAAATTCACGTGGTGATGATTCGTTACTAGCTTGATAACTTCGCTGGTACTGGAACTTTTGAGGAAACTCAGTCAGGCGACGCGTCTGTCCGACGGAATCCGTCGTTCTTCATGACCTTAGGCATCAGCGTCCTCTCTAGTAGCTACGCCGTCCGACTATGCCTTTCAGAATTATTGCTTTGCTATTAATCCTTGAAACCTCGCCCTCCCTATCCTCCGGTCTCTCCTCCCCCCTCCCCACTTTCCCCTCCCCGCCTCCCCCAGACCTGACCGCGCGCTTCCCGCAGGTTGACTACCGCGCGCTCAAGAAGATTCTCCGCCGCTGCATCTCCTCCCGCGCGCTGCGCGCTGAGCTGCAGGCGCAGGCGGAGGCGGAGCTGCACGCGGACGGGGATGCGGGAGCGGAGCATGCGGAAGCGGATGCAGTGAGGGCAGCGGCGGAGGCGGGGTGGGAAGAGGCGAAGGCGGAGCTCAAGCGTTCCGTGGCGAACTGCGCAGTAACGTCATGCGCCCGCGGGGAGCTTTCCGCGCCAGCAGCGACCCTGGCAGCGGGGGCGACGGCGGCGGAAAAAGCGCCGCCAGCAGCGGCGGATGCCGGCGCCAGTGGGTGCGCGCGGTGCGATGCGGAGTTTTTTGGGTTACTAGAAGCTGAGTTAATCAGCATCGAACGGAGCTTCAATTCCGCTGCCACGCGGCTGTTGAGCTGTCACAACGCGAGAGGCCTCCAGCTCATTTGCCACGTGCTCTCGCCACGTCAGCTCTTCTCGTGCGGACACGGTGGCAGGAGTCCGCGCTGGCATTCGCACAAGCCAGCGGCCCTCCACCACGCAGCGAGCAGTCTGCTGGAACACCTCGCTATAAGCTTTCTCGCTACGCATAAGATCATCAAGAAATACATCAAGGTACACCGCGGAACGAGCCTCAGCCCGAGCCTCGGCGTATGTCACGCACTCGCGACCCCCGAATCGTGGGAGTTTGTCACTCGCATGCGGCGCCTCCAGGCGCGAATCGTGCGGTCGCCGTTGCTCATCGAAGTGACTGCCATGGCGGCCAATCTAGACCTCGCAGTGGGGGGAGGAGAGAGAGGAGAAGAAGGAGGAGGAGAGAGAGGAAGAGGGGGATGGGGAATGGGAGGAGGTGAGAGAGGAGGAGGAATGAATGGCCAGAGGAGGGAAGTGAAATGCCTGAAGGAGTGTGGGGCAAGTGGTGAGAGTGATGCGGAGAGTGACGCCACAGTGTGTCCGCTGCTCGGCTCGAAGCTGCTGCTGAAAGAGGAGTTCCGGGCAACAGTTGACGTCACTTGCCCCGTGTGTTTGGTGAGTCCCATACATTGCCCCATGTTTTGAGCCCCATGTGTTGCCGTGCGTGGCGTGTCAGTGTGTCCGCTGCTCGGCTCGAAGCTGCTGCTGAAAGCGGAGTTCAGGGCAACAGTTGACGTCACCTGTCCCATCTGCCTGGTAAGCAGCATGTGTTGCCGTGCCGTGCCTGGCCATGCCGTGCCTGGCCATGCCGTGCCTGGCCATGCCTGGCCATGCCGTGCCGTGAAGTGCCGTGCCGCTTAATTCCCTCTCTCCCCCCGACACCCCCTTGCACCACTCCAGGGTGCCCTTTGACCCCGTGTCCCTCGCCTGGACGCACATCTTCTGCCGCGGCTGCGCTTGCATGCATCCCTCACAATTGCGCCACTCGCTCTCCACACATCCCGCCATTTCCTCCCCTTTGCCAGGAGGTGCCCTTCGACCCAGTGTCCCTCGCCTGCACGCACATCTTCAGCTGCGGCTGTGCTTGCTCCGTCGCCCACGTGGCGGTGTTCTTCGGTCTCAAGTCCCTACCTGCATGCATCCACTCTCTACCTCACTCCAAACTCCCATCCCACCAGGAGCTCCCTTTTGACCCCGTCTCCCTCGCCTGCACGCACATCTTCTGCCGCGGCTGTGTTTGCAGACACCTGATAACATGTGCCTGCATGCATCCACTCTCTACCTCACTCCACACTCCCATCCCACCAGGAGGTTCCCTTTGACCCTGTCTCCCTCGCCTGCACGCACATCTTCTGCCGCGGCTGTGCTTGCTCCGTGGCGCACGTCCCAGTGTTCTTTGGGCTGGATTCCGCATCGCCCCACATCACGTGTCCGCTGTGCCGCCAGCAGGGGGTGTTCCGACAGCCCCGGTCTCTGAGGGAACTGCATAGACTCATCATGGCCAGGTAGGGTTACCACCAGAGTAGGGTGTGTATGGGCTGTGCATGCTCCGTGGCGCATGTGCCGGTGTTCTTTGGGTTGGACTCTGCATCGCTGCACATCACGTGCCCGCTGTGCCGCCAGCCGGGGGTGTTTCGGCAGCCGCGGTCTCTGAGAGCTCTCCACAGACTGATCGTGGCCCGGTAGGGCTACCATATCAAGGTACCAATTGAAGGTAAGTTTACCACGTAAAGGCAGGGGACCAGAGCAGCCGGAGCAGGAGAGATTACAAGGGGTGTGGCTCCTTGCTCGTTTCTCTGCTCTCGAAGCTCCATGGCAGTCACGGCTTCTCTTGGCCCCTGGGACCTCTGTTGCATCCTGTTTGCCATTTCTTCCTGTGGCCCTGGGGCTTATGCTGTATCCTGCACTGCAGGCAACCAGGGGAGGGACCAGAACAACCACAGGAGTGGTAGGGTAGGATGGGTCTGGCTGTTTGTTCTCTGCTCTCTGAGTTCCCTGTTAGCACTGCTTCCCTTGGCCCTAAGGCTGATGTATCCTGCACTGCATGCAAGGAACCAGAGCAGCCACAGGAGTGGTAGGGTAGGCCAAGTCTGGCTGTTTGCTTTCTAGTCTGTAAGCTCCCCGTCAGCACTGCGTCTCCGTGTTGTTATGCCATGCACTGCAGGCAACCAGAGGAATGGAAGGCGAGGAGAGACGAGGAGCAGAAGAGGAGGCTTGAGGAGGAGAGACGGTACTGGGATGGTCAAATGCGCATAGCTATGCACATGAGGTGACACTCCCTACCATATAATGAGCCAAGAGTGGATGCCACCTGTTTATGTTGTTTATTCTGTACATTTATGTATATAATATTGTATATAAGCGTCCTTATGCCTCTTGTGTGAGACATACCCTCAATAGACATGCTGCGCTAGAGTTTTCTAACTATAGATCTAATATATGATATAAATGACAAAAGGGGAATTGCACGAACTGTTGTACCCGCTGAGAGATTGTTGGAAGCCCTTGAACAGCACAGCGGAGGCTGCCAAATGAGGAATTTGTGGCACGTGAAGTTTTGCCGAAGTGGCAGTGTCTACCTATCGTTCGCCAGTATGCCACGTCTAGATATCCCGGATGATCACAGCTCGGATTGATCCATCCCAGTTTCTAGGCCGAGATCCCTCGTGCACTTTTCTTGAAGCACCCTGTGGTTTGGGGCTGTAAAAATATGCAGAAACTGGTCCGAAACACGTGTTTTCTGGGTTTGCCCATGCTTTCTCGTGGTTATTCACTCTCGCAGAGAGTTTGGTTGGAACTGGATTGTTTTTGCAAGCTATGTTTGAGCCAACAGAAGGTTCAGCTCTCTAGACCTTGACAGTGGGAACTAGATTCCTGCCAGCTTGGCAAGCTCGCTTTGGTGCAAGGGAAAAGCAACCATTGCTACAGTGCCCAACAATGAGACTTCGGCTTAGTTTGGTGCCATTTTCGGGCAGCTGCTCCAACTCTCAAGGTTCATCCGCGCCTCTGTCGAACCGCCTCGATGCTGACGCGCCTGCTGCCGAAGCAGCATCTGAGGTGCGTGCGAAAGGTTGGGTGACGGCCTGCCCGGCGCGCGGGGCAAAGTCCCGCTCCCTCAGTTCCCCTTCTTCACCTGGTGCGAACTCGAGGTTCGGTTCAGTCGACTTGGCTGTGTTCCCTCTCTGGCATTCTTCTGCAGCAGACAGCTCAGGAGCAAAACGTCGCTTGTGGACTGGAGTTCTCTAGGCGCAAACCTCAGATTCCACACACACTGCTCAGTTGTGCATTATACTCGGCAACTCGTGAACCTTTTCTCATCTTCAACTCAATTCCAACACTCTCAACCAGTCTCTAGTGAGGTGGTGACTCCAGTGTTTCTGTTCGCCAGCGTCTACTGTAGTATTTCTTTTCCGATTTCGACGAGTGAGAAATACTCAGCATGGCAGGACTTCTGGCTAGCCGTATCGCTCTCTCTTCCTCGAGCACCGTAAGCTTCGCCTCTCTGCAATCGAGGCGAATTCCCCCGAGAGCCGCATACGCGTAAGCCTTGTAGCAATTAGCTGGTCACGAATGTTTGAATTGTTACCGTGAGAGCTGTCTTTGACAGAAGCATTGGTGGCTTGTGCAGTAATCCCCATGGCGGACGGACTCCTGGCGCACCATCCCCTCTCACTCCGTACTCAGCAAGGTATGTTGAGAGTCCTGATCCCGCTGCTGTTTTCTTTCTCTTCTCAAATTGCTTCCTCTGACGGTGCTCATGGTGTCGCCTTGTACCAGGATTGAGCAATTGCATTCGACGGCAACAAAGGCAGTTGAAAGCGCGGCCTCTTCCGCTATTAACTCTGCTCCCACGTCTGCTGTCGCGTCATCCTCACCCTCGTTGAGTCCCTTCCGGGAAAGAATAAACGATTGGTAAGGAGAGCCGGCTTCTAGTTCAACTCGAGCTCTATCTGTCATTATCCCATATAGCCGTGAAAGCCGGATTTCCTTACCCAATTACCTCTTCTATCCGCAGGTGGGCTGATCATCTTGTAAGCAAGGCCAATTTCGTGGAAGCTGCTGCTCCATCCCTTTCCTCGGATGACGAAGAGGAATTTCTCATTTTCAAGGCGCCTGTTGAGGTGGATTCTAAGTTCCAGCTCCCCCAGAAGGGCCATCAGGTTAATTATTGACACGAGCCAGTCGCAACCATTATCTATCAACATCGGCGGTTGTCAGGTGGCTACGTTTGTAAATATAACCGGATGATCAAATTGGAGATTACGGTATGCACCTTGCCTGCTGTAAGGTGCAGATACGGTGATTTGTTGATTTTGTTTATTACGCTTTCTGCTTGTCTTACCTCGACATGGGTTTCTGAAATACAATTGCAAAGCATAAAGTGTCACGGTTTTGTCCCAAGTTGACCACATATATCCCACAACTGAAAAACGAGGTATTTCTAGTTCAGGAACGATAAGAGGTACGGTACGGTATCTCCCACATTTTAATCTGTCCTGAGGTACAATACCAGATTGAGCAGGGAACGAATATCTTCAGCATGCTACTGTGAAATGCATTACCACTGGCACACCCATACGCGTGCTGGTACTTAACAGCCCCTTCGCAGCTCCTTGTTACGGTGATTAGGTTTCTAGCCTGCTTTCATCACTCTGGGAACAAAACAAGTCATAAGAAAGCTGCCAATAGGCAACCTAGCTTGTCTACTGTGCTAGTCCGCTTTACTCTCTTGGGGAGCAGCAAGAGCAGAAAGAGAACAGCCACTCAGCAACCTTATACCAAACTGTACTAGTCAGCAAACGCTCTGTATGCTGCGCTGCTCTGGGGACGACGCGGAGGAGCAACTCCCATTCCCAGCAGCCAGCGAGTCAAGTCATAGAAGCTGACAGCCACCAGACCGCCAAGCATCCTTGCACACTCTTGCAATCCAAAATCCCTCTGCACACTGTTCTAATCCGCCTTCCTTGCTCTGGGAACAACGCGGCGTGGTCGACGCGGGGGAGCAACCCCCATCCCCAGCAGCCAGCGAGTCAAGGCATAGAAGCTGACAGCCACCAGACCGCCGAGCGATGCCAGCCACACAGGGTGGTATGAGAGATACTGGAGAGTGAAAGGAATGAAAGACGAGTGGGGAAAGACCGGTATACATGAGTTTGCGCATAAGTGAATACGGACAAGCACATCATTGGAGTCATCATAGGTGACAGCCACGAAACCGCCAAGCGATGCCAGCCACACAGGGTGGTACGGTATGGCAGATACTTGAGAGAGGGGGGAATGACACGAGTATGAGAAGAGGGGAGATAGGAGAGGAGGCATACGGTATGTAGAAAATACCATATTGTGTGCCAACAAGATTCAGAAAGCACAGGATTTGAGGCACTCCGCCTCGGAACAACTTTTCATGCTTTCCCTAATGGGTGCTCCCAATAACAAAGCAAATCTGTCCCAAACATCCCAGCCACATGGCCACACGGCCACATGGCTACATGGCTACATGGTACTGGCCGCATCCACGCTTTCCCACCAATATCTATCCAAGTCACCTTCAAGAATTCTCACTACTTTCCCAATCACCAGCCACACACAGCCACGCTCTCCCAGGAACGCCCATTCTGAAAATCTCACCCGCGTGAACACGTGGTACTGCTCTTATCCCATGCGTATCCCAGCCAGGGGATTAAAAAAAGGAAGGCGGGTTACGACCAACAGCCGGGGAATACGGTACACCCAGGGGGCTCTCCCTCCTGCTTTGCCCAGCCGGGGTGACTTGTATCCGACCCAGCAACTCACCGGCATGAACACGTGGTGCTGCTCACACACGCTTTCCCCAAACACCCCCCCACCCCCCAAGCAACTCACCCGCATGAACGCATGGTACTGCTAACAAGCCCGCTTCTCAAATAACAGTCCCATTTACGCTGCCCCACACACCCTCCCTTCCTACCCTACATTAGCATCTCACCTGTATGAACACGTGGTACTGCTCCACGTGCTGGCCAACAGTTCAACGATCCCATCCACGTGCCCCTACCTTACCGCCTTCCCTCTGACGGCTCGCCAGTCAACCTCTCCCTCTTGCTCTCCCCATCACTCACCCGCATGAACGCGCGGTACTGCTCCCACGCGCCGGCCAGCAGGTCAACAATCCCATCCACGGCCGAGGGCTCGCCCGGCACCTTCTCCTCCCCCACCTCCTTGTAAGCCCCCCGCACAAACCACCGCAACACCGCTGCCAAATCCCCCTTTCCTCCTGCTGCTCCTGCTCCTCCTCCTGCTGCTGCTGCATACCCCTCCCCCTCAAATTCCTCATCCCCTTCATCTCCCATACCGTCCAATCCGGCACCCATCCCGTGCCTGCTGATCAGGCTCGGGAGAGAGGCTTGGGGGAAGGAGAACATGGCTCGGTCTCGGAAGAGCTTGAGGACAGGCTCGGAGCCGACGCCGAACCTCTTCTTCAGCTTCGGATTGGCATCAACGTCCACCTGGGTTGGACAGGGAAAGGAAGGGAACGCGCGAGGGAGAAAATATGTAAAGGAGAAGTTTTTCTCTATCCACTCCACTCTCATTCCCTTTTTTTCTTGAAGTTTCCTCGCTTCATTCTATCTACCTCTCACCCTCTCGTCTCGACGTAAAGTACCCACCTAAGAGGCAATGAAGAGCCACCCAGGCACATCGTCCGCGGCAGAGGCAGCCGCGCCGCCAGGGAAGCAATGAAGAACCGGCCGGGCAGGCCCATCGTCCGACTCCCTCGTCTCAATGGAAAGCTCTCTCCTGAGCGGCTATGAAGAGCCGGTCGGTCAGGCACATCGTCTGGACTTTTGGGTCGACTCAAAAGGCAGGCCCATCGTCCGACTCCCTCGTCTCAATGGAAAGCTCTCTCCTGAGCGGCTATGAAGAGCCGGTCGGTCAGGCACATCGTCTGGACTTTTGGGTCGACTCAAAAGGCAGGCCCATCGTCCGACTCCCTCGTCTCAATGGAAAGCTCTCTCCTGAGCGGCTATGAAGAGCCGGTCGGTCAGGCACATCGTCTGGACTTTTGGGTCGACTCAAAAGGCAGGCCCATCGTCCGACTCCCTCGTCTCAATGGAAAGCTCTCTCCTGAGCGGCTATGAAGAGCCGGTCGGTCAGGAACATCGTCTGGACTTTTGGGTCGACTCAAAAGGCAGGCCCATCGTCCGACTCCCTCGTCTCAATGGAAAGCTCTCTCCTGAGCGGCTATGAAGAGCCGGTCGGTCAGGCACATCGTCTGGACTTTTGGGTCGACTCAAAAGGCAGGCCCATCGTCCGACTCCCTCATCTCAATGGAAAGCTCTCTCCTGAGCGGCTATGAAGAGCCGGTCGGTCAGGCACATCGTCTGGACTTTTGGGTCGACTCAAAAGGCAGGCCCATCGTCCGACTCCCTCGTCTCCATGGAAAGCTCTCTCCTGAGCGGCTATGAAGAGCCGGTCGGTCAGGAACATCGTCTGGACTTTTGGGTCGACTCAAAAGGCAGGCCCATCGTCCGACTCCCTCGTCTCAATGGAAAGCTCTCTCCTGAGCGGCTATGAAGAGCCGGTCGGTCAGGCACATCGTCTGGACTTTTGGGTCGACTCAAAAGGCAGGCCCATCGTCCGACTCCCTCGTCTCAATGGAAAGCTCTCTCCTGAGCGGCTATGAAGAGCCGGTCGGTCAGGCATGCCGTCCGACACTCTCACTTACTCTTTCTCCCTCATCGTCTCTCAATCATTTCGACATCTCACTCGCTTCTCGATATAGAGCCCCCACCCGAGCGCCAATGAAGAGCCGGCCAGGCACGTCGTCCGCGGCAGAAGCAGCCTCTCTTTCTCACTCATCATCTCTCAATCGCTTCAAAATCTCACTGTTTTCCCCACCTGAGCGCCAATGAAGAGCCGACCAGGCACGTCGTCCGCGGCAGAAGCAGCCTCTTTAAGCGATGCGAGGATGCGGTTGCATGGCGACGCGGAGTCAGCAGAGGTGAGGCAGTCTGACGTTGCGAAAAGAACGAACCTAGGGCGGCATTCCGACAAACGGGCAGGACGGAAACGGGAGGGAAGCGGAAGGGAGAGGTTGAAAAAAAAAGAAAAAAGAAAAAAAAAAGAGGAGATTCATCCTGTGATCACAACGTGGATCGCCATCGCATGCTCTCGCCACGGTGGTTACCACGTAACTCACCATCGCCCCGTGGTCTGCCCCGACGACGCCTGCGTGTCGTGCTCGAAGGACGCGTCGGTCAGCGCGCGCACGCGGTACGGGCGGAAATCCGACGCCGCAGAACAGCGGATCAAGGCGAGGAGAGCGAGGAGGGAAAGGAGAGCGCCCGCGCGAGCAGCGAGGCGACGAGGAAGCGACGTGAACGGCGCAGTGCATCTAGACGTCGCCATATGTGCGACGCGGAAACGGCGATGAAAGTCGTATGGTGTGGTACGGGAATGCAGAGGATGCGGCCAAGGTAATGGGGGAACAGGATCCGAGGCGATTCACCAAATGAACGGCGAAATGAACAGAAGCGAGAAACGTCAGTGGAGAAGAAATGATGGCACGGGAAGGAATATCTATGGCGGCTGCCGCGTGCCCTGCGATTTTCCCGCTTATTGGGGGAGATTTTATTGAGGTGTTGGTATTTCAATAGCGGCACACATGTACTCGTCAGTGAGCGAATTCAATTCCAGGTCTGTCTACATGAATTTGGGCTATGAGCTTTTGTGTAGCGAATAGGTTGTTTTGCTAACCGCGAGAGGTTTTGTGGTCCCCGCTGTTCGGGCCCCACCTTCCAGAATTCCAGCACCCTCTTCCGGAAGAAACGTATTGCTTGCATCAGATGAGTGCAGTGCACGCCTCTTCGCTCGCCACGTCATGCCCGCCACGTGCCCCCCTTGGTCCCAGGGGACCACCACCCCACGCAAACTTTTATTTCGCTAGTGTAACCATTCGCCAACGGATGGTCGTTTCCCTCTAGTTTCAGATGAGCGAGCTTTGTTCAAGTTCGCAAAAAACTGAAATTTCGCCTACGTGGCACAGTACAGGATCTCCCAGCCCAAGAGTTCCCCCCACATAAAACAGCTCCACGCTCGTTTCCTGGCCTACCATGCTCACTCTACCTGCCTAGTTTTTAGAACCTCTGCAGGATCAAGCAGGTAGTGCAGTTTTCGGGGTCAGATGTGTCGTGTGCTGTGCCTTCCGCACCGCACAACACGGATCGACTTTCTCTCTACTCTCATCTGCTGCGTGCTGCGTCAATTAAGGCAGTAGACTCGGCGCAGAACGGTACGCGCGTTTCGTGCCAGTGGCGCGGAGCGAGCACGCTAAGCCGCCCACGCTTCCTCGTCTGGCCTTTCGGTGCCAAGCATCTGATCCCACGATTCTTTGCACTCTCTCCTGCACGGCAGTTCTACCGGCGTTGTCATTAAGGCTCTTTTTCATCAAGGTTACTCAAGTTTTTTCGCGAATCCTCGACATTTTCACCAGTCTGCCATCATGACCTCCACCGCCGCCACCTCCGCCAATACCGCCGCATCCCCCGCCGCTTTAGCCGCTCCCGACAGCGTCGTGTCACCGTCAGTCATTGTTGCTAACAGACCATCCGCCGGATCGACGACTGGTCATGAAAGCTCGTTCTCCGCAGCGGAGACGACGGGACGTGACGGCATGCCTGGCGACGACGCAGTCTGCGCGTGCGACGTCGCACGGAGCGACGACGTCGCCGGTGTACGGGCCGTGGCGATGCCAGTGTCGGAGTCTATCTGCGGAAGTAGCTCAAATGGGGCTGACGCGGCAGCTGACGTCAGCAGATCAAAGCCTAACGGTTCAGCGGCACAATTGCCGGCCGCGGCAGGCTCGCCGGTTGTTTCGACCGGGAGTTCGACCGTCGTGGCATCTGCCATGGCAGTGCAACATACAAGGGGTGCAAGAAACCCTGAAGGAGATTTAAGTTTGGGGAAAAAGGCTGGGGCGACGGATTTTGAGACGTCTCAAAATGCAAGGGGTGCAAGAAAGCCCGAGGGCGATCTAGGGTTGCGAGATAAGGCTTTGGCGGCGGGTGCGGCGGCAGTGGTGTCAGCCGTTATTATGAACCCGCTGGACGTTGTTAAGGTACGTTATAGTGTAGCGATGCTGTTGCTGGTATCGGAGCACCCATTAAGGAGAACGGTTTTGGTTTTTGTTGTTGCGATCATTCTTATGTCTATTGTCTTTCTCGCCCCCTTTCCTTCCCTCTTTGCCACCCCCCTCGCCCCACTTCCCATTCGCAACGCCCACGCCAATCGCATCCCTGCCTTGCGCCACTCCCCCCTTCCCCCTCCTTCTTCCCCCCTTGGCCCCGCTTTCCCCCCACATTAGACGCGGTTGCAGGCGCAAACAGCGTCCGCATCCCCCCGCGCCCCAGCCCGCCCTTTGCCCCTCCCTTCCTCCTCCCCAGCTACAATCACGTGTCGTGCGCTCTACCCCTCCCTCGCCGCTACAGTCACATCCGCAGCTGCTACAGGCTCTTCTGCAGCAGCTGCTGCTACAGCCGCCGCTGCTGTTACAGCCTCTTCTGCTACAGCCACTGCCGCTACAACCGCTGCTACCGCCTCTGCCTGCTGCCGTCCTGCCAAGTTCTGCTCGCGGCACCCAGCCTTCCACCCGGCTGTAGCCGCTACAGCCGCCTCGGCCCCCTCCCCCGCCGCCTTCTGCTCCCTCCACCGCGCCCTCTTCCCCTCTGCCGTCTTCCCATCTGTCGCCTTCCCGGCTGTAGCCGCTACAGGCGCTTCTGCCCCCTCTGCTGCTGCCGCCCTGCTGGCCCGGAGCGGGCAGATGCACGGGCACGGGGATTTACGGCGGGCGGCGATGTCTGTCTGTTGTGACGCGGCAGGATTATATGGGCATGGGCATGGGGGAGTGGCTGTAGGCAGTAGTACTAGTAACCATGGCAATGGGTCCACACACGGGCATGCGCATGGGAATGGGAGTATCCATGCAAATGTAACCCATCTACTGCCGAACCAGCACCAGCAGCCTTATCAGCATCACCATCCCCATCACCATCTCCCCCATCACCACCACCACCCGTATCGCAACACATGGGATGTGTTCACGCGGATAGTGCGAGAGGAAGGAGCACTGCGCTTATGGCGAGGCACGGGCGCCTCTCTCCTCATGGCTGTACCAACGGTTGGGATCTACCTCCCTGTGTACGATATCCTCAAGATCGAGCTCGCAGCGATGTCGATCAACGGCCGGGATCGCGCCGTGCCGGAGGCATATGTGCCGTTGATCGCGGGGTCGGTGGCGCGTGCGCTGGCTTGTGTGAGCTGCGCGCCATTGGAGCTCGCAAGGACTCGCATGCAGGCACAGAGACCAGTGGTGGGGGCAGGGGTGGGGGCTGTAGGGGCAGTAGGATCACCTGTGACAGCAGCAGGAGCTGGGGCAGGAGGCGCAGGAGGGTTGGGTGGGGGAGCCGTAGTGGGTGGGTCGAGGCCTGGCACGCTAGCAACACTGCGTACGATTCTGCAGCCGCATTCGGGCACTCAAAGGCTGCGCGCCCTGTGGACAGGTGTCGACGCGCAATTGGCCCGTGACGTGCCGTTCTCAGCCATCTGCTGGGGTCTCTTGGAGCCGACTCGGCGCTACCTGCTCAGTAGATCTGCTGACTGGTGGGAGCAGAAACAGCAGGATAGGCAGCAGTGGGTTCAGGCTGGTTCCGGTGCTGGTGCTGGAGGTGAGGTTTATTCATCTGTGTTTACCGAGGCTGCGGAGGAGGCTCGGCAGCTGCCGCTGCTGCAGGTGGTGGGGGCCAATTTCGCGGCAGGAATGGCGGCGGGGAGTGTGGCAGCAGCAGCAACGCACCCTTTGGACGTTGCCAAGACGAGGAGGCAGATCCAGGTGTCGGGAGCTCAGCTGAACACTGCTCAGACGTTGCAGCATCTCTGGAGGTGAGTAGAGGGGTGTGGTAGGGTTGGATTGGGTTGGTTAGGGTTGGGTTGTGTGTGGTGGGGGCGCACTGGATGTGGCGGGGAGCGTGGCAGCAGCAGCAACGCACCCTTTGGACGTGGCCAAGACGAGGAGGCAGATTCAGGTGTCGGGTGCTCAGCTCAACACTGCCCAGACTCTGCAGCATCCCTGGAGGTTAGTGGGGGTGTGGTAGGGCTGTGGTTAGTTTGTGGTAGGGTTGGGTTGGGTTGTGTGTGGTGTGGTGTGGTGCGTTGTGTGCGCTGGATGTTGCAAAGACGAGGAGGCAGATCCAGGTCTCGGGTGCTCAGCTGAATACTGCTCAGACACTGCAGCATCTCTGGAGGTGAGTAGGTATTTTTAGGGTTTCTAACGTTGTGGCAGGGCTGGGCTGGGTTGTGTGTGGTGTGGGTGGGTTGGATGTAGCCAAGACGAGGAGGCGGATTTAGGTGACGGGTGCTCAGTTGAACATGGCTCAGACGCTGCAGCATCTCTGGAGGTGAATAGAGGGGTGTGGTAGGGTCTCGAGGGTTGTGGAAGGGTTGGGTTGTGTGTGGTGTGGGAGTGCACTGGATATGGCCAAGACGAGGAGGCAGATTGAGGTGTCGGGTGGGCAGCTGAACACTGCTCAGATGCTGCAGCATCTGTGGAGGTAAGTGGGGCTGTGAGTGGGGTTTTGTGTGGAGTGGGTTGTGGGTTGTGGGGGGAGGGGAAGGAGGACGGGGGGTTGGGGGTGTGGGGGGGGGGCGGGGGAGGGTGAGGGGTTGGGGTGAGGAGAGGAATAACGTCTTAAAACTTGATTGCTATATGGTTGCTGTGCGGAATAACTGATGTGTCCATGCCTCGTGTGTTTGTGTTGCCAATGCAGGGAGGGAGGAATGAGATCGTTATTTGCCGGGGCCGGACCTAGAGTGTTGAGAGCTGGCCCATCATGTGGCATTGTGGTCACGTTTTACGAAGTGGTGAAGCACTTGCTTAGTTGAAAAACGTGTTGACTACTGGCGCGCCCCATTTTTGCTGTAAACTCTTTCGTGTGAATGATACGTTATATTTTTCTTTAACTTCTGTTTCTCAGTGATACTACGTAAGTAGCGTGATCTACAAGTGTAGTTTGACGTAACTGTACATTATCATCATGCGCGAAATCATTTTTTCATGGGTTGTGTGGTACCGCTAGCGCTTTGCTTCCTTTGGGAGCTCCTGCTGGCAACAATCACGCAATGCGCTAAATCTTCCCGCCTCCAGGGTTTTCGGCCGACGCGCTTGGTTCCCTGTCGTCGGAACTACCTGGAGTACAGTGCAGAAACCACCAACCGAAGTCTTTGACGGCTGGGCATCCTTTTTTGACGGTCATTTTACACTTGACGGCGCCTTTTTTGTTTTGCACAGGTTCCTCGCATGTGCTGGGGTGGGTGGGAGCCGGGAAGGGAGTTTTTACGTGCGAGCGAACCGCTTCAACCAAGACACATTCTTCCCCAACTCGAACCGCATTCCGAATTGCAATTTGCCTCCTCTTGGCATTACTGTCATCGAGAAGTGCATAAATTCGTTGCGTTATTGAAGGCTCTCATCATTCCCTAGCTAATCAATTCACCCACATTCGCCTCTTTCAGTCGCCCCTTGTGATCTACTCTTCTGATACGCTCTTTTGTTTACCACCATTCCACACAGAAGTACGATTTTTCCAAGCTAAGTGAATTGACTCGTAGTCCTCCCGCTCAGTTCCGCCAAAATCCCGCGTTTTACCTCCAACCATGGCAACTCGAGTGTCGTGTGTCATTGTTCTGCTTCTGGTGGCTGTCCTGGGGTTCTCTCTCCCAGCCTCGGCGGCCGTGAAACCGTACTGCCGCTTCTCCGGGAAACTAGTTGTCAATAACCTCGTGACCGAGCTCACGAAGGCTGGAAACTATTCCAACTTGGTCTCCGCGCTCAAGAAAACAGGTGAGAACTTCTCTGAAACTATTCCAATATCGTTTTTTGGAATGGACGCAGAGCCGGCGGCCGACGATATTTTCCGGAGGCTGCAGATATGAGTCGACGGTTTAACAGCTCTTCCCCTACGTCCCACAAACTCGCGCCTTTTGCGCTTCGCCGCCTCGCCGTGGTCGGATATAACGCCTCCTGGAATGAACACGCCGAGCCTCTACCACGGATTGCGCAGCCTGTCACATAACTCTCGCCTGAAACACTCTCCCATGCCACGCAATATCACCTGACCCTCTACTTTACTCCTTTCAGGCCTTTCCAAGGATCTGAAGGACCTAATCAACTGCTATGAGGCGACGTTCTTCGCGCCGAACGACGACGCGTTCGCGGCGCTTCCGGAAAACGCTAAGCTCGCGACTTTGGACGCCAAGGTGCTGCGCGAGGTGCTGCTGCTGCACGTGGTGCAGAAGAAAATGAACGCCGCTGCGCTCAAGGCGCTGCCCCAGGACAAGCAGGTGAGACATCGTAGTTCCGACTATATGGGGTGGGCTCGGCTCGAGAGGCCCAATTGCGGCGCTTTTTACATTTTTCTTTCATTCGCAGGCATCGTGAGGCAGTGATATATTTCCACCGCACCCATGCTCGGAATCCAGTTGACCCATTCTTCCCGCTCTGAGGACGCTCGATGTCATGAAGACATTAATGTCCTTCCACCGCATCCAATCCCTCGCAACCGCCGTGTCCTCAATTCTCCTCCACCCTTGTGCAGTTCAAGGCGGCGTCAGATGGGTGCAAGGCTCGCCTGGTGAAGGTCACAGCTGCCGGCGCCGACCCAGTCCAGCTGCAGGCCCTGTACGGCCCGCAGGCAGCTTCCATAGTGGCTCCTGACGTCATCTCGCTGCGAGTGATGCAAGTGCACGGGGTAGACACTGTCATCCTGCCCCAGATCATGAAGGCGGGCGATAAGGACTCCCTCAAGCCTACCGTATGCTTTCCCAGGCGCGCGTAGGGCAAGTGAAAGCTGTCCGAAGGGTCTGACGCACCTTATAAGTGTTGTACCCTAGGAGTAATGCACGTTAGAACACCTTCGAGTCGACTCAAACGCCACAACCTATCTACTTATGCCCTTCTCAAACCAACTGGAGGCAAAGTAGATGGGTTGTGGTAGTATGGGCATTGCCAGGCAGGCGGAGGTGGAAGCTGCCCGGCCGATGCACCTGGATGGGTGGGTGAAATTCAGGATGGGTGGGTGGAATTCAGGATGGGTGGGATTCAGGATGGCTTTGACCACCCAGTATGACAGCTGAGTGTGGGGGCAGCATCGTCTTAATGCTGTTTGTGGTGGATAGCAGGCAGGAGTAGCCAGGGTTGTTCTAGGACATGATGAGTTTGTGGTGCTAGGCGAGAAATGCTTGTCTCTGTACTTCCCATTGATAACATAATATACACTTTCATACCAAATTGTGAACAATACTACGTTTTACCAGGCAGTTCCTGAATTGGGCCAAGCCACGGCCTACGTCCCACCCACCCCAGACTGGCCTGCAACTTTCGCCACATAAGAATTGCACAGCAGATGGAGAGATGGGTCCGCATTTAGCATCTTGCTCTCAAGCCACATAGGCACACACACAATGCATTGCAGCTTTGAGAGTCTCATCTTCTGCTGCCCGACAGGGCAAGAGAGCAGAGCACCACGCATGTCCGCTCCTCAGCTGATGTAGAGCACATGGACGGGCCAGGTACAGCATACCTACATGTGCTCGTGTGGGACCACTTTTGAGAATTCTCTGGCAGCTCAGACAGCATCAGGCAGAGACAGGCTGCAGGTGCAAGGCTCATCTGGTGCCAGAGCAGAGCACTGGGTCATCCTCCTGAGTAAGAGCCTTCGTATGCCAAGTACCTGTTCTGTTCTCACATATGTTTGTAGTAGTCGAAGTATACCACATGAATGATTAACAATGTACATCAGAGCTTATTATGAACAGCACTTAGAGCCCTTAGGCTAAAACCAAATGGCAAAACGCAGTCTAGCCCCACTCCTACAGGTTCAAACACTATGGGTGGGGAAAAATAGTTACAAACACATTCCAGTCATATCCAATCCCGAGGCACCTTGCGGTGAATGCGGCACGGATAAAATGCACTGGTAAACTCCAAGCCAGTCGCACTCGCTAGCCAGCCCGCGATATTAGATTCTTCACAGGAAAGCGGGGATCATGGTGAAGGGAGCGTCAGCGAGCGCGAAGTCAAGGTCGCAGGCTACCCCCTCTTCCATTTTAAACTGCTCCCCTTCCACGTCCTCAAAGCTCCCACACGCATCCACTCCGTTGACCCCGTTGACTGCTGCACTGAAGGCAGCAGGAGACCCCGCTCCGCCCTCGGCCATCTCGGTCCGCTTCGCGAATCTCCCTTTCACGCGCGGGCGGCTCTCCGCGTACGCCTTCCGCGACGCATAGCGGATCGTCTTCTCGAACCTCCGCGCCTTGCGCTTCTCCCGGTACCGCATCACGCGCGCCTCGCGCGCAAGCGGGTGGAGAGGGCCCGGGCTTGAAAAGGTCGAGGGAGAGTAAGGGGAGGCGGGCGGGAGCGGGGAAGCCGAGGGGAGCGACGAGGCGGAAGGGAGGGAGGAGCGCAGCACGGCGGGGCTTTCCGAAGCGGGGTGACCCACGCGGGATGACGACGTGGCGCTGGCGTCAAACGCGGCGGCGGTCGCGGCGGAGTCGGCGGCCTGCCTGCTGCTAGGAACGAGGTGCGTGTCGACTTGAGAGGAAACGGAGAAGGATGGGGAGGAGTAGAGGGAAGGGGAGCATTCGCGACGGCCAGCCACGGCCGAAGCGCCTTCGTCTTGGGATTGCACCGGCACCACCATGCTCTCTTTCACGCCCTTCTTAGCCATCGCGGAGTGCGCAGGCGGTTTCGCTGAGGCTAGTTTCGCGTCGACGGGCGTTGCGCTGCGGTCGCCGCCGCCGTACTGCTCGAGGTCGAGGAATGGGTCCACGTCAAACAGGAGATCTGACACGTCAGCAGACTCTGTTTTAGGATATTTAGAAGCAGGAGGTTGCGCAACGTGTGCCGGACGGTGGAGGAGGGGAAGCGTGGAGGGGACGTGCGGAGATGCCGGATAGTGCGACGGCATGTGCGGCGACATGTGCGATGGCATGTGCAGCGGCATTTGCGGCTGCATGTGCGGCGGGAGGTGCGCGTACGGGAAGTAAGGCGATGGTAACATCGGCCGCGGAGGAACAGAGCCAGCCATTTGCATATGCTGCGCCATATACGGCGCCATATAAGGCGACATGTGTGGCGGCATGTGCGGCGGGAGCATCCGCGGTGCAGCAGAGGCGGCTGAGTGGTGAGGGTAAAGGTGGGAGTGGAGAGGGTAGAGCCAATTAGCGTTTCGACCACCCGCCTCCGTGTTCGGCCTCTCCACTTCCTCTTCATCCTCTTCCTCTTCCGCTACCTCCTCCTCCACTCCTCTCCTTGAGACGGCCGCGTTTGCCGCCGTTGCTTGCGGCAGCGCTTGTCCTTGTCTCGAAATGAACTCGTGCTCCTCAGAAGGCGACGCGAACTCTGCGGCGTCATTTGCGGCGAGGAACGCGGCGGGCTGTACGCAGGCCGGTTTACAGCTTTTGATAGACGAAGGGCACTCGTAGAACGGGACGACGGGAACGCGCTCGTGGCGATTCGCGAGTGGGTTCGCCTCGTGAATGTCGGCGTCGCACGTCGCACAAAGAGCCGCAGCGTCGGCTTTGCAGGTTACCGCAGCCGGCGACATTTCGCAAACTTCGCAGACCCACACGCGCTCGTGTCGAGAGGCGAGCTTGTTCGCGCCATGCACCTTGCCGTCGCACGCAAGACAAAGGTACGCCGAGTCGGCTCTGCAGAAGATTAAAGCCGCGCTCGATTGACACGCTTCGCACGGCTTCGGCATGGTTGCTGCGAACCACAGGCGAGGCGAAACGCTGTGGCGAGGAGAGAAACTAGCCTATGCGTGACTATGATAGTCAGTTGAGGTTAGCGGTTGCTTCGTCACGTGAAAAATGACTTTGAATAGGAGGTTGACAAATGAGAAACTATGCTAGAAACCGACTGGTTAACGGCAGGAGAGTGATACTTGTAAGCGGAAAAAGTTCGTTGGTGAACGATGATGGAAAGAACGAAGGAACGAGCTGGCAGTTCAGCGAGTCAGTTGGTTGGGCGAGGCGGGGTGGAGTGGGTGGTGCGGCTAGCCTTGCTTCGAACGACAGTGAGATTGGGTACACAGGGTCCAGCCAGCTCGCCTCCAATGGTAACCGTTCAATGGAATCGCATATGGCCGAGGTACCACCACAGGTTACAGGATAGAACGCGGGGTGCAAGAGATAAGATGGGATTGGCGATAGGGTGAGATAGTATGGGGCGGGAACGAGTGTGGCACATTGTGTGGAGGGGAGAGGTCCCCCAAAGGTCCGCGGAGTCAGCAGCTTTGAGTGGATGGTGGCCGCACAGCTCCAGCATATCAACGGGCGAATGGGAATCGACTTTTAGCTCAGCGTCCAACTGATTTTTATAAACCGGGACAGAACTCTACACCACCAGTCCCACCTTCACTGTTGAACTGTACTAGGGGCAAACGGGCACGTGAACAAAGCCTGTCATTTTTCGGGGCACTCGTGAAGCGACTCTTGGTGGGCAAGTTACCCAGGCCAGGACATCGAAGTCATGTGGCTGATGGACACGGTGGAACGTTGGCAGCCACAAAGCGAAAATCCGATCGTTCAGTGGTGATGGATATCTGGGCAGGCTGCTGCAGCCCAGAACCGAAGCGCGGAAGAGTGCTTTTATGTCAGTCGGAGTCTCCCACAGATATCGACGGCAGAGAGCAGAGCAGAGGAGCTTCCTGAGGTGGAATTAGTGGTGGGGGTAGGGCGAATCTTGCGCTTCGCGGATAGGCATTTCAGCGGCCTCATGCGTCCGAGGCGCAAAAGGTCCATCTTGATTGAATCCACATTTCAGCCACAAATTCCACAAGAAAGTTGTTTCTTTTGTCCAGTCATGAAATTATTATCTGAAACGATTGGTCCGCGGAGGATGTGACATTGGATGTATCCAGTCCGCTCATTTACCGGAGACATGCCCAGGTCATGTACAGTCGACCAATACGGTTGAACGTGAAACCAACAGTGAATGGCTGAAAGAAGGCATCTGCACGCCTGGAAAAGCAGCGTACAGTTTCGTCGTGCACTTTAGAAATTTCAGGGCATCTCAATTTTGAGGACTTTCATTGCGTACAAGAACCCAGCAGGAACAGCGATTGCGAAAGCACTTTCTCGTGTACACCTGTACCAATCGGCAAAAATGCCAGGGAAAACAGGGAAAATATGCCACAAGTAACCAAGTTGGGACTCGATAACGTGAATGGGTAAAAAAAAACGCGTACGGTCACTGTATCGGGTTTTCTGACGGGTTTGGTAAGCGGGGTCACGGATTCAGTCACTACAACAGGTAAAAAATCACGCGAATGGTCACACATGTAACTCCCGCCAAAAAAACTTGAAGCTCAACAAAATTCCCGCTCGCGCCCAACCAATCTGCGAACTTGTAAAAAAACTAAAACCCAATCGGAATCGGATGCGGTTTGGGAACGGATCAACCCTAAAAACCTGGCGAGTTACGTGTTCAGGGTTGATCATCCGAAAATGCATCCAGGTTCTTTCTGGGTTTCATTTTTTTTTGGCGGGAGTTTCATCTGTGACCATTCGCGTTTTTTTTTACCAGCTGATTGTGACTGATTCCGTGAAACGCTTTATCAGTCACGTGAAAAGACCCTTTGCAGTGACCGTACCCTTTATTTTTTTACCAAAAATGTTTTTGAGTCCCATGATGGTTACGAACGGCATATTTTCCCGGGAAAATATGCCACTCGCAATCAACAAGGGTCTCGATAATATGTTTTGTGAAAAAATAACGGGTACGGTCAATGCAAAGGGTGTTTTCACGTGTTTGATAAAACGTTTCACGGAGTCAGTCACAATCAACTGGGGAAAACAAACGCGAATGGTCACAGATGAAACTCCCGCCCAAAAAAGATAATACCCAGAACGAATCTGGATGCGTTTTCGGATGAATCAACCCTAAACACAACTCGCCAGGTGTTTAGGGTTGATCCGTTCCCAAACCGCATCCGATTCCGATTGGGTTTTAGTATTTTTAGAAATTAGCTGATTGGTTGGGTGCGAGCAGGAATTTTGTAGAGTTTTCAAGTTTTTTTTGGCGGGAGTTACATGTGTGACCATTCGCGTGATTTTCACCCGTCAGCGAACCCGATACAGTGACCGTACACGTTACTTTTTTATCATTTACGTTATCGAGTCCCATGTTGGTTACTTGTGACATATTTTCCCACAATTGCCACATTTGCAGGGCACGTGTCCCACTTTCTGACTGGGTCGTTCTACATTGACGGTGAGACTGGCCTCCAGGATACTTGGAGCTAGCACCCACCGTCGAAGGTGGTGGTGACTCGGCAATGAATTGTCTGCCTCAACATGAAGATTCTACCGCTCTTCTAGAATCAAGAATCTCCTCCTGCATTCTCGATCTCAGACCCAACCCATCACTTCCACGTCACAAACACGCAAGAACCAGTCAATGCCGTGCTTGAAAGACACGTATCAGGAGCAGACTGACTGGCAGAGCGCTTTCTCGTTATCAGATCGTACATTATGAGTATTTAAAACATGCCCCTTATAGATCAACGACTGTACAGACAACGATCCTATAGGACGAGTTCTTGAGGTGGGTGAACCCAGTATAATTGGTGACCTCCGCGACCGGCTCAAAAGTGAACTGAAACATTCAAAGCAAGGCTACGCTGCGGAAAAAGACCCGCATGTGTTACAATACCCTTTCACACCAACATTTTCCACAAGAAAGAGCAGACTGTCTTCAAATGAGTGGAGGCACATTGCACAACCTATGTGTATCAAGATGGCACAAAAAAAAAGGCACAAATACATACCTCTACAAGTTTATTAGCAAACCAGAGAGGCTACTTCCACTTTCGTGGCATTGGTGCTTGCTAGGGCAAAACACTACACCTAATCAACTACTGCTTATCCCATCACCCCACAGCACCACATATCACCACAATCTTGTTCCCCTTGTCCACAATCCCTGAGGCCCTGCTGCCCTGCTGCCCTCCTGCCCCTGACTAAGCATCTAGTTATCTTGCTCCTCCGATCCTACAATCGGTCCATCACTCCACATCATCATCACTCTCCAGACCACCCCTTTCCTCTCCCTCATCCTCTCCTCTCAAACCACCACTTTCCACCTCTCCATCACTCACCCCCCTCTCCTCTGCTTCCTTTGCTCCTGCACCGTCTTCCCCTTCTGCCTCCTCCCCCACCTCACGCCCCGCTCTCAAACCAACACCCCTCTCCTCACCACGTCCCTTCTCATCTCCCTCCTCGTTCTCCTCACCGCCCTCCCTTGCCACACCATCATCATCGTTCACATCAAGCCCTCCCACTCCCCCCACCACTCCCTCTTCCCCCTTAGCACTCTTTCTCCTCTCCCTCTCCTTATCCAGCCTCTCCTCTTCCGCCTCCTCCTCCTCCTCACCCTCCTCTTCCTTCTCCAGTTTCCTCCCAGCTCCTGTCACCCCCTTCTTTTTCTCCCTCCCACTCTCTTCCTCACTCTCCTCCCTACTCCCTTTCTCACTCCCCTTCTCATCCCCCTTCTCCCCCACACCCCCTCTCTCCTCCTCCTCTCGTTCCTCCTCGTCCTCAGCACTAGCAGCAACCACAGCACGGGCCATAGCAGCCCGCTGCTGCCGCATCACAGCCTTGGTCAACCCAATCTTCCTCCTGTCCTGCACACTCTCCTCCTCTTCATCCTCCTCCTCCTCCTCATCCTCATCCACTATAATCTCCGGAATGCCCTTCTTTCCAATCGGTACAGTCACATTCTTTACAGTAACAGCAGCCGCTCCCTTTGCACCATTCTTCCCTTGTCCCGACCCTCCCACTGCAACCTTCCGAGCCTTCCCCTCCTTCCCCTCCTGCCCCTCCTGCTTCTTCTTCTTCTTTGCTTCTCTCTCTGCTGCCTTCTTTGCCTCTTCCACTCTCCTGCCCTCCTCTAACTTCCTCTGCCTCTCGTCCTCCTTCTCCCGCCACGCCTCCTCCTCCTTCCTCCTCGTCTCCTCCTCCTCCCTCCACTTCTCCTGCTCCTCAGCCATCCTCTTCGCCTCTTGCTCCAACCTCTCCTTCTCCTCAGCCTGCTTCTTCCTCTTCTCAACCACCTGCTGCTGCTTCCTCTCATAGTGCGTCTCGGCAATCCACGCCCGTGTCGTCACATTAACCAGCGGAACGACAACGCTGCTGTTCAGGTGCAGGTGCGTGAACCCGTAAGGCTTGATCACCTGGTTGTCGGCGAAAACAGCGGCGCGCTTCATGTGCACGAGACACTTGGCAGCGTCGTATTCGCCCATGCTGCCGCACGGCTTGCACCCCACGAAGTGAGTCACAAACGGCCACCTGTCGTCCCCGAAGCCGGCATGGAATCGCTCCATCATCTCCTCAAACCTGGGAGAAACGGGGAGATTAGGGGGAAGAGGAATGAGTGGGACCGGACTGGACCTTCCCCGTGGTTGCATCGTATTCGCCCATGCCGCCGCACGGCTTGCATCCCACGAAGTGAGTCACAAACGGCCACCGGTCGTCACCGAAACCAGCATGGAACCTGGGGGAGAAGATAGTATTATCAGAGCCAGCATGAAAACACTGTAATTTCTCAAACCCGAACGCGAGAGGAGGGAAGGTGTCGGAAAGTGGTGGGAGTAAGAGAAGAAGGGGCACACAATGACATGCAAGACAGTGCAGTTCACAGGCTTATAACGTTGACCACCCGTTGACCACCCGGTTGACCACCCGTTGACCAGGTCAACGCACCTGTTGACCAGGTTGACCCAGTAGCCGTGCAGGTAGAACTTGCTCTCCAGGTGCACGTGCCTGCCCCACCGCTCCCTCCCGCTCACCAGCAGCCACACCAGCGCCGACTGATCATCTGCTTCAAATTCAGGCCGGCCCTGGGAGAGGTGAAGGGAGAGAGAGGTGAGAGAGGGAGAGGACATGAGTAAGTGAGAGGACAACACCGCTCCCTCCCGCTCACCACCAGCCACACCAGCGCCGACTGGACGTCTGCTTCAACCTCGGGCCGGCCCTGGGAGAAGAAAGCAAGGCAGGGGAGCGAGGGAGAGGGAGGAGAGGAAGAGACAAGAGGTCGGAAGGGAAGTGCAGAAGCTGGTTTTGTTTTTGAGACGTCTCAAAAACAACCTCGCTACAGCTGGTTCCCATCAGCAGCCACACCAGCGCTGACTGACCGTCCGCCTCAAACTCAGGCCGGCTCTGGGAGAGGTGAAGAGAGATTTGAGAGAGCAGGAGGACATGGGGTAAGAGAAAGGAAGATACTGTGTTGGTCCGTCAGCAGTCACATCACTCAATCCACCTCTATGCAACTCTCGCCTCGACATACCTTGATCTGAGCCATCAGCACTCTGCGTGCCTCCTCCCTGGCCCTGCCCACTGCCCCCTGCGCCCATGACCCCACTACACATTGTGCTATCTCTGCTCCACGGAACTCTCGCCTCAACGCATACCGAGCATCATATGTAGGAACGCACAGTGCACTATGCCTTAGAAGCTCACCTTGAGCTGCGCCGTCAGCACTCGCCCCGCCTCCTCCCTGGCCCTGCCCCTCGCGCCCATGACCATACATTCCCTGTGATTTCTGCTCTCTCTCTGCTCCACGCAACACACGCCCTAACACACCTTGAGCTGCGCCGTCAGCACTCGCCCCGCCTCCTCCCTGGCTCTACCCCTCGCGCCCATGGCGGCCCACTTGGCGAGCAGATCAAGCGACCACTGCACAGGAGGGGAGAGGGCGGAGAGGTGGAAGGGGGAGAGTGGGGCAGGGCGGGGGTGATGAAAGGGGAATGACGCCCATGGCGGCCCACTTGGCGAGCAGATCAAGCGACCACTGCACAGCAGGAGGGGAGAGGGGGGATGGGGGAGAACGGGGGAAGCGGGAGGGCGGGGAGGGGGAGATGGCGGGGGTGATGCAGGAGTAATTGCGCCCATGGCGGCCCACTTGGCGAGCAGATCAAGCGACCACTGCAGGGGGGGGTGGAAGGGGGGGGAGGGCGAGAAAAGAAGATGAGCATAAGACGAGCGATATGAGCAAAGAGCAGCACACGATGCAGTGAGACACAAAGACGTCGAATAAAAGGCAGCAGAACTGTGAGTAGTAGGGGAAATGGAGGGGGTTGCGCAGGGGGAGGGGTAGGGCGAGGGGAAGAGAGGAGCAAAGATGGCCAGAGAGGGGCAGAGAGGGGAAGAGAGTGACAAAGAGGGGCAGAGAGGGGCAGGGCGAGGGGCAGAGAGGGAGGGCGCTCACCTGGTTGTTGCGCAGGAGGAAGCTTCCAGTGCTGAGACCCACCCTGTGGTACGGGGGGACGGGGGAAGGTGGAGGGGGGCACAGGAAGGGGCAATGCGGAGGAGGGTGAGAGGTTACATATGAGCGGGCAATAAAGCTGCCAAGTGGACACCGCAACGAGCTCCCCCGCTCTCTCTCCTCACTCCGCTACTCTGCGCGCACCAATCCCTGCGCGCACCAATCCCTGCGCGCACCAATCCCTGCGCGCACCAATCCCTCGCACCAATCCCTGCGCCACCCCGGTGCGTGTACACGAGGTCATCCCACCCCGGCGCCACCACGCCCATTGCCCACGCTCTTGTATTTGCAGCGACTCATACTGCAGTGCTCACCATTCCACCCCCCTAAGCAACACTCACCAGTCGCGGTGCTTGTACACGAGGTCGTCCCACCCCGGCACCACCATGCTCACGCCCTTGTACTTGCGCCACCTCGCCACTCGCGGTGCTCTACCCCTCTGCCCCTAAGCGGCTCACCAGCCGCAGTGCTCTCAACCTCTTCCCCTAAACGACACTCACCAGTCGCGGTGCTTATACACGAGGTCGTCCCATCCCGGCACCGCCATGCGCATTGCCCACGCCCTTGTACTGGCAGCGACTCATACTGCAGTGCTCACCATTCCTCCCCCCTAAGCGACACTCACCAGTCGCGGTGCTTATACACGAGGTCGTCCCACCCCGGCACCACCATGCTCACGCCCTTGTACTTGCGCCACGGCAGCTCGAACTTCATGTCTGCGCGCGGAGGGGGAGGGGAAAGGGGAGAGGCGAGGATGGGAGGTGAGCCAACCGGTTCCACTGAGGCAGCAAACGACCATGCTCACATCCTTGTACTTGCGCCACGGCAGCTCGAACTTCATGTCTGCGCGAGGAGGGGGAGGGGAAAGGGGAGAGGAGAGGATGGGAGGTGAGCCAACCGGTTCCACTGAGGCAGCAAACGACCATGCTCACATCCTTGTACTTGCGCCACGGCAGCTCGAACTTTATGTCTGCGCGCGCGGAAAGGGGGGGGGAAAGGGGAGGGCGAGGGCGAGGGGGAGGGCGAGGGGGAGGGGGAGGGGGTGGAGGAGGAGAGAGTGGGGGAAAGGGAGAAGGAGATGCAACGGGAGGGATTGGGGGGAGGAATGAGGTCAGCGGAAGCGATGTTTTGCTCATGTCCTTGTGCATGCGCACGGCACCTCAAACTTGAAGTCTGTTTGTGCGCAGGTCTGCATCGCCGTGTCACCCTTTCCTGCTAACCCACAAGCGCCTGTTTCCCGGAAACTCCCTCCATCCCCTTCCCTCTCATTTCCGGAAACTCCCTCTACCCGCTTCCCCTCTCCCTCCCCCTCCCCCCACCCCGTTCCCTTGCCGCCCACGACCCACCGTACCCGTTATAATGGAGTCCGAGTCGATCCACCAGAACCACTCTATATCGGGGTGCGCGAGCATGAGGCGGCGCAGCAGCGGCAGCTTCTCCCACATGCCGTTCATCTCCTTGTCCAGCCGGACCATGTGGTGGTATACCACCATGCCGTGCGAACGCGCATAGTCCAGCTTCGATTTAAGGAACAAGAGCTGGAAGTGGTCGCCCACGCTGTGCTCGCACGGCTTCGGCTGGGATGTCGACACGATCATGACACGTGGCCGCCCGTCATTGGTGGAGTTGCACCCGGGATTCAAGGCTATGTGCTCCGCGCGCTGCTCGTCCCAGTCTGTGGGGCCCGGCAGGGAGAAGTGCACGCAGACGGGGAGAAAGTAGGACAGGGAGGGGGAAGGAGGGGTGGGGGAGGGGGGGAAGTAGGGGAAGGAAGAGAAGGACGAGGGAGGGGGGGAAGGAGGGGAAGTTGTAGCCGGAAAGGGGGAACGTTATGCGCTCGGCGCGCTTCTGATCTCTACGGAGCGAGGGGTAAGCCGCAAGAGAAGGAGGGGTCAGGAAAGAGGCGAGGGTGGAAGCGGGTGAGGAAGCGTCGGTGAGGAGGGAAAAGGGGCGGGGGGGAGAGGGAAGGGGGGGAGGGGAAGGGGAGGGGAGAACGAGGGAAGAAGACGCGAGTTGGGAAGGAGCGTGGCGGGGTATCGAGGGGGAATAGGGGGACGGGGCAAAAACCCGAGGGGAGGGGAAGTTCAGCACAGACGGAAAACCCACGAGGTGAAGCAGGAGCCAGCAGGCAGTAACGGCCGTACCTGTGATGTTGGGCCCGACGCGGTACGGCGAGTTGCGGTCCGTCATCTTGTCCTGCAGGAAGAGCAGCTGGCTCTCCCGGGACTGCCATGTGGAAGCGAGGGGCCAGGGACAAGAAATGGACATTTGAGACGACTCCGAGATTTCGGAGCAGATTACTTGGTCAGAGGTTTCAACGCGGGAACGGGAGAAAATTAGTCGGGAGGGAAAGCCGTAACCAACGAGAGACGGAGGGAATGACAAAGAGAGACCAGAGGACGGGAGACATCGCAAGCAAGTGACGGGTGGATCAGGGAGGAAAGGACGACTAGTCGTGGATGCACGCATCTATTCCCGTGACTGGCAACGCCGGAAAAGTACACTGGCGATATGCCAAGCGGTAAATTTGCAAAATCTCCATTGAAGAACGAATCTGTTTGTGAAAACATGAGGTCAAGCATACTGTGGCCCATGCAGCGGCGCCTGCTACTAGGCAGTATGAGCGGAAAGGGGAGAGGGAACTGACTCGTAAGAATGGGAGAGGCTGCTACTTGAGAAACACAAACGGCGATACGAGACGCTGCTACTGTTACGTCTAAGATCACAAGACCAATGAGAGTTGGATTCGATGTCAATGGTTTCAGATACGATTATCGTTGGCTATCACCATTGCCCTACACTTCAAATCGCAGGATGAGTGTCCGTGATTGCATCTGTACCGACCAGCGATAGCGATCTGACGAAACCCAAGTCAACCGGCGCGTAGGAACGGGCCTAAACGTCTGTCGGTCCACGAAAGTTAACGCAAAAAATCTTAGCCGTGGAATTATGACAGGTAATTTCCTAGTCGCACCCGTCGATCCATGAAAGTTCAGCGCACTATCGTAGCCATTCATCCACGCCGCGTCTCCACACGATTTCCTAAAAGAGAATGACACACGCACCACGCGACATCGTATTCGTAACACGGGTCTCAAAAGCTTCTCTAAGTAACGATGATTAACTCTATATCGCAATCGTGTATTTTCAGAACGTGCTTCACAGGACCCCGGACAGCTAACTAAGCACTCGCTTCGCAATCTCGCGATGCGACCGATACGATCGATTCGACCGATACGAACCGATACGAACCACTACGGACCTTGAGGAGGCCCTTCTCTTGAAAGGACCGGAGCTCGCGGTTGAGAATCTCGGCATCCTGAAACGGCGTGCCGAACTTGCCGGCGCCGAGGGTTCCGCGAAAGACGAGGAAGGTGATGAAGCCGCAGACGAGCGTCATCTTAAAGTTGTACGCGACCTTGCGAAAATTCTTCATTCGCGGGTGGTTCCATACCCACCCCAGTGAGCACGACAGCCAATCGCAACACAGCGATCTTTCCGGCTTCATTGCGTCGTTAACTTCAATCGCGACAAATAACTAGGGGATTCGACTATACTTGCTATACGGTTTAAAACGAACGTAGGAGACACTGAGGCATTTCTGAGGACAATTGCAGAGGGGGAGGAGTTGGCACTAGGAAAGCCGCGCAACAGTGGCTTCGCTTAGATCAGCTTGTACAATTACTGGGTTGCGATCGGGATAATTCCTTCACCAAAACTATTGGACACCATAAGTACGTGTAAACCGTCTACCGCCAGCTAGTTACCCCACAGCAACACGCTACAGCATGAAGCAATACAGCTGAATGATACTAACGAAATCACGGAACAAAGATGTCATTCACCAAAAGCTCTCAACCCAACTTGTGCCTTAGCTCGCACAGATAGTCAGCAGCTAATGAAAAGTGACCACTTGTTCCCTCGTTGGTACATCCATTGCTACTTCTACTAGAACGCTTTAAGTTCCATTAAACCGTATTTTAACGTATGAAACCTCACAGAACCATTGAAGACACTCGATCAGTCTGTGCACATCTCCTGAGGGCGTTCTCACCGCCACCACACACGCCTGATGTTCCCGAGAGGCAAATGTCCTTCCGATTGCTGTCCCAGTCAATATCCATTTGATTGGTTGATTAGAACGAAGAAGAGGTTCGGAAGGCACCACACGACGTCCGGAAGTTCGCATTCAGGGCAGTTGGGCTGGGTGGCGGGCGGGCAAACCGTGACAGCCAGCTCCACGCGGTTCCTCCCACCCAAGTGTTACGGGGAGCAGGTTTTGCGTTGCGTGCCTGACTGCGCCAAACCCCGAACCACCAGTCCCAGCGTGGCGCGTGCTGGTCTGGGTTGAGTTGGGAACCACAGTGCGGAGCGCTGGTCAAGTGTACAACGCTCGCACCAAGGCACTTCCCGCGCGAATTTAGGAGCCTTGGGAATGCTCAGCTCGATGCACGGCTCTGAGCACTCTCTTCAGCGCCCCGAGTTCAGTCTCTCGTAACAGATGCTTCCGCGTGGCAATACGAACGGCGAGATGCGAGAGTTCTGCAGTCACACTTGAATCAGGTCCGCGTACCCGATTTAACATAGTACATGTGCACGATCACTTCATACTACACAAGTGATAAATGCTTATTTGCTAGTACGCAAGGGTGTGCAGCATATTGGTAGACCAAATGCTTCAAAGCCCATTGTTCTACACCCAAGAATGAAGCCTGCTTCAACTGAAGTATTGCCATTCTGCAACCTCCCCAGGGCATTTTTTCGGGCAGTTTTGCAACCTGAGATGGTCAAGTTCGTGACAGGCTTGGTCATTTCATAAACCTGCCCGCAGTATCGTATGGAAAACCGAAAGCGAAGGGTGTGCTGCTCCGGGGCTGACCGGGGCCCTTGAAAATTGCACGAACCCCCTCGAGTTCATCTCATAAACCTCCTCGAAAATTGCTCAACACCACCCCTCCCCTCCCTCTAGAATTGCTGAATCAGGCAGTGCCTGGCATTCCTAGTCTAAAATTGCTCTAGCAAGCAGCATCAGTGCAGTTCCTGAAAGCTCATATGCTCCTGACAGACATTTGACAAACAGGCATTTCAGATTGCTGACTCACCTCTAAAGCTCAACTCACACCAGTTTTCCTTTGTAACATAACATGGTGAAGTACGTATAAGCTAACCATGGAAGCCGACTGGGAATTAGATTCAGACGGCGAGGGCAAGCGATGGAGTCTCGGCCCGGCGTTCGACGACGCGGGTCAGCTCTCAGACGACGACCTTCTCACTGACCTCGGGAGTACCGCCGCCGCTCGAGATGGCGACCTTACTAATAATCTCGAAACCACCGCCATTGGCGGCGGTTTCACTAGTGGTGTGGACGTTACAAGAGACGGCCAAAGTAGCGATGCGAGCAACGGTGCGCGGACGAATCGCACGTCCCAGGCTAACGGCGCGTCGAACCTTAACGGCTCGTTGGGCCATAACGGCGCGCTGGAAGCCAACGGCTCGCTAGGCCATAACGGCGATAGTGAAAGCTCTGATCGACCCGGCGGTAACGAAGCCTCGCGTTCCGCTGGCGACATAGCCGACGGGGCAGTCCATCTGAGTTCTGCGGACGACGGGTTGCGCGACGCGGGGGAGAGCGGGGCTGGCGACGTGGGTGGTGGAACGGGGGAAACAGCAGAGGGAACGCGTGTAGCGGTAGTGGCGCCTGAACTGGCGCCGCAAAGGGAGGAGCGGAGCGCTGAGTCAACACGGCCGGCAGTGAGTTCACTCGCGCCCCAATTAGCGCCGGAAGAAACATCCACAGGAGGATTGGCAAACGGGAGCGGAGAGTGGGTGGGGAAGGGGCCTGCGGAAGGTGTGAGGGAGGCCAATGGTGCAACGGATGCAGACGAGGGGAGGCGAGGGCAAGGAAAGGGTGGCAGTGACGAGAGCAGTGCAGCGAACAGGTCGGGGGAGATTAGGGTCGGTTTGAAGGACATCAAGAGGAGTGGCATGGGAAGTGATGGTGCGAGTGGGAACTTTGTAGCGAGTGTGAGCGATAGGGGTAGTGGGAGCGGTATTGGTGGTGGTAAACCAAGTGACAAAGGGAGAGCAGTGATTGGAAAGGCGCAGGTGGGAAGTGGAGTGGGGGCGCGGATACAGACGGGCGAGGCGGGGGGAGCGGGAGCAGGGGGAGGGGCAGGGGGAAGGGTAGGGGGGGGATCGGGGCGCATGCCAGTCCGCCAGCAGAGCCCTCGCCCTTCCGCTGCTTTCGCCTCCCCCACACGCTCAGGCCCTGGCACCCGGGGGACAGCACCAGGGGGAGGGGGAAGCGGAGGAGGGGGAACAAGAGGGGCGCAGGGGGTGGTTGGTAGGTCGCCTTCAGAGGAGCGAAGGAGGGCAAGCACGGGCAGTCCAGGCAGCAGAGGCAAGTCAGACAGCCCGGGCAACTTGGGCAGCGTAAAAAGACCGGATTGGGCGAGCGGGATTGGTCCGCTGACCAGCAGTTACAGCCCAGAGTTAGCCGGCAGGAAGGCAGGGGGCGGGGCGCTGGGCGGAATGGGTTCCTTGTCTCTTGAGCGGCACAGCATAGCTGTGACTGGGCGGTGGAGTGATCCCGGGTGGCTGGGCATCAGGGGACGGGCAGGGGCGCAGGGGGGAGCTCAAGGGGGAGTGCAAAGGGGAGTGCAGGGGGGAGCTTTGGGGGGAGCGCGAGCAGCTGGTGTGGGGCAGAGTGCGGAGAGAGCAGAGGTCGCGGGGAAGGGGAGTGGGCGCGTGGCGAGTCCGAGTGGAAGGAGGGACGCAGCGCCAGGGGCAGCTGGGGGGAAAGCAGGGGGAAGAGCTGAGGGGATGGGCGGAACGGGTGTGAATGGCGCAGCAGGGAGGGCGGGTGGCAGTCCTTTGAGACGGAATGGCGCAGCAGGGGGAAAGGTGGAAGAGAGAACAGGAGGTGGGGGCGAGGGACGAGTAGGTGAGAGAGGAGGAGGTGGCGGTGGGGGACGAATAAGCCCTGGTCGTGTGGCCTCAACAGCAGCATTCGCATCCCCATCACTGGCATCACCAGCAACATCATCAGCGGCAGCAGCAGCGAATGCGAGTGCAATTGCAAGTGCGAGTGCACGCAGGCGCATAGCCTTTGGCAGCAGTGTGAGCTTCGACGCAGCTGCCTCGTCATACTCCCCCCCTTCCAGCTCTGTCGCCGCCCCCACTGCAGCCTCTCTTGCCAGGCGAGCCGCCAACCTCCGCTCCCACCTCGCCTCCCTCACCTCCTCCCCCACTTTCACTGCCCCTTCTGCTGCCTCTGCTGCTGCCTCTGCCAGTCGTGCAACACCTGCTGCTGCTGCTGCTGCTGTTTCCACGCGTAGGAGCTTGGGCACGGGGAGCAACAGTAGCTCTTCCTCTCATTCTGCCTCTGCTTCTGCCTCGGGTTCCGCGCCTGCCTCTGCATATCCCTCTGTTTCCAGCAGCCCAGTCGTTGCCCCAACACCCGCGCCTTGTGATCCCCCAGTGGCTCCTGCTGGGATCCCTCCTAGCATTTATGAGGGCATGCAGGGCGATTCCCCTGCTCTCAACAGTGCTTCCCCTTCTTTGGATCCCTCCCCTGATGTGGTCACCACTCCCAGCACCACCACCACCACTACCACTGCTGCTGCTGCTGAATCCGATGCCGCTGTTGCCGATAGTGACCGAATGGGTGGCACTGTGAGTGCTGTAGACATAGCAGGAAGTGAGGAATTGGAAGTGGGGAGAGAGGACGAGAGAGAGGAGGGGAGAGATGAGTGGAGAGAAGAGGGGAACGAGGGGGAACGAGAGGTGGGCGAAAGAGCGGCGGAGGAAAGAGAAGAGGATAGCACGATGACCCTGACAAAGATAAGGGATGGAAAGCAGGCGGAGAGTAGAGATCAAGGTGAAGTAGCGAAGGGATGGGAGAAGGAGGAGGAGGAAGGCAGCGGTAAATGCTTGCTAGAGACAGGAGAGGCTCCAATGCAAGCAGCAGCAGAAGCTGGTGGAGCAATGCCCAGTGCATGCAGCCCTGTGACAACAGCTGCTGTCACACCAGCCGTAGTGCCGTTAGCCGCAGCACCGTCACCATCACCATCGCCATCACCAATCATGGCATCGCAAGCACCAGTGTCGCCCGTATCACCATTGCCCTCCCGAATGGCGTCGCGGGCAGGGACAAGAGGCGCATCAGCAGCATCATCACCAGCAGCAGCAGTAGCAGTAGCATCAGTGCTAGTATCATCACCACCACCAGTAGTCCCATCACAACCGCCAGCATCGCCAGAACCATCCATGCTATCACCATCACCATTACCATCACCATCGCGGTTATCATCACTGGCAGGGACAAGAGGAGCATCAGCAGCATCATCACCAGCAGCAGCAGGAGCATCAATGCTAGTGTCATCACCAGGAAGAGGGGGAGCTGGAGGAGGGGGAGGAGGGGGAGGGAGCCTGGGTGGCAGGGCAAGGGTGTCGTCTAGAGAACTGCGGGTGATGCCGGGTCCTGATGTGCGTGGCACAGATGACACGGTGGGTGGCAGAGATGACACGCTGGGTGGTAGAGATGACACGGTGGGTGGCAGAGATGACACGCTGGGTGGTAGAGATGACACGGTGGGTGGCAGAGATGACACGCTGGGTGGTAGAGATGACACGGTGGGTGGCAGAGATGACACGCTGGGTGGTAGAGATGACACAGTGGGTGGCAGAGATGACACGGTGGGTGGCAGAGATGACATGCCGCCCTCACCAGCGTGTGGACCTGCGGTCGCAGCGAATCAGAAGCCTCAAGGCCGACTCCTGTTCACACACACAAACACGTCGCTCCCACCCATATTATTGATTACATTTTTGTTTTTTTTTTTTTGTTTTTCCTCCCCATCACCCAAATCCTTAACCCTCATCACCCAACCCAGCCCCCTTCACTCCCATCATCACCCTTTCCCCCCATTTCCTCTAACCAGCGTGCGGACCTGCGCTCGCAGCGCATCAGAAGCCTCAAAGCTGGCACCAGTTCACACGCAAGTATGTCGTCTCCATTCCTCCCCCGTCACCCAACTCCCCTTCCCCTCCCCCCTCACCAGCGGGTGGACCTGCGGTCACATCGCATCAGAAGCCTCAAGGCTGAGACGCTGGACCTGCCCCCTCCCCTCCCCACACATATGTCGTAACCATCCCTCCCTCCTACCTTCCCCACATCCTCCCCTTTACCCCCGGCCATTCAAATCACCAGCGGGTGGACCTGCGCTCGCAGCGCATCAGAAGCCTCAAACCCCACACGCTGCACCTGCACCCTCCCTCCTCCACACACACACATGTCGTAACCATCCCTCCCTCCCACCTCCCCCACACCCTCCCCTTTACCCCCGGCCCTTCATATTACCAGCGTGTGGACCTGCGCTCGCAGCGCATCAGAAGCCTCAAGGCAGACACACTGCACCTGCCGCCTGCAGCTCAGGTGGGCTTGTGGCATGAGGTGGCATGGGGTGGCAAGGGGTGGCATGGGATGGCAGTAGGTGTGCAGTGCGGTGTGGTGCAGTGGCATGGGGTGTGCTTCAAGGCCTCAAGGCCGATACGCTGCACCTGCCGCCTGCAGCTCAGGTGGGCTTGTGGGGCAGTGGCAAAGGGTGGCACCAGGTGGGGTGCAGTGTGGTGCAGTGTGGTGCAGTGGCATGCAGTGTGCTTCAAGGCCTCAAGGCTGATACGCTGCACCTGCCGCCTGCAGCTCAGGTGGGCTTGTGGCGTGGGGTGGCAGCGGGTGGGGTGTGGGATCATGCACTGGGTGACACACTGGGTCAGATGCCTGTGCTTGTTACTGCCCTCCTGCTTCTTTGCTTGTGCGCTTGTGTGCCTCGTGTTAGAGTAAAGTGTGCTAATGCATGTGTGTGTGTGTGTGTGTGCGTGCGTGTGTGTGTGTGCATGTGTGCGTGTGTGTGTGTGTGTGTCTGTGTGTCTGTGTATGTGCACGTGTGTTTCATCTGCAGTTTGTGTATCTGAGGGGCAACAAGCTCACAGCAATGGATGGCATCGAACGTCTCAAGAAGGTCAAGGTGAGTCAACGCTGGTCAAGGCAAGTCAACGCTGGTCAAGGCGAGTCAACGCTGGTCAAGGTGAGTAAAAAAGGTCAAAGCTGGTAAACAAAGTAAAAAAGGTGCAAATCGTAAGCCACAACTCAGCCCCTTGCATGCTCTCCCTCCTCTCTCCCCATCCCCGCTTCAAACCCTCCCCGTCCACCCCATCTCCCCCACCGGGCCCTAGACGAGAGCTACAGCCAGCTGACCTCACTGTTCCACCTCTCCCTTCTCACCAATCTCCCCTCCCGCGGCCTGCCTTCCCCCCATCGCCCCCTTCCCCCTCCACTTCCCCAGGTTCTAGACGTGAGCTGCAACCAGCTGACCTCACTGTTCCACCTCTCCCTTCTCTCCAATCTCCCCCCCTTCTCACCAATCTCCCCCCCTTCTCACCAATCTTCCCCCCTTCTCACCAATCTCCCCCCCGTCTCACCAATCTCCCCCCCTTCTCATCAATCTCCCCCCCTCCTCGCCAATCTCCCCCCCTCCTCACCAATCTCCCCCCCTCCTCACCAATCTCCCCCCGTCCTCACCAATCTTCCCCCCTCCTCACCAATCTCCCCCCCTCCTCGCCAATCTCCCCCCCTCCTCCACCTCCCCAGGTGCTAGACGTGAGCTACAACCAGCTGGGAGAGGCTTCCCTGGCGCCACTAGCTGCATGCGCGTCCCTGCAGGTGAGTGACAGCGAGGCGACGGTGAGGAGGAGTTGTGTGCGGTGAGAAGGAATTTTGTGCGGTGAGAAATGGTTGTGTGCGGTGAGAATGAGTGCATCCCACTCCTCATGTCCTGGACGTGAGCTACAACCAGCTGCCTCCTTGGCGCTACCGCTACACTGCGGTGCAGCGTATGAGCGTGCGTGCGGTGCAGTGATTCTGCGTGCGGTGCAGTGGGTGTGCGTGCGGTGCAGCGTATGAGTGGGCAGTGCAGCGTACGAGTGTGTGGTGCAGCGTATGAGCGTGCGGTGCAGCGTATGAGTGGGCAGTGCAGCGTATGAGTGTGTGGTGCAGCGTATGAGCGTGCGGTGCAGCATATGAGTGGGCAGTGCAGCGTATGAGCGTGCGGTGCAGCGTTGAGAACTGGAGGTTGCCTCCCCATCATGCTCCCTCTGCCCAACTGCTCCCTCTGCCCAACTGCTCCCTCTGCCCAACTGCTCCTTCACTCTACCACTATCATCACCAGGCCACAAGGGTCCCTATACGGAGTCATTCTGTTCTCACCTTTCTGCTCACCTATACGGAGGGTTACAGAGCCCCCGTTTTTCATTACGGCTGCTTCATTGTGCGCGTCACGGATGAGCACAGCCCTGTGGGTCACTGGTCATGAAGAAGAGCTGCAGTGTGAACGACTTTTGAGACGTCTCAAAAGAAGAGCTGCAGTGTGAAGGATCGCTTTAGCAAAGAACGTTAGTCACTTGTTGAAAAAATTATAACCCTGTAAAAACTAGAGTAGGAACCGAAAGTACAGCTCTATTCAAAACTCTGACTTAGGCAAACATGTTTCGGCTTCGCACGGGGATTGTACCCGCTAGGCCTTCATCAGTGCAAGAGTTCTAAATGAAAGAGCGAACAAGCGAGGGGTCTAAAAGAACACCCAAGCCTCGAGATCTACTCAAGGAAATCCTACCTTGGGCACAAAACTAGACACGAAAAGTGCCAACTAGACACGAAAGAAAACCTTAAAGTGTCCAGTCATTCCTCGGGTCTGTCTTCGGCAGTCTTGGAATTGGGTGGTGGTAACCTCGCGCGGACCAGGCGCTGTTGCACATTTCATGCACACTTCCAAGCAAACAAGAATCGATCAGTAAAAAAATTGCGGGTAATGAGACGACTTTTGAGGTGCCTCAAAAGTACCCCCAGCTTGAGACGCCTCAAAAGTACCCCCAGCTTGAGACGCCTCAAAAGTACCCCCAGCTTGAGACGCCTCAAAAGTACCCCCAGCTTGAGACGCCTCAAAAGTACCCCCAGCTTGAGACGCCTCAAAAGTACCCCCAGCTTGAGACGCCTCAAAAGTACCCCCAGCTTGAGACGCCTCAAAAGTACCCCCAGCTTGAGACGCCTCAAAAGTACCCCCAGCTTGAGACGCCTCAAAAGTACCCCCAGCTTGAGACGCCTCAAAAGTACCCCCAGCTTGAGACGCCTCAAAAGTACCCCCAGCTTGAGACGCCTCAAAAGTACCCCCAGCTTGAGACGCCTCAAAAGTACCCCCAGCTTGAGACGCCTCAAAAGTACCCCCAGCTTGAGACGCCTCAAAAGTACCCCCAGCTTGAGACGCCTCAAAAGTACCCCCAGCTTGAGACGCCTCAAAAGTACCCCCAGCTTGAGACGCCTCAAAAGTACCCCCAGCTTGAGACGCCTCAAAAGTACCCCCAGCTTGAGACGCCTCAAAAGTACCCCCAGCTTGAGACGCCTCAAAAGTACCCCCAGCTTGAGACGCCTCAAAAGTACCCCCAGCTTGAGACGCCTCAAAAGTACCCCCAGCTTGAGACGCCTCAAAAGTACCCCCAGCTGCCAAAAGTACCCCCAGCTTGAGACGCCTCAAAAGTACCCCCAGCTTGAGACGCCTCAAAAGTACCCCCAGCTTGAGACGCCTCAAAAGTACCCCCAGCTTGAGACGCCTCAAAAGTACCCCCAGCTTGAGACGCCTCAAAAGTACCCCCAGCTTGAGACGCCTCAAAAGTACCCCCAGCTTGAGACGCCTCAAAAGTACCCCCAGCTTGAGACGCCTCAAAAGTACCCCCAGCTTGAGACGCCTCAAAAGTACCCCCAGCTTGAGACGCCTCAAAAGTACCCCCAGCTTGAGACGCCTCAAAAGTACCCCCAGCTTGAGACGCCTCAAAAGTACCCCCAGCTTGAGACGCCTCAAAAGTACCCCCAGCTTGAGACGCCTCAAAAGTACCCCCAGCTTGAGACGCCTCAAAAGTACCCCCAGCTTGAGACGCCTCAAAAGTACCCCCAGCTTGAGACGCCTCAAAAGTACCCCCAGCTTGAGACGGGCAGTCAAAGGTGTGAAAACCGTCTTCAAAACTAGGGGCCCGCGTGTTGGAGTCGAGTCTTGTTGTTTGAGTAAGTGTCGTGCCGAGGTCTGCTCGAGAAGTGCACCGCGTTGAAGAAAGACGACAGTCCCGAAGATGGGGCAAAGGAAATCAGGAGGGTAACCACGTGCACGAAGCCTGCGGAAGATATCATGCTTCGTTGCGAGGAAGGCCGAGGCTGAGGATGAACGGAGTAGATACCGCTTCAGTTCAGCTTGGATGAATCCGACCTTGCAGTGACGTGGGTGGTACGACGAGAACGGGAGGTAGAGGTACCTGTTCATTGGCTTCTGATAGGTTCGGAAGTCCAAGGTACCGCTGGCAGTGAACCGGTCCCCTTTGTAAAGGACCATGTCGAGGAAGTCCACTGACTGCTCCGAGACGCGCCACGTCAGTTTAATGTTCGGGTCAAGGCTGTTGAACACGTTGAAGTAGCGTTCCAGCTCATCTCTGGTCCCTGGCCAGACAATGAACCCATCGTCGATGTATCTGACATGGCGAAGCGGCTGCGTCCCGGTCCACCTCTGCTTCAGCACCTCATCCAGTCGGCTCATGAAAAGTACCGCAAAGCAAACTGCCACGGGGGTTCCCATGGCAGTTCCTTGGATCTGGCGGTAGATGTTGCCGTTGAACTCCACGTACGAATTTAACATGACCCACTCCAGCAGGGCCATAACCGGTAGGGCCCGACAAGAATTCTCCCTCTGCAGAAAGCCGCTGACCGTATCGAGACCACGCCTAAGGGGGATGCTGGGGTATAGCGCAGTGACATCGTACGTCGCCAAAAGCACATTTCGGGGAAGAGAAGTGCGTTCTAGCTCTAACAGCAGCGAGAGGGAGTCGCGAAGGTAGGAAGGTTGCTTAAGAACCAACGGCCGTAATTCAGCATCCAGCCACGTGCTGACGTTAGTAGTAACCCAGGAATGCGAAGCAACGATCGGACGCCCCGCCAAGGTTTTTTTGTGCAGTTTCGGTAGGATGTAAAAAGCCGCTGGTTCCAGCCTCCGCTAGGTTGATGTAAAAAGTACCGCCATAGACTATCAGGAAGAGCAGGGCCCCATGCAGTCCGTAAAGCGCGCAGCTGCTGAAGAACAGATTCGGTAGGGTTGGTGAAGACTGCTTTGTAGGTGCTGCGGTCATCGAGATGATCTAAACACATCCTCACATAATGTCCCGTGTCTAACACTGTCACCCCGAGATTCTTGTCCGCCGGTTTGATCACTACGCTGTGGTCGGCTGCAATGGAACGCTGAGCCTGGGTTTCGAGCGCGCCTCGGTCTCCTCCATCGACAGCTCTGTATCCATCTCCTTTAGCTCCTCCGTAGCAGCAGCAGCCTTCTTCAAGTCCTCAGCGGCTTGCTTCTGCTGTCGATCCAGTTCCCGGATGACAATCTCATCCTTAGCGGCAGCAATCTCGGAGTTCGCCTTCTCGATGCAGCGTCCCTACAAACGACGGAAGCGCTCCTTGGCGGCGTCAGACACCACCAAATCTGGGTCGGCAGAGAGGCCTTGAATGTACTCCTCAAGCTTTGTCGCCAGAACTGTGACGTGCGAGCTGCTCGCTGCCAGGATCTCCTCAACCTCCGCTTCTTTAGACGAGATGAAGTCCGCCTGGAGACGCTTCTGATTCTCCAGATGTGTAGCCGCAACGGCTACTGTAGACTTCTCTTTGATGGCGGCGTATGACCAGTGACCCGGAGGGTTACAGATCCCCCGTTTCTCATCATGGCTGCTTCATTGTGCGCGTCACGGATGAGCACAGCCCTGTGCTCTCTCAGCTCCAGTCGGGACTGCAGCTCCAGTCCCCAAGCCGGGACTGCAGCTCCAGTCCCCAAGCCGCGACTGCTGCTCCAGTCCCCAAGCCGCGACTGCAGCTCCAGTCCCCAAGCCGCGACTGCTGCTCCAGTCCCCAAGCCGTGACTGCAGCTCCAGTCCCCAAGCCGCGACTGCAGCTCCAGTCCCCAAGCCGCGACTGCAGCTCCAGTCCCCAAGCCGCGACTGCAGCTCCAGTCCCCAAGCCGCGACTGCTGCTCCAGTCCCCAAGCCGCGACTGCTGCTCCAGTCCCCAAGCCGCGACTGCAGCTCCAGTCCCCAAGCCGCGACTGCAGCTCCAGTCCCCAAGCCGCGACTGCAGCTCCAGTCCCCAAGCCGCGACTGCAGCTCCAGTCCCCAAGCCGCGACTGCAGCTCCAGTCCCCAAGCCGCGACTGCAGCTCCAGTCCCCAAGCCGCGACTGCAGCTCCAGTCCCCAAGCCGCGACTGCTGCTCCAGTCCCCAAGCCGCGACTGCTGCTCCAGTCCCCAAGCCGCGACTGCAGCTCCAGTCCCCAAGCCGCGACTGCAGCTCCAGTCCCCAAGCCGCGACTGCAGCTCCAGTCCCCAAGCCGCGACTGCAGCTCCAGTCCCCAAGCCGCGACTGCAGCTCCAGTCCCCAAGCCGCGACTGCAGCTCCAGTCCCCAAGCCGCGACTGCTGCTCCAGTCCCCAAGCCGCGACTGCAGCTCCAGTCCCCAAGCCGCGACTGCAGCTCCAGTCCCCAAGCCGCGACTGCAGCTCCAGTCCCCAAGCCGCGACTGCAGCTCCAGTCCCCAAGCCGCGACTGCAGCTCCAGTCCCCAAGCCGCGACTGCAGCTCCAGTCCCCAAGCCGCGACTGCAGCTCCAGTCCCCAAGCCGCGAGCCGCGACTGCAGCTCCAGTCCCCAAGCCGCGACTGCAGCTCCAGTCCCCAAGCCGCGACTGCAGCTCCAGTCCCCAAGCCGCGACTGCAGCTCCAGTCCCCAAGCCGCGACTGCAGCTCCAGTCCCCAAGCCGCGACTGCTGCTCCAGTCCCCAAGCCGCGACTGCAGCTCCAGTCCCCAAGCCGCGACTGCAGCTCCAGTCCCCAAGCCGCGACTGCAGCTCCAGTCCCCAAGCCGCGACTGCAGCTCCAGTCCCCAAGCCGCGACTGCAGCTCCAGTCCCCAAGCCGCGACTGCAGCTCCAGTCCCCAAGCCGCGACTGCAGCTCCAGTCCCCAAGCCGCGACTGCTGCTCCAGTCCCCAAGCCGCGACTGCAGCTCCAGTCCCCAAGCCGCGACTGCTGCTCCAGTCCCCAAGCCGCGACTGCAGCTCCAGTCCCCAAGCCGCGACTGCAGCTCCAGTCCCCAAGCCGCGACTGCTGCTCCAGTCCCCAAGCCGCGACTGCAGCTCCAGTCCCCAAGCCGCGACTGCAGCTCCAGTCCCCAAGCCGCGACTGCTGCTCCAGTCCCCAAGCCGCGACTGCAGCTCCAGTCCCCAAGCCGCGACTGCAGCTCCAGTCCCCAAGCCGCGACTGCTGCTCCAGTCCCCAAGCCGCGACTGCAGCTCCAGTCCCCAAGCCGCGACTGCAGCTCCAGTCCCCAAGCCGCGACTGCAGCTCCAGTCCCCAAGCCGCGACTGCAGCTCCAGTCCCCAAGCCGCGACTGCTGCTCCAGTCCCCAAGCCGCGACTGCAGCTCCAGTCCCCAAGCCGCGACTGCAGCTCCAGTCCCCAAGCCGCGACTGCAGCTCCAGTCCCCAAGCCGCGACTGCTGCTCCAGTCCCCAAGCCGCGACTGCAGCTCCAGTCCCCAAGCCGCGACTGCTGCTCCAGTCCCCAAGCCGCGACTGCTGCTCCAGTCCCCAAGCCGCGACTGCAGCTCCAGTCCCCAAGCCGCGACTGCAGCTCCAGTCCCCAAGCCGCGACTGCAGCTCCAGTCCCCAAGCCGCGACTGCAGCTCCAGTCCCCAAGCCGCGACTGCAGCTCCAGTCCCCAAGCCGCGACTGCAGCTCCAGTCCCCAAGCCGCGACTGCAGCTCCAGTCCCCAAGCCGCGGACTGCAGCTCCAGTCCCCAAGCCGCGACTGCAGCTCCAGTCCCCAAGCCGCGACTGCAGCTCCAGTCCCCAAGCCGCGACTGCAGCTCCAGTCCCCAAGCCGCGACTGCAGCTCCAGTCCCCAAGCCGCGACTGCAGCTCCAGTCCCCAAGCCGCGACTGCAGCTCCAGTCCCCAAGCCGCGACTGCAGCTCCAGTCCCCAAGCCGCGACTGCAGCTCCAGTCCCCAAGCCGCGACTGCAGCTCCAGTCCCCAAGCCGCGACTGCAGCTCCAGTCCCCAAGCCGCGACTGCAGCTCCAGTCCCCAAGCCGCGACTGCAGCTCCAGTCCCCAAGCCGCGACTGCAGCTCCAGTCCCCAAGCCGCGACTGCTGCTCCAGTCCCCAAGCCGCGACTGCTGCTCCAGTCCCCAAGCCGCGACTGCTGCTCCAGTCCCCAAGCCGCGACTGCAGCTCCAGTCCCCAAGCCGCGACTGCAGCTCCAGTCCCCAAGCCGCGACTGCTGCTCCAGTCCCCAAGCCGCGACTGCTGCTCCAGTCCCCAAGCCGCGACTGCTGCTCCAGTCCCCAAGCCGCGACTGCTGCTCCAGTCCCCAAGCCGCGACTGCAGCTCCAGTCCCCAAGCCGCGACTGCAGCTCCAGTCCCCAAGCCGCGACTGCAGCTCCAGTCCCCAAGCCGCGACTGCTGCTCCAGTCCCCAAGCCGCGACTGCTGCTCCAGTCCCCAAGCCGCGACTGCTGCTCCAGTCCCCAAGCCGCGACTGCAGCTCCAGCAACTGTTCCTGGGCGGGCAACCACATCGCCTCCCTTGCATCACTTTTGAGTCAGCTCAGAATTCCGTCTCCTTCCCCCCTTTCTCCCACTTTCTCCCCCTCCCCCTTTCCCACAGCAACTGTTCCTGGCGGGTAACCGCATCTCCTCCCTCGCATCACTGCCTCGACTCCCCTCCCTCGAGGCATGCTTCCTGCTTCCTGCTCTTTTCCCATGCCCACGCCACACCCACGCCATGCCCACGCCACACCCACGCCATGCCCACGCCACACCCACGCCATGCCCACGCCACACCCTCGCCACACCCACGCTACACCCACGCCATGCCCATGCCACGCCTGCTCTTTCCCATGCCCTTCCAACATCCTCATCACCTTGGTGTTCTCTGCTTTACACTCGTTTCATCCAATGCAACCATTGCCATGCACACTGTTCCTCTCTCCTCTCCCCATCCCCCTCTCTCCTCCGACCCCTCTTCACCTCTGTTCCCTCTCTTTCCTTACTCCACCCCATGCCCCCCGTCCGTTCTCCCACCCACCCTGTCACCCATCCACCCTCCCGTCACCCACTGCACCCCTCTCAGTTCCTCTCAGTGTCCCAGAACTCGCTCTGTCTCATTGACATGCCGTCTCAACCCCGACTCAAGGTGCGCATTCCAACCTAGCTCAACCGAACTTGATCTTGCTCAACTGAGCTGAACCAGTTTTAACACAGCCACACACATGCGTGCCACCGTTGTCGACTTGCCTCGCCACCTTGCTCCTACCATGGGCTGTCCTTGCTCGCTGAAAATGGATGAGATGAACCCACAGCTCTCTCTTCCAACGCGCCCCTTTCTGTGTCGCTCTGTCCACCTATCTGCCCCTCTCTCTGTTTTCCGATCTGCCCCTCTCTCTGTTTTCCGATCTGCCCCTCTCTGTTTTCTAATCTGCTCCTCTCTTTTCCACCAGGTGCTCACAGCCAGCAGCAACAGCATCGCCTCCTTCGAATCCTTCCCCCTCCTGCTCGCCCTCGAGGTCCATGTTCCACCTTGCCCCACCTTGCCCCACCTTGCCCCACCTTGCCCTACCTTGCCCCTCCTGCCCGCCCTAGGGGCCCGTGCCCTACTTTGCTCTGCCTACCTATCCATGCTCCATGTTCCTGCCCATTCTTCTCTTTGCTATGTGACATGCATCTCTCGTCCCCCTATCCTCCTCTTCCTCTTTCCCTCCTCCCCTTCTCTCCCCTCTCCTCCCCCTCCCATCCCCCCCCTCTCCCCTCTTCCCCCACTCCCCTGGCAGCACCTGCGCCTAGATGACAATTCCATAGAGGGCAACAGTGAAGGACAGAGGCAGTAATTCTCAGCGTCTCCTCCCCCCCTTCCCTTCCCCCCATCCCTCTCTCCCCATTCTCCCCTGCCAGCACCTGCGTGTGGGTGACAACCCGATAGAGGGCGCCCCTGCTCCCCTGATAGAGCACATGAGCTGCACCGGCACTCAGCCTCGTTCTCCCCCTCTCCCTTCCCCTCTTTACCCCCCAACCCTCCCCCAACTAACAGCACCTGCGTGTGAATGACAACCCGATAGAGGGCGCCCCTGCTCCCCCCAATAGAGGACACGAGCGGCAGAGGCACTCAGCCTCTTTCCCCCCCTCTCCGTTTCCCTTTCCTCTCCTCCCCTCCACCAACTAACAGCATCTGCGTCTGGATGACAACCCAATAGAGGACGCCCCTGCTCTCTCCATAAAGGATAACTGTGAGGGGCAGAGCCCGCGAACCCTCCTCTTCTACCCCCCTCTCCTCCCCCCACCAACTAACAGCACCTGCGACTGGATGACAACCCAATAGAGGACGCCCCTGCTCCTCTAATCGAGGACAACAGTGAGGGGCCTCAGCCTCGTTCTCCCCCTCACCCTTTCCCTTTCCTCTCCTCCTCCCCCCCAAAATAACAGCACCTGCGTGTGGATGACAACCCAATAGAGGACGCCCCTGCTCCGCACTTCGCTGCCATTCTGCTCGCCGCCTCCTCTCTGCTCTCCTTCAACTCCTCAGGTGCCATTCCCCTCCTCTCCTCATCTTCCTTACCCTAAAGAATAGAAGCACTGTTTCCCATTTCCGTAATCGGCTGTTCATGTATCATTTCGGTCATCCATGTGTAACAGTGTAACGTCTTCCACAACCTTTCGCCCTGTCATGAATTCCTTCGTCATATATTTTGGAAGTGTTACCACTGGCCGCTTACGTTCCCGATTTTTTTGGCGAACGTGGCGAGGCCGGCGAAAAGAATAGGTTCGGTTCAGTCTTTTTGATAAGGCGAAGTTGACGTTTCCCTAATGAGCATCGACTGTAGTAGGTTTGGTGGTTTGCCTGCAGCGGATAACAGTGCGATGTTTCAAAGCTCACGATTCCGTGAATCATGGGCATTCTGCAAGCAAGATGTTTGGCGGAGAAAAAAACCAATTTTGCTTCACCATAGGAAAGGGTTTCAGAGGAGCAACCCGGGTTTCAACCGGGGACCTATCGATCTGCAGTCGATTGCTCTACCACTGAGCTATTGCTCCACATGGTGATAACATGTGCACATCCATCGCTGTCACATCTGTTATTTGTTCGCATGTGTGCACGTCCGTGTGTGTTTGCATGTGTGCATGTCTGTGTGTGTTTGCATGTGTGCATGTCTGTGTGTGTTCCCATGCGTGCATGTCTGTGTGTGTTCCCATGCGTGCATGTCTGTGTGTGTCGCTTGGGCACATGCATGTGTGAGCAGCCATAAGTGAGGATGAGCGAGCGGCAGTGGAGGAGGCGGGGGGAGGGCACGGGCCCATGTGTGCGCGCATGGGTTGGCTGCCGCCATCCCCACTAATCACAGACATACCAGGTACCACCTCGGCTCCTCATGGCAATTGCTTGCTCCAGGTACCCATGTGTGGGGGGAGGGCACGGGCCCTTGTGTGTGTGCATGGGGTGGCTGCCTCCATCCCCTTCCATTAGTGTCATACCAGGTAGGTACCACCTCGGCTCCTCATGGCAATTGCTTGCTCCAGGTACCCATGTGTATGGGGAGAGAGGGCACGGGCCCATGTGTGCGGGGAGAGAGGGCACGGGCCCATGTGTGTGCGCATGGGATGGCTACCACCTCTTCCTCTGCTCCTCACCCACCCCTGCCCCTCCCCTTGCCCCTGCACCTCCACCTGTTCCTACCACTGTCCCTGCCCTCAGATTCATCTGGCCCCCCTCCCCCCTCCCCCCTCTCGTCTCTCACCTTCCCACTCCCCATTCCCCCTTCCCCTCTCCCTCGTTCCCTCCTCCCTTCTTCCCTCTCCCCACTTCCCCAGCCTCCCTGGTGTCTTTCCTGGCGACCCACTGGGCACCAATGCTCCCTGCCGGCTTCACCCTCTCGTCGCTGCTGCTCGACCGGCCCATAGAGGACCGCCCCTGCCACTGCCGCCTGCTGCTGCAGCGCACTGGTGGTGGTGCACGGGCGAGGGAGGATGGGGAGGAGGATTGGGGCGAGGATGGGGTGAAAGATGGGGGGCAGGATGGGGGGAAGGATGGGGGACCAGATAGGGAGGAGGTTGTGGGGGAGGATGTGGGAGTTGAAGACAGAGAGGAGGGAGTTGGGCCAAGGAAGAGGGGAAAGGAGAGGGAGGGAGGGGAGGAGGAATCATCAGTGTCATTGGGTGTGGCGATGCGGTATGAGTGGCTGCGGCGGGGCAAAGGGGCGGCGGAGTTCAGCGCCATTACCGATGCTGAGGGGGAGGTGAGGTTGCATCTTTGAGAGCGGTAAGAGAGCAAGAGAGCCATGTGTTTGCTCCCGCCACTGCCCACCCTCCCACCCTTTGCTCATCACAACCACTGCTACACTGGCCTTGGCCCATGACATTCATCACATTCCCCCATTGTGCCTGCCCATCCGCCCACCCAGCCTTCCATATTGCCAGGTGTGCACTGCACACCCTCTTTCTCCAACGTACCTTCCCTCCCTCCTACACCCCTCTCTCCCTCCCACCTTCCCAACCCATCTCACTACACACACCCCTTCTCAGATGTGCATGCATGCCTTGCTGTGCGGTGCACCTTTTGCCTCCATGCCTTGTCGTCGCATTTCCCAATAAGCATACTGTCCACCCTCTCTCATCTCATCCCATCACATCGCACCAGGTGTACACGCCCTCCTACTCAGATGTGCACGCAGGCCTGGCTGTGCGCTGCTTTGCTTCCTTGCCCTCCCAAACCCATCCCTTCCTCCCACCCGCCCAACATATCGCACCATGTGTACACGCCGTCCTTCTCAGACGTGCACGCGTGTCTCGCTGTGCGCTGCAACACTGCTGTCTTGGTTCCGAGACACCTCAACACCTACCTGCCCCTTATCACCCCTCCGCATTCAACCTTCCCACACACGCACCTCTGTGCCTGTGTGCTTCCCATCCCATCCCACCAGGTCTACACGCCCTCCTTCTCAGGCGTGCACGCATGTCTCGCTGTGTGCTGCACTGTAGAGACAGACGCCTCAGAACCACTCTGTATCTCACCCACCCCACCACCCTGCCTCCCACCACCCTGCCTCCCGCCACCCTGCCTCCCACCACCCTGCCTCCCGCCACCCTGCCTCCCGCCACCCTGCCTCCCGCCACCCTGCCTCCCGCCACCCTGCCTCCCGCCACCCTGCCTCCCGCCACCCTGCCTCCCGCCACCCTTTCACCCCATTTCACCAGGTATACACGCCCTCCTTCTCAGACGTGCTTGCGTGTCTCGCTGTGCGCTGCACCCCGCTGCTCCACGGCCAGCCCTGCACGCCCCTCCTCCTCACCACGCCACCAGTGGCCCCTGGTAGGTGAATACCCCTCACCTCACCCATGCACCCATGCACCCATGCACTTATGCACCATGCATCCATGCACCCATGCACTTATGCACCATGCATCCATGCACCCATGCACATGCATTCCCGCACACAGGTCCCGGCATTCCGCGAGTGCAGCATGTGTCGCTGGGATGAGCGGGTCACCATGAGCGGGTCACCATGAGCGGGTCACCATGAGCAGGTCACCCATGGGAGGGGAGGCGATGGAGGGGGGTGTGCTGACTGCTGTTGTATGTGTATATGTGTGTTTGTGCGTTTGTGCGTTTGTGTGTTTGTGTGTTTGTGTGTTTGTGCGTTTGTGCGTTTGTGCGTTTGTGCGTTTGTGCGTTTGTGCGTTTGTGCGTTGGTGCGTTGGTGCGTTGGTGCGTTGGTGGGTTTGTGTGTTTGTGTGTTTGTGTGTTTGTGTGTTTGTGCGTTTGTGCGTTTGTGCGTTTGTGCGTTTGTGCGTTTGTGCGTTGGTGGGTTTGTGTGTTTGTGTGTTTGTGTGTTTGTGTGTTTGTGCGTTTGTGCGTTTGTGCGTTTGTGCGTTTGTGCGTTTGTGCGTTTGTGCGTTGGTGCGTTGGTGCGTTGGTGGGTTTGTGTGTTTGTGTGTTTGTGCGTTTGTGCGTTTGTGCGTTTGTGCGTTTGTGCGTTGGTGGGTTTGTGTGTTTGTGTGTTTGTGTGTTTGTGTGTTTGTGTGTTTGTGCGTTTGTGCGTTTGTGCGTTTGTGCGTTTGTGCGTTTGTGCGTTTGTGTGCTTGTGTGCTTGTGTGCTTGTGTGCTTGTGTGCTTGTGTGTTTGTGTGTTTGTGTGTTTGTGTGTTTGTGTGCTTGTGTGTTTGTGTGCTTGTGTGCTTGTGTGCTTGTGTGTTTGTGTGCTTGCGCATCTGTGTTTGAATCTCTCACGCCTGACTGCCTCCATGCAACCATGCCCCCACACAGGTCCCAGCATCCCGCAAGTGCAGCACGTGTCGCTGGGAGGGGAGGTGGTGGAGCCTACGTGTGTGTGTGCACATCTGTGTTTGAATCTCTCATGACTGACTGCCTCCCTTCATTATGCCCCCACACAGGTCCCGGCATCCCTCGAGTGCACCATGTGTCGCTGGGAGGGGAGGCGGTGGAGGGGGGTGTGCTGACAGCCATGGTGGAGGTGGGGTGGAGCTCGGGCGAGCCAGGGCCGTGCCAGTACAGGTGGGACCGTGGGCCCGTGGGGGGACAGGGTGTGCCAGTACAGGTGGGGGGACAGGGTGTGCCAGTACAGGTGGGGGCTAGGACAGTGCAGTAAAACCTGCTTCTCATATTGACTCGACAAAAAAAAAGGCTAATAAATACACATGCAGTTTCAATTGACTCAGATTGTTCTGAGGTGCAACATGCTCCCTCTCTCTTGCCCCTCGCTTTTTTCTCCTTCATTGCACTCTGCCTACCCACCCAACCTTACCCTGTGCTTGTTCTCGCCCCCTCCCGTGTCCCTCCCAAAGCAAAGGCTCCTCTTCCTTCTCTACCTCCCCCCACCTATCAGTTGGACTCGCCTGTCGCCCACAGCTCAGGGCGGAACAACAAGGGAGGAGGTGCAGAGGGGTGGGGAGGAGTACTCCCTATCACTGCACGACGTGGGGTGTGTGCTGCAGCTCGCCTTCACCCCGGTGTCTGCTGCAGGGGTGAGGGGGGAACCCGCCTCCGCCACCTCTCCCCCCATTTCTGCTGGTGAGAGTGGCTGTTTGATAAGAGTGGGTGCAGAGGGGTGGGGAGGAGTACTCTCTCTCGCTGCACGACGTGGGGTGTGTGCTGCAGCTCGCCTTCACCCTGGTGTCTGCTGCAGGGGTGAGGGGGGAACCCGCCTCCGCCACCTCTCCCCCCATTTCTGCTGGTGAGAGTGGCTGCTTGGTGAGAGTGGCTGTTTGATAAGAGTGGGTGCAGAGGGGTGGGGAGGAGTACTCTCTCTCGCTGCACGACGTGGGGTGTGTGCTGCAGCTCGCCTTCACCCTGGTGTCTGCTGCAGGGGTGAGGGGGGAACCCGCCTCCGCCACCTCTCCCCCCATTTCTGCTGGTGAGAGTGGCTGCTTGGTGAGAGTGGCTGTTTGATAAGAGTGGGTGCAGAGGGGTGGGGAGGAGTACTCTCTCTCGCTGCACGACGTGGGGTGTGTGCTGCAGCTCGCCTTCAACCTGGTGTCTGCTGCAGGGGTGAGGGGGGAACCCGCCTCCGCCACCTCTCCCCCCATTTCTGCTGGTGAGAGTGGCTGCTTGGTGAGAGTGGCTGTTTGATAAGAGTGGGTGCAGAGGGGTGGGGAGGAGTACTCTCTCTCGCTGCACGACGTGGGGTGTGTGCTGCAGCTCGCCTTCACCCTGGTGTCTGCTGCAGGGGTGAGGGGGGAACCCGCCTCCGCCACCTCTCCCCCCATTTCTGCTGGTGAGAGTGGCTGCTTGGTGAGAGTGGCTGTTTGATAAGAGTGGGTGCAGAGGGGTGGGGAGGAGTACTCTCTCTCGCTGCACGACGTGGGGTGTGTGCTGCAGCTCGCCTTCACCCCGGTGTCTGCTGCAGGGGTCAGGGGGGAACCCGCCTCTGCCACCTCTCCTCCGATTGCTGCTGGTGAGAGTGGCTGGTTGGTGAGAGTGGCTGCTTGGTGAGAGTGGCTGCTTGGTGAGAGTGGCTGGTTGGTGAGAGTGGCTTCTTGGTGAGAGTGGCTGGTTGGTGAGAGTGGCTGGTTGGTGAGAGTGGCTGCTTGGTGAGAGTGGCTGCTTGGTGAGAGTGGCTTCTTGGTGAGAGTGGCTGGTTGGTGAGAGTGGCTGCTTGGTGAGAGTGGCTTCTTGGTGAGAGTGGCTGGTTGGTGAGAGTGGCTGGTTGGTGAGAGTGGCTGGTTGGTGAGAGTGGCTGGTTGGTGAGAGTGGCTGGTTGGTGAGAGTGGCTGGTTGGTGAGAGTGGCTTCTTGGTGAGAGTGGGCGCAGAGGGGTAATGCTGGGGGATGTTATGCCTATGCTGGCTCACTTTCGTCCCACTCTTCTCCCCATGCTTCCCCCCATGCTTCCCTCCACGCTTCCCCCCACGCCCTTCCCCTTCCCCTCTCCAGCGCCCCCCCAGGTGCAGCAGGTGGCGGTGGAGGGGGAGGCGCTGCTGGGGGGAGTGCTGCGGGCGAGTTTATGCCTATGCCGACTCATCCCCTTCCCCTCCCTCCCCCTCTTCCTTCTCCAGCACCCCCCCAGGTGCAGCAGGTGGCGGTGGAGGGGGAAGCACTGCTGGGCCGAGCGCGCGGGTGAGGGGGGTCCACTCTTGTGGGGTTGCTGCGAGGAATGTTATGCTTATGTCGGCTCTCCCCTTTTCCCCTCCTTCCCCATGGCTTGCCCCCTCCCCCCACCAGCGCCCCCCCAGGTGCAGCAGGTGGCGGTGGAGGGGGAGGCGCTGCTGGGGGGGGTGCTACGGGCGAGGGGGAGCTACTTTGGGGGTGTGGAGGGGGCAAGTTTGCTGCAGTGGTTCCGGGAGGAAGGGGGGGAGGCGGAGGGGGGAGGAGAGGAGAGGGGAGAGGAGGAAAGGGGAGAAGGAAATGGCGTGGCTGGTGCTGGTCGTGGTCGTGTGAGGTGAGTGAGGAATCTGTGGTGCCATGGGCATGGGCATGGGCATGGGCATGGGCATGGGCATGGGCGCATGGGTGGGGCGGGTGCTGCGGGCGAGGGGAACTTACTTGGGGTGGCGGAGGGGGCGAGCCTGCTGCAGTGGTACCGAGAGGAGGGGGAGGAGGCGGAGGGAGGGGAGGAGGGGGAAGAAAGAAGGGGTGTGACTGGTGCTGGTGCTAGCAGTGGCCGTGTGAGGTGAGTGAGTTGGGCATGGGTGGTGTGAGAGGTAGTGTGGTAAGTGCCAGTGGGCGAGGGCAGGGAGCACTCGGTGCAGTGCAGACAGGCGATGTGGGTGGGCTGCCACTCCGTTACCCATGTCACCCATTCCATTCCACCCTCCTCAGACTAGTGCCAGTGGGCGAGGGCAGGGAGCACTCGGTGCAGTGCAGGCAGGCAACGTGGGCTGCCATCTTGCTGCCTCAAAGGGTGACCCATACTCATGTGTATATCTCATCACTCGCCCCATCCCCTTCCTCCAGACTAGCAACAGTGGGCGAGGGCAGGGAGCACTCGGTGCAGTGCAGGCAGGCAACGTGGGCTGCCATCTTGCTGCCTCAAAGGGTGACCCATACTCATGTGTATATCTCATCACTCGCCCCATCCCCTTCCTCCAGACTAGCAACAGTGGGCGAGGGCAGGGAGCACGCGGTGCAGTGCAGGCAGGCAACGTGGGCTGCCATCTTGCTGCCTCAAAGGGTGACCCATACTCATGTGTATATCTCATCACTCGCCCCATCCCCTTCCTCCAGACTAGCAACAGTGGGCGAGGGCAGGGAGCACTCGGTGCAGTGCAGGCAGGCAACGTGGGCTGCCATCTTGCTGCCTCAAAGGGTGACCCATACTCATGTGTATATCTCATCACTCGCCCCATCCCCTTCCTCCAGACTAGCAACAGTGGGCGAGGGCAGGGAGCACTCGGTGCAGTGCAGGCAGGCAACGTGGGCTGCCATCTTGCTGCCTCAAAGGGTGACCCATACTCATGTGTATATCTCATCACTCGCCCCATCCCCTTCCTCCAGACTAGCAACAGTGGGCGAGGGCAGGGAGCACTCGGTGCAGTGCAGGCAGGCAACGTGGGCTGCCATCTTGCTGCCTCAAAGGGTGACCCATACTCATGTGTATATCTCATCACTCGCCCCATCCCCTTCCTCCAGACTAGCAACAGTGGGCGAGGGCAGGGAGCACGCGGTGCAGTGCAGGCAGGCAACGTGGGCTGCCATCTTGCTGCCTCAAAGGGTGACCCATACTCATGTGTATATCTCATCACTCGCCCCATCCCCTTCCTCCAGACTAGCAACAGTGGGCGAGGGCAGGGAGCACTCGGTGCAGTGCAGGCAGGCAACGTGGGCTGCCATCTTGCTGCCTCAAAGGGTGACCCATACTCATGTGTATATCTCATCACTCGCCCCATCCCCTTCCTCCAGACTAGCAACAGTGGGCGAGGGCAGGGAGCACTCGGTGCAGTGCAGGCAGGCAACGTGGGCTGCCATCTTGCTGCCTCAAAGGGTGACCCATACTCATGTGTATATCTCATCACTCGCCCCATCCCCTTCCTCCAGACTAGCAACAGTGGGCGAGGGCAGGGAGCACTCGGTGCAGTGCAGGCAGGCAACGTGGGCTGCCACCTGCTGCTGCGAGAAGCAATAAACGCCCTTCTCATATAAACTGTGTCCTGTGTCACTCCCCCACCACCCTCATTCCCTTCTCCCCCCTACTCCAGACTGGTGCCAGTGGGCGAGGGCAGGGAGTACTCGGTGCAGGCGGACGATGTGGGCTGCCATTTGCTGCTGCGCTACACGCCAGTCGCTTCCTCAGGTGATGCATACAGAAAAACTTACCATACACACGGATTGGGTTTCTGCATGCATTTCTCGTCTCAACAACTAAGTTAACCCTTGTCACCCCATCCCACCCCTCATTACCTCACTGCTTCTCTGTACCACTGAGCAGGTCTGATCGGGAAGCCTGTCACAGCACGCTCGCCCATCATCTGCCTCCGTACGTGCCCCACCTTGCCCTGCCCTGCCCTGACCTAGTTCGCCCTGCGCCCTGCTATATCGTCCCAAGCATGTACCAAGAAGCTCCCCTTCTTCCATCCATGCATCCACCTCATAAACCCCAAACCCTGAATTCTTAACCTGGCACTCCCTCTGTGTGCCTGCCTGCACACCCTGCTTCATCCACCTGCTTGCACTAACCTCCTCTCCTCCGCTATTACTCTCCTCCATCCCCTCCTTTCCTTCCTCCACCGTCCCTCCTCCCCTTCTCCACTGCCACGCCCTCTCCCCTCTTCTTCCCACCACCAGGCCTGCCGCGAGCCAGTGATGTGGCGATACAGAGGCCACTGGTGGAGGGTGGGGAGGTGCGGGTGCGGGCGCGGTTACAGTGGGCAGAGGACGGGCGCAGCGAGGTGGAATGGTTCTTCACACTCACAGCCCCTCTTTCCTCTTTCCCACCCCTTTTTCCGCCCCCCCTTCCCCCCCTCCCCCCTCCGCCCCTACCGCCAGCCCTACCACAAGCCAGCGATGTGGCGATAGAGGGGCCATTGGTGGAAGGCGGGGAGGTGCGGGTGCGGGCGCGGTTGCAGTGGGCAGAGGAGGGGCACAGCGAGGTGGAATGATTCTTCTCACAGCCCCTCTTCCCTCTTTCGCACTCCCTTTCCTCCCCACCCATCCTCCACCAGCGCTGCCACGTGCCAGTGATGTTGTCATAGAGGGGCCACTGGTGGAAGGAGGGGAGGTGCGGGCGCGAGCGCGGCTGCAGTGGGCAGAGGAGGGGCGCAGCGAGGTGGAATGGTTCTTCACTCACACGCCCCACTCCCTTTCAACTGCGGACCTTCAACCCATCACTGCTGAAACCCCCAACTCCATGGTGAGTGCAGCGCGACGGGGTGCAGCCTGGTGGGGTGCAGCGAGGAGGGGCGCAGCGAGGTGGCATCAGATTCTTTAGACACACGCCCCACGCTCTTCCAATGACCCGGAACTCATCAATTCTGTCCTGAGACACCTGACTCCATGTTGAGTGCGAGAGATTTGACTTATGAGAGATTGAAATCCAGATCATCCGCCTCCTGTCCCCATTCTAGATCCAATTCACTCCTCCTCCTCCCTGCACTGCATCCCCTTCACTTGCTCCTCTCTCTTCCACCCCGGACCACCACCAGGCGCTCACAGTGCCCCTGAAGGCCATAGGGTCGCACCCGGCAGCAAGGCTGGTGCCAGTGTCTGATGCAGGATCGATACTCCCTCCACCCTATAGATCCACGCTCAACATTCAGAACCCCCCTGTCCCGTTCTTCCCTGTCTCCCTCCGCCCTCTACCCCCCTTGGACCACCATCAGGCCCTCACAGTGCCTCTGGAGGCCATAGGGTCGCACCTGGCAGTGCGGTTGGTGCCGGTGCGGGCAGATGGTGTGAAGGGCCGGCCTGTGGTGGCCGTCTCCTCTGCTTCTGTCACAGGTGGGTGGGTCGTGGGCCTGTTCTTCAGTGCGGCCAAAAGGAGGGTGGGAGGGTGGGTGGGTGGGTGGGTGGAGGGTAGACCTGTTCACACCAACTCAGTCATAGGTGGGCAAGTTATGTGCATGACCAGCTGCTGCGCGCAGATGGTCGATTTTTGAGTCGACTAAAAAATCGACTTACTACACGTGACCAGCTGCTGCGGGCAGATGGTGTCAAGGGCCGGCTGTCTGCCTCATCCTCTCCTCTTCTCTCCCTCCCTCCCCCACTTCCCCTCCCTCTCTCCCCACGCAGAGGGTGAGCCGCAGGTGCTGAGTGCGGACATGGAGGGGGAGGAGGAGGAGGGGGGCGTGCTTGTAGGTTATTACACGTACCAGGGAGGCGCCGAGGGGGACTCGCTGCTCGAGTGGTACCGATACGCGGTGAGCAGTGGTTGAATGCGGTGAGCGGTGGTTGAATGCGGTGCGGATATGGAGGGCGAGGAGGAGGAGGGGGGTGTGCTGGTGGGGTATTACACGTACCAGGGAGGGGCCGAAGGGTACTCGCTGCTCGAGTGGTACCGATATGCGGTGAGCAGTGGTGCAATTCGGTGATTGGTGGTGCAATGCGGTGAGTGGTGGTGAATGCAGTGCGGATATGGAGGGCGAGGAGGAGGGGGACGTGCTGGTGGGGTATTACACGTACCAGGGAGGGGCCGAAGGGGACTCGCTGCTCGAGTGGTACCGATATGCGGTGAGCAGTGGTGCAATTCGGTGATTGGTGGTGCAATGCGGTGAGTGGTGGTGAATGCAGTGCGGATATGGAGGGCGAGGAGGAGGAGGGGGACGTGCTGGTGGGGTATTACACGTACCAGGGAGGCGCTGAGGGGGACTCGCTGCTCGAGTGGTACCGATATGCGGTGAGTGGTGGTGAAATGCAGTGCGAGGTGGTAAAACTCGGTAAATGGTGGCGTTATCTACTACCCATTGAGTGGTACCTCCTGCTTCGCCTCCTTGGCTGCCCACCCTCCCTCCTCCCCTCCTACTCTCCCTTCCTACCTTCTGTCCACCCCTCGTCCACTTCTCCTTTCCCCAACCACTGCTTTCCAACCACCCTCCCACCCAACCCCCTCTGCTGCCCAGGACGAGGACGGCCAGCCGGGGCCACACGGCGAGCTGGTAGAAGACGAAGACGGCGAGCAGCCGCGGATGGCGGGGGGCGGCATGAGTCGGCATGTTCCGTCCGCTAGCGACGTCGGCTGCTTCCTCTCCTTCCGCGTCACCCCTGTGCGATCCGACGGGGCGGTCGGCAACCCCCAGGCTGTCTGCACGGCCGGCCCGATCCGGGCGGCGCTGCCGTCTGTTAGTGACGTGTGGGTGGAGGGCGATCTGGTGGAGGGCGGGCGGTTGGTGCCCAGGTGGACGTATGCGGGCGGCAGGCAGGGGAACACACGCGTGCAATGGTTCTCGGTACGTGTGAATCCCTTTGTATGTACCCGCTTGCCCATCCGCCTGTGAATCCCTTTGTATGTACCCGCTTGCCCATCCGCCTGTGAATCCCTTTGTATGTACCCGCTTGCCCATCCGCCTGTGAATCCCTTTGTATGTACCCGCTTGCCCATCCGCCTGTGAATCCCTTTGTATGTACCCGCTTGCCCATCCGCCTGTGAATCCCTTTGTATGTACCCGCTTGCCCATCCGCCTGTGAATCCCTTTGTATGTACCCGCTTGCCCATCCGCCTGTGAATCCCTTTGTATGTACCCGCTTGCCCATCCGCCTGTGAATCCCTTTGTATGTACCCGCTTGCCCATCCGCCTGTGCAAGCGAGCTGGCTTACTTGCTTTCTTGATTTCTTGTGCTGCCAACCCCAACATGCTGCCACACCAGCTCATTCTGTTTGCTTTTGATCACCAACACTTACACACTGTCAATGACCACCTAGTACCACTTAGTCATTCCAACAACACTCCTCCCAACCCAACTCCCTTACCGCTCCCCCACCCATCCCCACCGCACTCCAACCCTGCAGATGCTTCCTGACATGAGTGATAAGCGCCGCATCCACCCCCTCAATCATCAGGGGGAGGAGGAGGGGGAGGAGGAGGGGGAGGAGGAGGGGGGATTGAGTGTGGGGGCGGAGGAGGTGGGGCGGGTGGTGGTGGTGGTGTGCGTGCCGGTGAGGGACGATGGGGAGGAGGGCGCTGCTGTGGAGAGCAGTCCTGTTGGTCCCATCATGCCAGGTAGAGTTTGCTGGTAGAGGGGTGAGTGGGGGAGAGGGTGAAGAGAGAAGACAGCTAGGGGTGTGGATGGTAGAGGGCGGCATGGGGTGAGGGGCGATGGGGAGGAGGGCGCTGCTGTGGAGAGCAGTCCTGTTGGGCCCATCCTGCCAGGTAGGGGTTGCAAGGCAAAGAGGAGTTGAGACAAGAGGAGGGGTAGGGTATGGGAAGGGCTGCTCACCTGCCGGAAGGTCCTTTTGCGCATTCACTCCCTTCGTTTTTGAGTCGACTCAAAAGCGCATTCACTCCCTTCGTTCCTCTTCTCTCCCTAGCCCCTTCCTACTCCTTTCGTTCTTCCCCTCTCTCTCATGAGTCGTGTCTTCCAGCATCCCCAACCTGTGCGCATCTGGCGTTGGAGGGCGATGTGAGGCCGGGAGGGGTGCTCACCTGCCAGAAGTTCACTTGTTGCGCACTCACCTCCTCCACTCCTCTCCTCTTTCTCCCCCTCTCCGCTCACTCCCCTTCTGCGCCCTCCCAGCCCCCCCAACGTGTGCGCGTCTGGCGGTGGAAGGGGATGTGAGGTCAGGAGGGGTGCTCACGTGCCGAGCGGTCTACCATGGCGGGTACTGTGCTTCCTCCCCATGTGCCGTGCATGTGTCCTGCATATGCTCTGTGTCTGCCTTGCATGTGCTGTGAATGTTGTCTTGCATGTGTGCTCCTCACCTGCAGGGCGCTCAACCATGGCGGGTAATGTGCTTCCCCCCATGTGTCTTGCATGTGCTTTGCTGTGCATATGCTGTTGCCTGAATGTGCCCTGCATGTGCTCTGCGTGTGCCCTGCATGTCATCTTCCTCTTCTTTTCCCTTGCCCTCCCCAATCTCCCATCTGCCCCCTCCCCTGTGTGCCCTTCTCCCCTGTGTGCCCTTCTCCCCTGTGTGCCCTTCTCCCCTGTGTGCAGGCAGCAGGGCGAGTGCCGGGTGGCGTGGGTGAGGGTGACGCCCACAGGGGACGAGCAGCTCGTTGGGCGGCAAGGTGAGAGGCGGTTGGGCGGCCAGGTCATAAAATAGGATGAATGTGTGTCAGTTGAGTGGACAGACACGGTCTGACTGAGTACCCATGTGTGTCAGTTGTCGATTCAGTAACCACCTGCGGACTGATTCATGTGCCATTCGTCTCACCCTGCCTCCCTGCCTCCCTGCCGCCCTGTCGCCCTGCCTAACACCTACAGGCACGTACACGGTGACAGCAGAGGACGTGGGGAGTCGGCTGCGGGCGGAGTTCACTCCTGTGCGGACCGATGGGGCTGTTGGGGAGGTTGCTGCTGCCACCACCAACACAGTCACACCAGGTGCTGCTATTCTCCCCTTCCTGCCTGCTGCGTGGAAGCTGCTACAGGCACACCACACATGCACTTCAGGTCAACCACATTTGCCACCCGCCTCTCACATGCTCTTCTTGTTTCTACTCCTCCCTGCTCTGCCACTCCCCCACTCCCCTGGCCCCCAACCCCACACCACGCCCCCGCTCCCTTCCTCCCCTGCTTTACAGACCGCCGTCTGAGCATTAGTGTGTTGGAGGGGGGCGTATTACAGGCAGGAGGGGAGGGAGATGCACCCCAAAGCCCCATTGTCCCCCACGCTCCCCTTTCTTCCCCACTCCCCTCCCAGACCGCCGTGTGTGCATCAGTGTGTTGGAGGGGGGCGTGCTGCAGGCAGGGGGGGAGATGCCCAACCCCCCGCTTTTTGCCCCACACTCCCCCACTTCCCCTCTCCCTTTCCTCCCCTGCTTTACAAACCGCCGTGTGAGCATCAGTGTGTTGGAGGGGGGCGTGCTGCAGGCTTCTGGGGAGATGCCCCACCCACTCCCCTTCACCCCCTCCTCTCCAATACCCCACACACCCCAATGTCCCCCCGATTTGTTCCCCACAGATCGCCGTGTGTGTATCAGTGTGTTGGAGGGGGGCGTGTTACAGGCAGGAGGGGAGATGCTAGAGCGCGCTGCAGAGGGGGAGAGGGCAGGGGGAGAAGGCGGGCTGGGGGAGGGGAGATCGGGGGAGGGTGGAAGGGGAGAAGGGGGAGCGGGGGAGGGGGATGTGTGGGTGGTGTGGTACAGGCAGGGGCGGGACGGGCGGATGGAGCGGATAGAGGGGGCGGAGGGGCGCACGTACGTGCCTCAGGAGGCTGACTACGGCTGCTGTGTGGTGGCCGGGTGAGTGGGGTCCATTGAGGAGGGAGGGGGGCGGATGGAGCGCATACAGGGGGCAGGGGGGCGCACATATGTGCCTCAGGAGGCCGATTATGGCTGCTGTGTGGTGGCGGGGTGAGTGGGTATCCGTTGGGGCTGTGTTGACTTATATGGCTGAATGGGAGTATGTGGTGTCATGCCATGCCATTGCTCTCTCAATACCACTCTCACACTCCTGCCTGCACCACTCTCTATCCTTACCAATCCCCCACTCCCTCCCTTCCCCACTCCCTCCCTTCCCCTCACCCTCGCCCTGTCCCATCAGCTGTCGCCTGTGGCTATCTGATGGCACATGGGGCGGCGAGGTTTTTTTTGCTCTAGGGCCCATCATGCCCCACCCACTCCCTCCCTCACTTCCCCCCTCACTCCTTCCGTTTTCCGCCCCCTCACCCTGCGTCATCAGCTGTCGCCCGTGGCTATCTGATGGCACATGGGGCAACGAGGTGCTCTCTGCCTCAGAATCCATCGTGCCCCACCCACTCCCTCTCCCACTCCCCTTCTTGCCCCAGCCCCTTCTCCCTGTCCCACCAGCTGTAATCCGTGGCTATCTGATGGCACGTGGGCCGACGAGGTGCTCTCTGCCCCAGAACCTATCTTTCCCCAACCACTCCCTCACCCCCTCCCCCACCCCCTCCCCCACTCCCTCCCCCACTCCCTCCCTTCCAACCCCTTCTCCCTGCGTCATCAGCTGTCATCCGTGGCTATCTGATGGCACGTGGGGCGACGAGGTGCTCTCTGCTCCGGGACCCATCGTGCTGCCAGGTCAGCACCTGTGTTGCCAAGTCAGCTGAATTGCCAGGTCAGCTTGTATTGCCAGGTCAGCTTGTATTGCCAGGTCAGCCTCTATGCTGTCTGGTCAGCCTGGCGCTGCCAATCAATGCTCCTCTTCAGGTAGGAGCCTTTTGCCTCACTTCACCTCCTTCACCCCCCACAACCCCTCACCACCGCACACCAGAGTTGTCGGACGAGGAGGCGGTGTCACTGGAGGTGGAGGGGCGGGCGGAGGTGGGGGCAGAGCTGCACGCCCTGCATGCTGTGTCGCCCGCCCTGGAGCCCTTCGTCACAGCTGTTCACATGCAGTGGTGAGTCCCAGAAACACAGCCACTGGTGAGCCCAGCTCATTCGCGTTGGTGAGCTGTGAGTCGAGTTTACCCACCACTGCTGCACGCCCTGGATTCCGTGTCGCCCGTCCTGGAGCCGTTTGTCAGCGCCGTCCACATGCAGTGGTAAGCTGGCTGCTGGATGACTCATCTGCACTGGTGCGCCATGTGTCAAGTGAAGTCCACTCTCTAGTGTTGCACGCCCTGCATGCTGTGCCGCCTGCCCTTGAGCCATTCATCACAGCCATTCGCGCGCCTGAACCAAGGCACGCGCGTGGACCAAGGCGCGCGCGTGGACCAAGTCGCGCGCGTGGACCAGGGCGCCCGCGTGGACCAGGGCGCGCGCGTGGACCAGGGCGCGCGCGTGGACCGGGGCGCGCGCAGACCAAGGCGCGCGCGCGGACCAGGGCGCGCGCGCTGACCAAGTCGTGCCCGTGGACCAAGGCATGCTCTTTCTAGCACATTTAGGAGTTCGTATATTTACAGACGTGCTCTCCATAGCAAAGCAAAATTCTTGTTCTGGCCGTCGGTAGTGCCAAACGCGAAACAATCCGCACCCGTATAGAAAATGAAGCAATCAATCACAGGTACTACATGCTATCAATCGCCACCAGATGGCAGGTTAGCAGGGGCTCTTACTCGCACCTCCCGATGCCACTAAATCTCTCCCCCCCCTCCCGCTCATCCCGTCCTCGCCAGGTGGCAGGCCAGCAGCGGCTCCGACTCGCACCGCCCGATCGACGGCGCCACGTCAGCGCGCCTGCCAGTGACGGCGCGCCACGTGGGAGCGTACCTGCTGTGCTCCGCCACTGTGCTGGACTCGTTCGGGCGCTCATTCAACTCTGTTGCCACCACCGCCACCCCCATCGCTCCTGCTACTTCCACACCTATCGCTGCCCCCGCTGCCACCAGTGCCGCCACTGCGGGCGCTGCTGGAGAGGCTGCAGGCACAGAGGAGGCACGGGGCATGCAGGGGGCGCAGCAGCAGGGTGAGGGCGAGGGGGCCGTGCTGCTGGAGGGAAGCATGGGAGGGGCACAAGGCAGGCATGAACGAGGAGTGCATGAGCAAGGGGGGCGTGAGCGTGGGCAGGAAGGGCAGGGAGGCCGCATGGGGGAAGGGCATGAGCAAGGGCGTGGAGGCATAGGGGGAGGCTATGAGGGGGAAGGTGAAGGCAGGCGAGAGAGCAGAGCGTCGGCAGAGGCAGCGAGTGCAGGGTCCCGCCGTGCAGCCACCCCCCCACCCTCAGAAAGCACCACCGCGCTGCGCATATCAGGAGGGCCCTACCATACATCGCTCTTCCACCTGCACCTGCCGCCGTCTCCCCCCGCCCCTGCCTGGCTGCGCCCCTCCTCCTGCCGCATGCAGTGGTTCCGTGTGCCTCCAGGGGGGTTCCACGCCTTGGATCCCCACCCCATACCCGGTGAGTGTTCCAGTGCTAGCCACTGCCCAGGTGGACGCGCATCAGTGCCTCATGCTGGAGCTGCTTCTCACATCCCTTCCCCCTCCCCCTCCCCGTTTATCCAACCTCATCCCCTCCCTCCCCGTTTCCCCAACCCTGCCCGCTCCCCTTCCCCACTGTCAGGTGCAACGGGCACAACGTACCAGGCGGACGTGGCAGACGCACACCAGTGCCTCGTGGTGGAGCTGCGGCCTCTCCTCGCCCACCATCCCTCCTCCCAGCCCCATTCCCCCTCCCCTCCCCCATTATCAGGTGCCACTGGCATGTCATACCAAGCAGACGTGGCAGACGCGCACCAGTGCCTCATGGTGGAGCTGCGGCCGCTCCCCGCACAAGACGTGCACTCCCAGCAACAGGAGGGCGAAGGGGAAGGGGATGGGGAGGAGGTGGTGCTGCGAGTGCTGTCGCCGCAAGTTCTTGTTGGTACGTGAAGTTGCCCATTCTTATAACGTGCCTGGACTGCATTGCTCCTACTTCTCCTCCCCTCTTCTTTCTCATTGCTCGTACACACCCACACTCGACCGGCTCCTTGTTCCTTTCTCCCTGCAAACCTCTCGATGTTCATCGCCCCCCCTCTCTCTTTCTACCCTTCTCCACCTCTTTCTCGCTTGTGCCTCTTGCATCACTATGCATTGCTCCTCCTTTCACCCAGCCTCTTCCTGCGCTGCTGTGTCATTCACCCATATCCACCCACTCTCCCCCCTTCTCCGCCTCTTTCTCGCTTGTGCCACTTGCATTGTTCACTACGCACTGCTCCGCCTTTCACCCAGCCTCTCTCCCTGCGCTGTTGCATCATTCACTTGTGCCTTCTCTCCCCTGTGCGCCCATGCACTCTCCCTTGCCCACCAGACCCCGCCGTGGTGAGGGATGTGGTTCTCTTATTGCCGCCAGCTAGAGTGACTTTGCACCAGACCCTTTGTAGTGTCTTCTCCCTTTGTACCTGTGCTCCCATGCCCACCACACCCTGCAGTGGCACGAGACATGGATCTCATAGTGGCGGCGGGCAGCCTTCTGAGTCGACTCGAAGCGCACTCTGCACTGTTGTGCCATTAACCCTGCTCCACACCTTGATTGTCATTTACCCCCCCTCCCTCTCCCCCCCTGTGCCCACCAGACCCAGCAGTGGCGAGGGATGTGGATCTCATAGTGGCGGCGGGCAGCACCAAAGTGGAGGTCAGTGCCCATGAGTCAGGACACATGGTGCTGGTGTGAGGTAACTGGGGGGCTGGGAGGGTGGGTGCATGAAGCAGTCACGTGGTGCTATGGGACAGTGTGCTCTTGCGCGACCACGCACACCCCGCAGTAGCGAGGGATGTGGATGTCATAGTGACGGCAGGCAGCACCAAAGTGGAGGTCAGTGCTGAATGGCGGTGGCAGGTGCTGCTGGGGTGTGGTAACTGGGGGTTGGGTGGGGGCATGATGCACTGCTGTGGGACCATGTGCTCCCATGGGACCATGCACGCCAAAGTGGAGGTCAGCGATGCCGAGGGGTGCTGTGCGGTGCTGTGTGGTGCTGGGGTGGTGCTGGGGTGCTGCCAGGGATGGTGCTGGGGGTGGGATGGGTGCTTGATGCCTCCTTGTGCCGCCGCATGTGCAGTGCTGCCATGCCCTGCTGCAGTGCTCCTATCCTATGGGTGCCATGCCATGTGTCCTCTGCATGCACCCAGCCATCAGACTCCCTGCCTTGTTGTCCATCTCCTCTTCCTCCTCTTCTTTCCCGCCTTACCCCTTCCACCTCCTTTTGCCCTCTCTACGTCGCCCCTCTCGGATTCATCCAGTCCTCCTGCATTCGTCTCCCAGTCTTCGCCCCTCACTCTTCGCCCCTCGCCCTCTCCCCCTCCGTGCATCCCTCCTCGCCAGACGCATGACGTGGGGCGGTCAGGCCGGAGGGAGCACCGAGTGGTGGACGCCAGTAGAAAGCGGTTCAAAGTGGTGAAGCTCACTGCACTCGCTGCCATTAACAGAGTGGAAGTCAGGGCAACCTATGACCCCCCCTTCAGGGTAAGTGGTAACGGCTCCCTTTGTTTTCCCCTTTTCTCTCCCGTCTCTCATTCTCCCCACCCCTCGTCTGCAGGTGGAAACAGAACCGAATGAACGGGAGCGCATGCGGGTGGTGGTGAGTGCAGGCAAGGAGGTGGAGCCCATTCTGCCCTCCTCCTTCTCCCACCCCCCTCTCCGATCTGTCATTGCAACCGTCTGTCTGCAGGTGGAAACAGAACCGGGCGAGCGGGAGCGCATGCGGTTGGTGGTGAGTGCAGGCAAGGAGGTGGAGCCCATTCTGCCCTCCTCCTTCTCCCACCCCCCTCTCCGATCTGTCATTGCAACCGTCTGTCTGCAGGTGGAAACAGAACCGGGCGAGCGGGAGCGCATGCGAGTGGTGGTGAGTGCGGAAAAGGAGGTGGAACTCACTCTTCCCTCGCAACGAGCCCGGGATGTCATGGTGCTGTGCCTTCGCACCTTCATGCAGCAGCACCGCACTGCCAAGCACCATTAAGGGCTGGTACCGCACTGCACCGTGCAGCATCACAGCGAGCCCGGGATGTCATGGTGCTGTGCCTGCGTGCATTCATGTAGCAGCAGCACCGCAGTGCCAAGCATTGAGCCAGTCATGCGAAGCTGACTGCTGTGCTGAATGGGGATTAATTCTTCTCTTTCATGCAAGGTGCCCATCTCGTTGCTGCTGTTAGGAGTGAGCTTAGGAAGGGCTGCAGGCGTGACAGGCTTCATTCGGATGTATTTGTACACTTCTTTCAGTGTTGGGCAATACATAAATACCGTAAACCCCCGGATATAAGACCCCCTCCAGTTGTATACCCCCGGGTATATAATACAGGGGGGGGTACTCTATTCGAGTCTTGTCGAGATATACGGTACCCCCCTATTTGGCACCTTACAATATAAGACCCCCCCCTACCACTAGAGACCTATTCATTTGTGATGTAGGGACTGGTACTTGGTGATTTTCAATGTTCATAGAGGAGGCAGCACAACCAAACACACATGCGAAGGAACATTACCCTATCTAATCCTCATCCTGCCCAGCAACCCAGGTCTCCGCCTCCTCCCCATCATATCGCCCTTGTGCCCACCATTCATCGCCTTCATCCTGCCATCCCCCTCCAGCCCCCACCTCCTCCGCGACCCCACAGTTGTCCTCCTCCTCCTCCTCCTCCTCCTCCTCCTCCTCCTCCTCCTCCTCCTCCTCCTCCTCCTCCTCCTCCTCCTCCTCCTCCTCCTCCTCCTCCTCCTCCTCCTCCTCCTCCTCATCCTCCTCATCCTCCTCCTCATCCTCCTCGACATCCTCCTCTCCAGCTTCCGCCACCAGCTCAGCATCGCTGTCCCTGTCAGCAGTGGCAGCAGGGTCAGGGTAGAAAGGGTTGGGGACGATCTCGTCCAGCTCCTCCTCGCACACATCCTCCATCACCTCCACCTCCGCCGCGTCCCGCAGGTGAGCGTGGATCAGATGATCCTCGCTCCCGTCGACGGCATTGGAGATGCCGCACGTGATGAAAGATTTTCTGATCAGTTCTTCTGGGACGTCGGCCCAGGCCTCCGCAATCCATTAAAGAACCTTTTCAGCGGGGGGTTTCTTCAGGTTCCCTGCGGGAAAGGGCACGGATAAGGGCAGTGGTCAGTCAATACACATTCTAGGCGCACATTAAACCGGGGGCAGTCATGTGCTCACCTGCACGGGTAAAGGACCCAATCCCCTCATCTTGGAACCACGTGGAGTAGCGGTGGCGAACCCCGGCTTTAAAGCTCCGGTTTATCGAAACGTCCAGCGGTTGCACCAGCGAGGTGCAACCGCCAGGGATCACCACGCGAGTGAGCTTGAACAGCTTCATCGTCTGGCCGACCACATCAGTGATGTGCCCTCGGTAGGAGTCGAAGACGAGGAGCCCCTCCTTACGCTGCCCTCCCTCTTCGCGGAGCGGCTTAAGGAAGGGGACGAGAACTTGCGTTGTCCAGTCTTGGACAAGTTTCTCGTCCATCCAGCCCTTGTCCTGGACGCGGATGACAACACCTACACGATAGCACAAGACACATTAGCGGGTTTCTTCTTCAGCAAAGAGCAGCAAAGTTGCCGCACGGGCACAACTCACCTCGGGGCACGGGGATCTTCGACAGAGTCTTCCGCTTGAAGACAACATAGGGAGGGAGCTTCATGCCGCCCGCCGTCACCGCCAGCATGACGGTGAGGCGCTCCTTCTCGTACCCCGCGGTGCGCACGTGCACGGTACGCGCGCCTTTCATCTCGAGGGTGCGCTCAGCAGGCATCTCGAGGAACAAAGGCGTCTGATCCGCGTTTACAATCAAGTTGAGGGGGTAGGCGTTGAGCACGCGCATCTGCCTCACGAATTCCCAGAAAGACTCGCACTTCTTCTTGCAATCTGCGTTGCACAAGTGAATGGTGAATCACTAGCTGCAATTTTACATCAGCAGAGATCGAATGTGCACGGGATTTCTTACCTGCAGCAAGTTTCTGCCCAATCTTTGTCTTCACGCGCTGCGCCAGGGACCACCGCCTGCGGAACCTCTTTATCCAGCGGTGCGACGACCGCCACTTCTCTTGGGGGTGGCGGTGCTTCATGTAGCTCGTCGCCCAACTCTGCAGCAGGCCCACGGAAACCGGCAGACCTTTCCCACGGTGGGAAAAGAACCTGCGGTAGACCGCAGTCTCCATCATCGGCCACTTGGGCTTTCGTCCAGCACCACTGAGACGACGGCGACATCCTGCCGCAATTTCGAGGCGCTCCTTCAATCTCTTCCAGTCGCGGATCTGCTTCGGCTGGACTTTGGCGAGGCTGGCCAGCTTGTGGACGCTCAGATCCGGCTGCGCGTCTATCATCTTGAGCCAGTACAGTTTCTCTTTGGCGGTGTAAGCTTTCCGCGCTCTCTTCGTCATTCGGTGCCTTGGCGATGGCGTCTCTGCGTCCTGCACACACTTCTTCTTACCCTGCGGTCTGCTGGATTGCGGAAAGACAGGAACCCTAACTTGGGGAAGCGGACGGCGTGGGCTCTCGCTGCGCTCACTATCTGCCGCATCGCTGGTAGAGGCACTTGGCGTTGGCATGACGGGCCTGGGCGATGGCCTAGCAACAGGAGGTGTACTGGGGATACGGCGGCGCCGGCGTTGAGCACCCGACGTCCCAGCATCTGGGGATGTCACCATGTTGGCTAAACTACAGATGACACGCTGCTAGCTTCGAGGAGGTTTTATAATGGCTCCGCTCGCCATCTCTGATAGCCAGCCGAGCAAAGAAAGGGGACGTGCTGGGGAGAAGAAACAAGAGAAGGACGTGAAGTACAGCCTACACACAGGGACGTGCCAGCTACTGGGTGTAGAGCACCCCCTAACCAATACCGTGCAGCCCCCTCGCAGCGTGCATGGGGTGTGAAGGCCGAGGCGACACTGTGCGCTGGGCCCATCACACGGTGCCTCTATGCTTGATGTGGTCGCCAATTCTGGCCAAAGAGAGAACCCTCCCAGCTTGATTTCGTGTTGACGTGTGTCAGACCTCAAGGAGATGGTTTCGCGTATTTTCTTGGAGTGCTAAAATGGAACACTTCCCATGCACTTGTCTTTGCCCAAAAACATGTATCTAAAAAAGTCAATTTGTATAGACCCGGCCTGGGTCTTATACTATATATGCCACTTATTTAGACCCCCCCATTTTTTTAGGTGCGATTATGACAAGACCCTAGGGTCTTATATCCGGGGGTTTACGGTATCGACCTGGGTGTGCACACACATTCGGCACTGATCCTACATGGCATGGCTAAACTAAACAACTGAAAAAAACAGTGGAGAACAGGCAGGAATGGTGGCAGTGTAAGCAAGCAGATGCAGAGATGTGAGGGCGCGCTTGTTGGAGCCACCAACCGCAAACAAACCCTTCAAACGGGAACAATCTGGAAGCACACGATTTGAGGCGCCTAAAAAATCAATTTGATTGAGACACCACCACCCATTCAGCCGGGAAAGGTACCCCTGTTCCAGAACATCAGAGCGAGCCGTGAGCACAGGAGCACCTTGGTGGGAGGGATGTCTCATAGCAGAGCTCTTCACAAGGCTGTGCGGCGATTAGGGCGGTGGTTGAGCACCGGAAAAGGGGTTGTGCATGGTGCATAGCAGGGACAGGGACTGCAAACGGTCAGAGGAGTAGGGTGCTGCTGGGGAGGATGAGGGAGGAGGACCCTAGAGGGGCTGTGCAGCCGTCACAGATAGTATACGGGCTAGCAGGGGTAGGTGAGGATGAGTGAAGTGGTCAGAGTAGGGGGGTGCCGTTGGGGAGGACGAGGGAGGGGCAGGCGAGGATGCGACGCAGCGCTGCCTCTGCTGCTGGCAGTGAGTCCACTGCGTCTGATGTGGTGAAGGAGAGGCGCTGCACGTGGAACTGCAATGGGGTGGGGAGGGGTGGAGTGGGGTGGGGATAGAGAGAGGGGAGGGGGAGGGGTACGTCGATGTTACTGTCAATGCTGATAAACGATGCATCGTCGATGGCCTGCTGGGGGCCAGCTGCTCAAGTCCCCTGGGACCTAGCAACCAGATTACCACACCTGTGCAGCACCCCTCTACACACCTGAGTACCGTGTCGCACGCGGATATCAACCCCCTTGCTGTCAATGCCAATGAAGGAAGCATCGTCGGTCGCTTGCTGGGGGCTGCTCAAGTCCCCTGGGTCCCACCAGCAACCACATTATCACACCTGCACAGCACCCCTCTACTCACCTGGGTGCCGTGCCGCACGCGGATATCCACCCCCTTGCTGTAGATACCGATAAAGGAAGCATCGTTGATGGCCTGCTGGGGCTGCTCGCTGCTAGAGTCACCTGGGTACCATGTCATGCCACCCACGTTCCATGTCTCTCACCCATGCGCCGTCTCTCTACACACCTGAGTGCCGTGCTGCACACGGATATCCACCCCCTTGCTGTCGATGCTGATGAAGGAAGCATAAATGATGGCCTGCTGGGGGCTCGCTGCTTGAGTCACCTGGGTACCAACCAGCCCTCTATTCACCTGTGTGCGGTGCCCCATGCCCCACCTGAGTGCCGTGTCGCACGCGATTATCCACCCCCTTGCTGTCGATGCTGATGAACAATGCACCATCGATGGCCTGCTGGGGACTCGAGTCACCTGGATACATCAAGCTACCCGCACAGCCCCCTCTATGCACCTGTGCACCCCTCTACACACCTGGGTGCCGTGCCGCACGCGGATATCCACCCCCTTGCTGTCGATGCTGATGAAGGAAGCATAAATGATGGCCTGCTGGGGGCTCGCTGCTTGAGTCACCTGGGCACCAAATCAGGTGATGCCACCTGCATGCCATGTCATCCCACCTGCACATTCCCCCTTTATTCACCTGAGTGCCGTGTCGCACCCGGATGTCCACCCCCTTGCTATCAATGCTGATAAACGATGCATCATCGATGGCCTGCTGGGGGCTCGACCCGGCCAGCACCGCCCTCAGTTCCCCGCCCAGCCTATCGTTGAGTTCCTGAAGGGGCGAAGGAGAGCACAAGGACAGCAGGTGAGGGAAGAGGGAGAAGCATCGTCGATTGCCTGCTGGGGGCTTGACCCTGCCAGCACCGCCCTCAGTTCCGCCCCCAACCAGTCGTTTAGCTCCTGCCACATGGAAAACGGAAATGCGAGGGAAGGAAGAGGGAAGCACAATGACAATCCCTCACCACTCAACCCCGCAAACACCGCCCTCAGCTCCCCGCCCAACCGGTCGCTCAGCTCCTGAGGGGGGGAGGAGAGCACAAGGACAGCAGGTGAGGGAAAAGGGAGGAAGCATCATCGATGGCCTGCTGCGGGCTCGACCTGGCCAGCACCGCCCTCAGCTCGCCTCCCAGCCTATCGTTGAGTTCCTGAAGGGGGGAGGAGAGCACAAGGACAGCAGGTGAGGGAAGAGGAAGAAGCTTTGTCGATGGCCTGCAGCGGGCTCGACCCCGCCAGCACCGCCCTCAGTTCCGCCCCCAGCCAGTCGTTCAGCTCCTGAAGGGGGGAGCAACGAGAGAGGGACGGAAGAAGACAGAAAAAACCACGATGACAATCCTCACCAAACCACTGCCCTCAGCTCCCCGCCCAGCCGGTCGTTGAGTTCCTGACAGCCACAGTCAGGGCGAGGAAGCACCTATGATTAGAGAAAGGGAGGAAGCGTCATCGATGGCCTGCTGGGGGCTTGACCCCGCCAGCACCGCCCTCAGCTCGCCTCCCAGCCGGTCGTTGAGCTCCTGTCACGAGGAGAAAGGAGAGAGGAGGGAAGAAGAGGGAAGGAGAAGCACAATGATAGCCCACCGCACTCGAACCTGCCAGCACCGCCCTCAGTCCCCCCCCCCCAGCCGATCGTTGAGTTCCTGCCAGGCACAGAGGGGTGGACGACCACTATGACTCGAGAGAGGGAGGAAGCGCCATTGATGGCCTGTTGGGGGCTCGACCCCGCCAGCACAGAGGGCCCCAGTCTCACAACAGTATGTTCCCTCTCAGCCTCACCAACAGTCTGTTCCCTCTCAGCCTCACCAACAGTATGTTCCCTCTCAGCCTCACCTGCAGCGTGTGTTCAACTTGGTTGGTGGCGACGGTATCCGGTGTGGCAGCCACATACTCAGCCACGTCTATCCACGCCACTGTGCCAAAGCCCCCCACATAGTGTGTGCCCATTGCCCTCAGACTAGTCTGTGAGCACAGGGTGTGTCCCCTTTGAAGCTCACCTGCAGCGTGTGCTCCACATGGTTGGTGGCAACGGTATCAGGCGTGGCAGCCACATAATCAGCCACAGAGACTCACCTGAAAGCACAGAATAAGTGCCCTCAGCAGTAACTGTGAGCACAAAGTGTGTTTCCTCTCACTCACCTGCAGCGTGTGCTCCACATGGTTGGTGGCGACGGTATCGGGCGTGGCAGCCACATACTCAGCCACGTCAATCCACGCCACCGTGCCAAAGCCCCCCACAAAGTAAATGTCGCTGTTGGGGTGGGGATGGAAGGAAGGGGGAGGAAGGGGGAGTGGGGGGAAGGGCAAGAGAGTGTGTAAGTATGTATGTAGGCGTCATTTCACATACTCAGCCACGTCAATCCACGCCACCGAGCCAAAGCCCCCGACAAAGTAGATGTCACTGGGGTGGGAGTGGGGTGGGAGGGGAGGTGTTGGAGAGGGGGTTCGAAGGGCAGGGGTGTGCAGCGGAGAGCGATGATCTCTTAGTTTGAGCCACGTCAATCCACGCCACCGTGCCAAAGCCGCCCACAACGTAGATGGCGCTGAGGGAGTGGAGGGTGCAAGGAGGGCAGGAGTGTGTTGTGAGAGGCTTGCAAGGGGAAGTGGGCAGAGGGGCAACCAACAGAGAGTCGTGGTTGTTTGCTTCGGAGGGGTTTGTAATTCACATCACAGACCCGATGCTGGAATGTAGGGTGCGGCTACCAGACAGGGTTACCAGATCGATAGTATCCATGCGGTAACCAGATCGTATCCATGTGGTTACCAGGTCATATCCATGCACTCACCAGATGGTATCCATGCGGTAAAAGTGAAAGTTGCCCCACTGCTGCGCCGCCCCGTGCTGGTGCCGCTTCACGTAGAAGCCCCGCGCCCACTCCTAATGGGGAGGGGTTTCAGTGGGGGAGGGGGATGGGGAATGGGGGTGAGATGAGGGCCGTGTATGGGCTGCTGCGCTGCCCCGTGCTGGTGCCGCTTCACGTAGAAGCCCCACGCCCACTCCTGGCAGGTAAGAGGGGGGGGGTTACAGGAGGGGAGGGGGATGGCGGGAGGGAGATGGAATGAGGGCCATGCGTGGCTGCTGTGCTGCCCCGTGCTGGTGCCGCTTCACGTAGAAGCCTTGCGCCCACTCCTAATGGGGGGGTTTCAGGGGGGGAGGGGGATGGGGAATGGGGGTGAGATGAGGGCCATGTGTGGGCTGCTGCGCTGCCCCGTGCTGGTGCCGCTTCACATTGAAGCCTCGCGCCCACTCCTGCCAGTGGTGAGTAAAGGGGGGGAGCGAGAAGGTGAGGGCGATTGGTGGAGTGGAGCAGAAATGTGAGGGAGTGGCCTGGAGAGCAGATGTGTGTGCTGCTGCGCTGGCCCTTGCCCGTGCTGCTGCTGATGCTGATGCTGCTGCTGATGCTGCTGCTGATGCTGATGCTGATGCTGATGCTGATGCTGATGCTGATGCTGATGCTGATGCTGATGCTGCTGCTGCTGATGCTGCTGCTGCTGCTGCTGCTGATGCAGATGCTGATGCTGCTGCTGCTGCTGCTGCTGATGCTGATGCTGATGCTGATGCTGATGCTGATGCTGCTGCTCATGCTGATGCTGCTGCTGCTGCTGGTGCTGATGCTGATGCTGATGCTGATGCTGATGCTGATGCTGATGCTGCTGCTGATGCTGCTGCTGATGCTGATGCTGCTGCTGATGCAGATGCTGGTGCTGATGCTGCTGCTGATGCTGCTGCTGATGCTGCTGCTGATGCTGATGCTGATGGGAAGAGCAGCAGTGCAAGCAAGGAGCAGTTATAAGCTGTGCAAGGAGCACTTAAGCGGCAGGGATAGCAATCGCACCTGCTGGCTAGGCGGCAGGGATAGAGATCCCCAAAGATGGTGGCACGCGCATTGGCAAGGCCGCCCCACCCCGGGATCTGCGTGCTGCTGAATGCATGCTAGTGGACCTGCTTTCCTACCTGCTGGCTGGGTGGCAAGGGTAGCAATCGCACCTGCTGGCTGGGCGACAGGGGGTAGAGGTCGCCAAAGATGGTGGCACGTGCATCGGCAAGGCCGCTCCACCCCGGGATCTGCACCACCACGGTGCAGCTGCTGCCGCTGCATGCACACAAACAAGAGGGCTATCCCATGTGCTGTGCCTGGTACCTGGCATCTAGTAGCTTTCTACCTGTTCTCTGGGCAGCAGGGGGGCATAACGATCACAAACCACACCTGCTGGCTGGGCGGCAGGGGGTAGAGATCCAAAGATGGTGGCGCGGGCATTGGCAAGGCCGCTCCACCCGGGGATATGCGTACTGCTGGCATGCATGCTAGTGGGCTAACCATGTATACTACCTGCTGGCTGGGCGGCAGGGGGTATAGGTCCCCAAAGATGGTGGCGCGGGCGTTGGCGAGGCCACTCCAGCCAGGGATCTGTGTGCTCCTGCATGCATGTATGCTAGTGGGCTAAGCTGCTACCCTTACCTGCTGGCTGGGCGGCAGGGGGTATAGGTCCCCAAAGATGGTGGCGCGCGCGTTGGCAAGGCCACTCCACCCCGGGATCTGCACGACCACGGTGCAGCGCGGGTCCGACTGCAGGTTGCGTGAGTGCATGCCCAGGGGGGACAGCAGGAAGACGGGATCTGGGGGGACGAGAGGGGTGGGGGGGTGGGAAGGTGGGGGAAAATGAGTTGAATAACAGGGGAAGTAGGGGTATGAAGGGGGGGTCCAGGTGCAGGTTGGTGATGCAGGTTGGTGATGCAGGTTGCGCGAGTGCATGCCGAGAGGGAAGAGCAGGAAGACGGGATCTGGGGGGAAGGGATGCAGAGGTGGGAGGGTTGGGATTAGGAGGGAATGGCAGGGGAAGTAGGGGTACGAAGGTGGGTCCAGGTGCAGGTTTTCGTTGGCAAGGCCGCTCCCACAGTGCAGCGCGGATCCCACTGGAGGTTGCACGAGTGCATGGCCAGAGGGGAGAGCAGGAAGACGGGATCTGGGGGGAATGGGGTGGGGGAGTGGTGGGGCGGAATGGCAGGGAAGGGGGTTGGAGAGTGAAGGATGCACGAATGCATGGCCAAACGGGAGAGCAAGAATAAGGCGCCTGGTGGTGAGGAGGGGAAGAGGGGGGGTATAAGGGGGAGAGGGGGAACGAGGGGAAGGGGGGAGAGGAGGGGGAAAGGGGAAACGGGGTTGGGGCAGGGAACATGGGGTCTGACAGGGGATGTTTGTGCGGTGGGGAGGGCAGGGGATGGGAGGGGAGGAAGAGGCGGGCTAATGGAAATTCGGATTGGCGGCTTGCCTTGATTGACGCCATAGCTCCACCTGCTCCACACAAACCTCCTCTCCCCTTCCTCCTGCCCACACATCCCTCCCTTCCCACCAAGTTCTCCCGCCTCCCTCCCTGCCCCAACTTCCCATCTTCCCCTCCCCCTCCCCCAATCTGCCCCCTCCCCCTCCTAGACTCATGGCCATCAGCATCAGTGGTAAAGTCAACAAGCGACCCGAAGGGGTACCCCTTGCGGCGGTGGTGCGAGCGGGACATGATGGAGCAGAGCTGTGCGTACTGCGCCTTGCTTGTTCACCTGCTGTCCACCCTTGCTTGCTTGCTCACCTGCCCCTCCCTCCTCTCCCATTCCTCTGCCCACTGCCCACGCTCTTCCATCCCACTCCCTGCCTCCCCTGCCCCCCTTCCCCTCCCCCCCCCCCCCACCCCCTCCCTTGACTCACGGCCATCAGCATCAGTGGTAAAATCAACCAGCGACCCAAAAGGGTACCCCTTGCGGCGGTGGTGCGAGCGGGACATGATGGAGCAGAGCTGCGCGTACTGCGCCTGCTCCACCAGATTCCTCACTGCTACAGCGGGTGCTGGCAGCCCGTGGGCGCTCGTGGCACTCTCTACCCCTCCAGACACAGGTGAGCGGAAGAGTCCCGAGCGAGTAGCAGATACTGGAGGAGAGGGGAGGGGGGAATGTGAAGGGGGAAGCAAAGGTTTGATGGAGCAGAGCTGCGCGTACTGCGCCTGCTCCACCAGATTGCGCACTGCTACACCCGGGGCTGGCAACCCGTGGGCGCTCGTGGCGCTTTCGACACCACCTGAGACTAGCGAGCGGAAGAGACCCGAGCGTGTTGCAGACACTGGAAGGGGCAAAAGGGATGGGGAGAGGAAAGGAGAAGGGGGAGAGGGGAAGGAGCAGCAAGGAGTGGAGTGGGAGAATAGGCTGTAAGACCAGGCCCTTGAGACAGCGGCATGATGGAGCAGAGCTGTGCGTACTGCGCCTGCTCCACCAGGTTGCGCACCGCCACTGCTGGGGCGGGTAGCCCGTGGGTGCTGGTGACGCTCTCCAGTCCCCCGGATACTGGTGAGCGGAATAGGCCCGAGAGGGCAACGGGTGCGGGGAAAGGAGAAAGGGCGAGAGGAGGGAAGGGTGCGGGGACAGAGCTCTCGCAAATCAAATGGGGATGAGCAGGGGGCGAACTCGAGCATGTTCGAGTTCGCCCCCTCTCGAACATCGACTTCTGCCGAACCGAACAGTGTTCGGTTCGGCGAACGACTTGGGCGAAAATTGGTGTTCGCCGTTCGCCCTAGGAGGCGAACGAATTGCTGCAGCAGGCGAACACGAACATGTTCGAGGCGAACATGTTCGTGTTCGCCCAGGGGGATATTCGATATAGTCACACAGGTCAGAAAGCGATTTTCACACAGGTCAGAAACTAGAGAATTGACCTCTACAAGCTTGATCCCGTAGCTACCAACCCTTAGTGTTTCTGAAATTACCCTACACTATTAACTAGTTAGATGAAATGTCCGTGTAAAAGTTAAGGAACGGTGTGCGATGGCTCTTAAAACCGCAAGGCTATGGCGGTTGTGGGAGGGAGGGCTAAGCGCCAAAGTCGTTTTGAGTTTGAGCTCAAGAAATGAGCTCAAACTCAAAACGGCCGCGACCTAAATTTGGTCGCGGCCAATTTTGACGCGAACACTTTGGTGTTCGCCTGCCCCCCAAATCGAACACGAACGTGTTCGTGTTCGTCTTTCCTTCGCCAAATGGAGGTGGCGAACGGCGAACATGTTCGGCCGAACACCGAACATGTTCGCCCCGAACGAATTAGGCGAAAAAAAAAAGTTCGGTTCGCCTCGAACATGTTCGAGGCGAACCGAACAGGTGTTCGAGATTTTTCTCAAGCCTCGTGGGATGCTTGTGGGGAGGGGAGAAGGGCGGGAGAGGGGACGAGGAAAGGATACGCTACCTCACTCACCCGCCATCCCCGCACCACTGCCACTCACCCGCGCCCCCTTCTTCCCCTCCCACTGCCACTCACTCGCCCCCCCTTTCCCACCGCCACTCACCCGCCCTCACTGCGCCATCGCCCGCAGCGGTCACCAGCGGCGCCACCCCCGCATCCGCCTCGCCCGCTTCCCCTGCAGCAGCTGCGCGCCACACACTCCGCCTGCGGGAGGGGACGCGCGCTGCGATTGGCGGAGTGGCGCAGCAGTCGGTGCGGAAGGGGGAAGCGGCGGCTAGCGAGTGGGCGGAGGAGAGTAGGCGCGCGCGGGGCAAGGGTATTCTGGAAAAGAATGGGGGAGGAGGGTTGGCGAAGGGGGGAAAGGAAAAGGAACAGGGAGGCGGTGGGATGGGAGAGGGAGGCAGGGAGAGGGACGGGCGAGAGAATGGAGAAAAAGGAGCGAGAGTCGAGAACAGGATGGAACGGGGTTAGAGTCAATGGGGAATGGAATGAGGATGGATGGAGGACAAGAGTGGTTGATTCGGAAAATGCCAGGGAAGAGTGTAGACGTTCAAGTTCTGAATGTCACTCATATCGCAGCAGCGTATAGCGAGCGATGAACGGTCTACACTGCATGTGAAGAAGGCCGTGCGGGCGTGCGATAAAGCGCACATTGCTTGCGAGAACACCGCAGCGGCGGCGACCTACCTATTACGTTCGCTCTTTACTGTAACACTCGCCAAGGGGCGCGTTCCCGGGGGCAAGGCGGGGTGGACGCGGAGGGCCATGGGCCGGACTCGCGCGGAACGGGGAAAGCTGCGCGGAAGAGAAGGAACACGTTCGGCGAAAATCACTGGAGATACCGCGCTGGGCGGCGTTGCTCGTTTCTTCGACGGCTGCCAATGCCAGGGCGGAAAATATGCTGTTGGTGGCGACCAGAGCACGCGCGGCGCGGCTGCTGATGATGTCTGAGTGCGTGGAGAAGTCTGGCGAAGATCGGATGGCGATTGGACTCTGGGTTGGATCAGAACAATTTGAAACTTGGAGCCGGGGGATGGAATGGGACTTCCGAAATAATCGTAATGTACAAAGTGTGTATCTAGCTTGTGAAATGGAACCCTCTTTGTAACGGACCCAGAGCAGGTGCCTCGCCAGCTAACGGGGGAATGGGCTGCTGACACGTGCACGAGATAAAGGCGGAAACCTGGGAATCTGGGGAGAAACGACCCAATCAAGCCCGTGAGTCGTGTCAGCAACGACCAAACGCAAGACTGATAAGTTGAGAGTACGGTGAAAAGAGTTTCATGTGGTCTCTGTAACACAGATGAGGCCGCCTTTATCGGGTTGCAGGTGATACAGATCCCAAAATATCAATCAACTCAACTCAATACCCCTCCCAACCGTTCTCTATTAATATTAATCGCTCTGGAACAGAAAGCAACACATTGAACCGCATCCGAATTTTCTCGGGCCCACCCTTGTCTTGATTTGACATCAAAGCAAGCAACCTCCAGCGCCGCCAATCACCTCCCCGCTCCCATTCTTCCCCTCTTACCACCAGCTGCCAGAAATCACTCGTTACTACATTCACTTCATTCCGCTGATATCCCCTACCACCCCGAGTCGCCATTCGTCACGCGCATGTCTCTCTAGTTTTTACCCACTTCCACTGCCGTGCTCCGCATCAGCCCTCCGTGTGCCGCACCTCCTTTGATTCGCTGCTCCTTGAATCCGCAGTTTATTCCTCCTTCAGGCCGTGCCTTCGCGTGCTCGTTGCCTTGTCGTGCGCATCCCCGCGATCACCCCGCGCCACTCATCCTTGCGACGATGCGACGATGCGACGATGCGACGATGCGACGAGAGGATGGGAGAGGAGGGGAATGGGAGGAGCCGTTAGGAACGGGCTGGATTAGGCGCCGCGATAGGCGCGTGATAGGCGCGTGATAGGCCCGTGATAGGCGCGTGAGATTTCGAACCACTCTATTGACATCGCAACTAGACGAGTAAGTGCGCCGCAACGTTTCAAATACAAGACGAGTGGGCCCATAGTACCGCCGATTCATCCGCCGCCGGTGCCGGCGGAGACCGTTGATGTCTTGCGCTTCGCATAGCCGCCTTACCCTTGTAAATACCCTCCCCTCTCTCGCGCCACCTATATTCTAGGCGCCTCTCGAATCGCCCGCTCGTCGCCGTCTCCTAGAACGGCGCCTAATTTGTACATAATCCCCTCTTCGGCGCCAGCCCGCTTTCCCGCCTCCGCCTCTCCACCTTTCCGCCTCCCCGCCTCTCCGCCTCTCCGCCTCTGCACTTCGCCGCCCCCCTCTCCGCCCTCCGCCCGCGCGCCATGGCGTTCCCGGAGCTGCTTGCGCGGCAGGCATCCATCTATTCGCTCACGCTCGACGAATTCCAGGCGACGTTCGCAGGCCCGTCGCACGCCGTCGCATCCATGCCCATGGACGACTTCCTGCGATCCGTCTGGCTCGCCGAGGAGTCGCACATGCTCGCCGCCGCGCACGCCGCGGGCAGCGCGGATCCGCGCGCGCGCGACAAGGCCGCGGGGCTGCTCCGCGCGCGCTCGATGCGGCGGCAAAAGTCCGCCGCGGCGCTTCCGCGCGCGCTGACTGCGCGGACCGTGGAAGACGTGTGGAAAGACATTCAGGCGGAATTAAGGGGGGAGGGAGAAGCTGCGGAGGCGGGCGGAGCGTTGGCGGAAGGAGCGCGCGGAGGGGGGGAGGCGCAGCAGCATCAAGCGCAGGGGCAGGGGCAGCAGCAAGTACGGCAGTTGTCGTTTGCAGAAATTACGCTGGAAGATTTTCTGGTGCGTGCAGGGATTTCTAAAGAAGATCTTATAGGGGGAATGGAGGCGTTGGGGGGAGAGCAGTGGAATGGGGAGGAGGCGAGTGGCGGAGTGGGCAGTAGTGCGCGGAGAGAGGGGGAGGGGGGAGCCGGTGGGGGCGAGGGGGGAGTGGGGGGGCCAATAGCGGGGCGGGGGGAAGGCGGAGGGGGAGGAGAAGGGGTGCAAGCAGGGGGCGCGGATGGGCGGCTGGGGAGCATGGGGGCGAATGGCAGCAGTGTTGACGTGGCACATGATTTAAAAGCTACAGCAGGGGGAACAGGGTGGGCGTTCCACCCACATTCGGGGGCAGCAGGGCAGGCACAGTCACTACCGTTACAGCTCCACAAAAATCAGCTTCACCCGCAGCAGCAGCAGCAGCACCATGGGCAGGGGCAAGGGCAGCAAGGGGGGCAGGGCGGGGGCGAAGGGGGGCGCGAGGGTGGGGGAGGCGGAAGGGGAGGAAGAGGAGGCGAGCAGGCGATGCAGCAGCAGCAGGCAGTGGTGGAAATGGCAGCAGCAGCAGTGGCGGACGCAGGGCACAGCCACGTGGCGTCTGTCTTTGCCGCCACGCGCCACGCCGCCGCCGCCGCTGCTGCCCTCAACGCGCTCGGGTCACTCGGGTCGCTGGGAGCGTTGGGGCCGCATGGAGGGGGGCTGCTGGGGTCACTGGGAGTGCAGGGAGCAATGGGAGCAATGGGGTCGATGGGACCCGCCCCTGCTGGTGACCTTGCCATGGGGACGGGTATGGGGGGAGGAATTGGGGGAGGCATGGGCGGAGGCGTGGGGGGAGGCGTGGGGATGGGTGGGGGAATGGTGCCCACTACGTATGGCGTGGGCGCAGGCATGGGGGCAGGCATGGGCGCAGGCATGGGCGCAGGCATGGGCGCAGGTGTGGGCGCAGGGGGGCTGGCGGGGATTTCTGGGACGAGCATGGTGGTGGCGGATGGGGTGGGGGGCGGGGGGGAGAGGTGGGGAGGCAGTGACGGCGGAGGGGGAGGGGGGCAGTCAGATACAGGCGGGGGGAGTGGGGATGGGGACACGCTGAGCGGGGGCGTGGGGGGGAGTGCGGGGCGGAGGGGGAGGAAGCGGATTGGGGAGGGGGGAGGGGCGCCGGTGGAGAGGAGGCAGAAGCGGATGATCAAGAATAGAGAGTCGGCCGCTCGGTCTCGTGCAAGGAAGCAGGTGGGGTGCGGTGAGGTGGGGTGAGGTGAGGTGAGGTGGGGTGAGGTGGGGTGGGGTGAGGTGGGGTGGGGTGAGGTCCGTTGAGGTCAGGGAACTTGCTGGAGGGCTCAGAATGGAGGAGAACCCTCCCCCTCCCCCTCAGCCCATTCCCCTTGTCACCACATGCCATGCCCCCCTCCCCTCCTCCCCCCCTGCCAGGCGTACACAGTAGAGTTAGAGGCGGAGGTGGCGCAGTTGAAGGAGGAAAGCCCTCCCCCTCCCCACTAGGAATAAGGTGGAGGTGCTCTCTCTCCTAGCCACATGCCATGCTGCCCTCCCCACCCTCCCCTCCAGGCGTACACTGTAGAGTTGGAGGCGGAGGTGGCGCAGTTGAAGGAAGAGAGCCCTCCCCCTCCCCCCTAGGAATAAGGTGGAGGTGCTCTCTCTCCTAGCCACATGCCATGCTGCCCTCCCCACCCTCCCCTCCAGGCGTACACAGTGGAGTTGGAGGCGGAGGTGGCGCAGCTGAAGGAGGAGAGCCCTCCCCCTCCCCCTCAGCCCCTTCCCCCTGTCACCACATGCCCCCTTCCCACCCCACCAGGCGTACACTGTAGAGCTGGAGGCGGAGGTGGCGCAGCTGAAAGAGGAGAACGAACAGCTGCGCTCCCAGCTGCTGCTGCTGCAGTCCCAGACCCACGCACACCCCAACGTGGTGAGTGCACATTGCGCATTGAGTGAACGAAGCACGGCGTGCGCATACCTTCTCAGCTCGAGCGAGCGAGTACTCGTTGACATCACTGTCGCTGTCACTCAGCAGCGCAGCTTTTGTGCATTGAGTGGACGAAGTGCGGCATGTGCGATGCGAGCACTCGTTGTCTTTGCTGTTGCCGACACCCAGCAGTGCAGCTTCTGAGAAATTCTCATTCCCATCATTACGTTCAATCTGATTTGATTTTCATTCCCCTCCACCTTCGATATTACTTCTCTTCTTATCTCTGAACCTCTGTTCTCTCACCTCTGTCCCCTCTTGGCCTTGTATTTCTCCTCTCAATTTCCCCAAACCCTGCAGCCAGCAGCAGTACCCGCTTCTCTATCTGCAGTAACACAAACAGCAGCACCAGCAACGGCAGCACCAGCAACGGCAGCAGCAGCAACGGCAGCAGCAGCAACGGCAGCAGCAGCAACGGCAGCAGCAGCAGCAGGCACGCCACTCACTCTCCTACCACCACCATCAGCCGGGGCGTCCATTCTGCCTGCACTACCCCTCTCAACCGCGTCACACCTGCACGGACCGTCACAGCCTCACACGTCTTTGCCAGGTGCAGCAGCAGCAGAAGGTGGGAAGGGTGTTGCTGGCAGCAAGGCACCCCAACGGTCCCAGTCAGGGCCGTGGTGACAAGGGGAGCACCCTAAACGCTGTCTTGAATACGCCACACCTCCTCTCAACCTCTTCACATCCCTCACAACCGCTTCACACCTGTGAAGAGTTCTGCTTGCAGCAGGGCATGCTAACAGCTCGATAGGGGTGTCAATGACAAGGGGGCCGTGGTGACAAGAGGAGCACTAACTGCTTGGTTTCCCTCCATGAAGGAAGGGCACTGTGTTCCAGCTGATTACATTGTTCATTGTTCATTCTAAAATGCTTTTAGCGTGTGTAAAACATTGGGCTGGAAGCAGTGCTTACCGTAACAATCAGTTGGATACAACACGAGATGAGAATACGTGTCTGCTCAGCTGTAACAAACACCGAGGGTGGATTTAGGATCGTAGTATGGTACGTGAATATGCACTACAGAGCAAATTACCGTGTATTCGCTGAGAATGCGCACATACTGTAAGCTGTTGCACTGCATACATAAGCTGTTGCACTGCTCATACATAAGCTGTTGCACTGCTCATACATAAGCTGTTGCACTGTTCATACATAAGCTGTTGCACTGCTCATACATGGTACCGTAATCACCCGGACATAACACCCTAGGGTCTTACTTTAAATACAGCAAAAAAATGGGGGGGGTCTTCTCATAGGAAAAAGCTACATACCACCCGGGTGCATATATATGACATTTTTTTAGTGTAAGGGTACATTCCGCTGTGGACACTGTCCCAATCGATGTGTCCCAATCACGATTTGGGCGAGTCGCACTCAAATGTCTCGAGTTTGCATGTCCCAATCGATCGATGTATTGCGACTCTGTACAGACGCGCGACAATTATGTGCGAACCACTGTGATTGGTCAACGAATAATCATGCCCACTCGTCCTTGCGCAGCACATACACCAACACCTCCAGGTCCGCGGTAGTGTATTGGTGATGTCCAGGGAGGCCGCGGAGGGTACAGTACTCCTCCGCATTGCCAATAATTGCCTCAACGGCACATACATCTGCAACTCCTCTTCTAGTACGTGAGTTTTTATAATCAAACATAGCACAGACACCATTACTACACACGCCGAATCCACGCATGATGGCAGAGCCTAGAGCCATCCCCTTCATCCTACGCCTCTTCGTCGCCTGGGTCACCTACTACTACACCATTTTCTACGAAAATGTCGCGAAGTCCTTCGTAGGCCTCATAGAGTCCGGTGTGTTTGAGGACGCGGACGAGCAGTCCTCATCGTCCGGGGACGACACCGGGGAGAACCGCCGTCACAGAGCGAGTGTACGGCGGCGACGTCATGCTTTGTGGGTTGAAGACCTGCAACACATGCGGGAGAACGACTTCCAAGACATATTCAGGATCAACCGCGCCATACTTGAGCATGTAAAGTCTGGGATGCGACAATATCTAGAGCCCATCGTCCATCGGTCGATAATCACAATGGACACTGCTTTGCTCATCCCAATAAAGTACTTGGCGAGTGGGATTTCATTCGTCGACATGTCGTACCTGTTCGGTGTCTCCAAGACACTCTGCCACGAGCTTGTTGACGTGTTCCTCACCGAGTTCCCCTCTGTCTTCAAGGCCGCCTGGGTGCGCTTTCACACACGCGATGAACTTCCCGAGATGGCGCGTGAATTCGCTGCCATCAAAGGTGTACCTGCAGTGGTGGGGGCTGTGGACGGGACTCACATCCACATGAAAGGGATGGAAGGGCACAGGGCGGAGTACTGGACAAGGAAGTCGGCCTACGCCGTTCAGCTCCAAATCACGTGTGATGCACGAGGCAGGATATGGGATTACCTCATCGGCTATCCCGGCAGCGCGCACGACATGCGGGTTTTCAAAGAGTCTGCACTACTCGAGAGGTTACACAACGGGGACATAGCCCCATACCAGATTGTTGGGGATGCGGCCTACCCGCTACGAGAATACTGCCTAACCCCCCTGCATGCACCGCGCGGAGAGGTCCTAATGGACGATTGGGCCCAATGTTTCAACTACTGCCAGAGCGCCACCCGCATGGCGGTGGAACGGTGCATCGACGCCTTGAAAGGGAGATGGCGCATCTTCGGCGGGCGCAACGACTGCAGGTTGTGGCGCATTCTCGCAGGAGCCGCGTGTTGTGTGATCCTGCACAACTTGTGTGAAGAGATGGCAGTCGTTAGGCGCAAGAACATGGCCTGGTTCAATCTGCCCCGCAACCGCGACTCTTGGTGGACACGGGGTGCCATTGCGACACACAAGTGGGAACCCTGTGTTCCCCCAACACAACAAGCACTGAGAGAGAGGCGGAAAAGACTGGGTGAGGCCCTGCAGGACTCTTACGCTAATCGTCGGCGCCGCGCACCCATATCTCCACATCCTCAGCACCCGGAGTGACGGTGTTGACGTCGCCAACATCGTCGCCATGCTGTGCGGCTTCGGGAGGAGGTGCGGACTCCCCGCGTGGCGGAGGAGGGCTGAAATCCGGCGGCGCACGGTGCACGTCCGGGGGCGCCGATTCAGTCATGCGCTCGCGGGCAAGTCGCATGTCCTGCGCCATCCATTCACGGACGAGGCTCTCAATGCGCGTCATCGCATCTCCGTGACAATCCTTGATGGTCGCGGAGACCAGCTTGGCTGCTTGCATGGTAGCCGTCTCGTGCACCCGTGCGCGCCTAGGTGTTGCGGTGGTCGGCGGCGGCGGAGCTGTGATAGAGGAGCGGGGAAAATAGTAGTTTCGATTAGTCCGACTACCCTTGTTTGATGTAACCTGCATATTGGCGAATAAAATAAACAGAATCACCGTATTCAAACTACGATAAGTCAAACGCAAAGCAAGCTAGAGTTCATAACAACACGACTCACCCGTAAATGTTGGTGTTGACGTGCCTGGCTGAGACGAACTTGGAACCTCCGTGCCGGCCGGCACGTTGACGTCCGTGGCGCCGCCGCCGTCCACCGCATGCGGTGCGGCTGCGGCGGTGTCCTGGTTGTGCAGCTCCAGGTACGGATACCACGGTGGTTTCTCAACCAAGCCGTGGCCTGACCCCCCGTCGCCACGCTTGTACTCCCGCCAGAGGAGCGTCAAGTTACGCCACTGCTTCTGCAACGCGTTGACACCCCTGCACCATCCAGGGTTCGACTCCTTGATGTGCGCGAGTAGTCGGACCCAGTATTGCGTCCCCTGCTTCCCCTTGAGAGGCTCGAGCTCCTCTTTCATGAACCACTTCGCCGCGGCGAATATGGTGCTCTCCTTGTCCGACCATAAGCCCCTCTCGACTGGTGCAGCCGACCGCTTCTTCCGTGGCTCCTGGCGTGGCGGTGGTGGCGCCTCCTTGCCTTTGCCTTTATTCGTCCCAGATGCGCGTGCGGCGCTCCGTTTCGTAGTCACAGACACAGGTTGCGCTTCCTCCTCCGCGTCGTCCTCGGCGTCCTCATCTTCGTCGTCGCCGTCGCTGGGCGACATCCCAGCGTCTTCCGGTTCCTCCTCGTCGTCGTCGGTGTCGAGGCCTTGTTCGGGGTCGTCATCATCGTCATCGTACGCATCTTGCTCCACGATAAGCCGGTGTGTTGCAGCCGTCCTTGCAGGCTGACGACGCACACGTGACATGGCCGCACTGGGCGACTGTGCGGTGGATCCCTGGCCGTCAAGCACGGGCGGCGCGGATAATCCCTTCGGATGGCGCCCGTTGGCGATCTGCTGGTTCATCCAGCGGATGTAAGGGATGTCGTCAAGATCCTTGGGGCAGTCGTTAAGGGCCTGCCCCTTACGCTTACGAGCCATGCTGGCAAATAGAGTGCTTCTAGATCTAGATCTTTAGGGAGCGGGAGCAGAGAAAAATGAACAGATTGGAACAGGAAGGATGGTGCACGAAGATGAACCCGCAAGGTGTTGGGAGGTGGAGGAGTTGTGGGGAAGGAGCATTGGAGCTGGGGGAAGGCGCGCTGGCGGGGACGTGCGCGTCCCTGTCAATAATCCCGGGCGTGTCGTCTGGACCAATCACTACGCAGTGTACGCGTTGATGGGGATAGTGGGTTTTGGGGAGATGTCGTCTAGATACATGCTGCATGTGTTGACATTTGGCACCGCGTGCGACTGATGGATTGTGTTGCAATTAGCTGGCGACTGCTCCGTGTTTCACGTCCCCCAATGATAAATACATTTGGCGACAACCATGGGCGGCCCGGCATTCTGACACCTGGCAGCATATGCTGTACGTACGCGTCACAATCGATTGGGACACATCGATTGGGACAGTGTCCACAGCGGAATGTACCCTAAGGGTTTCTATAAATAGGCAGCTTGGGTGTTTTCAAGGTTGGTTTAGCATCACAGTTGGAAGCGAGATTGTCAGTTTCGACGACAACATT